TGTCATACAAGGTTGTCTGTTCCATTGACTTTAAGTACACCTATTTTATATATTGTTTCAAACTTAGGTTCAAAGTGCTATTCGAATGTCGACAGAAACTACTATGACCAAAAGATACTCATGCGTATAAACAACACTTTCTCTGCTGGTTTGCCTATTGTTCATTCGAATGCAGAGTTTTCAGCTTTAGTAAACTCAAACACTTTAGCAAACATAACGTTGACATTAGTCGACGCAAACTTTGTTCCTGTAAAACTTTTATGTCCTATGTATTTGTCAATGACGGCAGAAAGTTTCGAATTGGAAGATGCAACTGGTGAAAGTATTGTACTACAAGAACAACTTCAACAACAAATGCAACAAATGGAACAAATGCAACAACAAAGTCAAGAATAAAAAATAGCTCAAGAATAAAAAATATATTTTTTTTTATTTTATTTGAAATGTACGCTGAGTTTGTTGGAGAAGACCGTTGGGAAACTTGTTTGTTAGATGAGAAATATGAAATTCACTGTTGTGAGTCATTTGAAGTCAGAAACAAAAAGACAAAAAGAGTTTTAAGCGGATGGGAGCGAAATGACGGATATGCTATGATGAGGATGGGTGGAAAAAACTATTTTAAACATATTGTCATTGCAACTCATTTTATACCGAATCCTAACAATTTACCTCTTGTAGACCACATAAACCGTATAAGAAACGACAATAGACTTGAAAATTTACGTTGGGTCACTCTTTCTGAAAACAATAAGAACAGAGGCAAATTTGGAGATATTGTATTCGAATTTGTCGACGAACTAGAAGATGAAGCAATTGAAATTACAGACTATGGCAAGCATACGCTTGAGTTTTACTACTATAGCGAAGAACAAGACTCTTTCTACTTTTATACCGGTGTAAACTATAGAAAATTACAAGTATATTTTACTAAGGATGACTATGCTTATGTAAACACTAGAGATACAGATGGAAAACACGTTCATATACTTCTTAACAAATTCAAGAAGCTATATGGCATACCATTTTAAAACGTTTTTTAAAAAAATATTTTTTTTATTTTTATAAAAATGTACAGAATAGATGTTTCAGATTTTTATGACTTCCAAGCATTCAGAAATATGTGTCCATTTAGAGACTATAACAAAGCAGTCGAGAATTTGAAACGTTTAGTCATTTATGTTGACTCTGCCCCAGAATGTTATGTCATGAAAGAATGGGATGTTGTCTTTAACAAACCAAGAGCAACAATAGTGTCTGAACAAGAATGTAGACAGAAACTTAAGAAAATAAAAGTCGTACAGGTTGGCATGAAGATGTTAGATGCTTGGGATATCTTATTGTCAAAGTTAGAAGATTTTTCAGTTCGTGGTATAAAGTTCTATACACCTTCTCCAAACTTCTATTCTATCTTCACTGGATATAAATATGAACAAGTAGAATGGAAAGAAAATGTTATAGAAGCTTGGTTAGACCATGTCAAAGAAATTATATGCAATGGAAACGAAAAGGTTTATGAGTATATCTTATGTTGGTTTGCAAACATCTTACAATATCCAAGTGCTAAAAATGAAACTGCTCTCATTATAATTGGAAAACAAGGAACAGGTAAGAACACATTCTTTACAGATATCTTATGCAAACTGTTAGAAGGTTATTCGAACCCTAATATGACAAACTTAGAAAACATCTGCGGTAAATTTAACTCTTCAATTGAGAATATGAAACTTATAGTTTGCAATGAACTTCAAAGTATAGATACAACAAAAGTTTTGAACTCAGATGCTTTGAAGAGTCTTATAACAGACAAAGTTGGAGTTGTTGAAAGAAAGTATAAAGACCAAAGAGTTTGTGAAAATGTTGCAAACTTCATTATGGTTTCAAACAATGTTGTTCCGATGAAGTTAGAAAGTTCTGACAGAAGATATGTAGTTGTCAGAACGTCAGAAGCTCATATGCAAGATACAGAATATTTTGACGACTTAGCAGAAACTTTGACACCTAACTTTTACAACCACTTGTTCTCATATTTCATGACATTAGATATTTCTAAGTTCAATCCAAGACAAATTCCACATACCGAAGAAAGACAAACATTGTTAGAAGCAAACAAGAGTGTATATGAACTGTTTATAGATGAGACTAACTTTGAGTGTTTAGATGAAAGGTCATTGTACGATTCATATAAACAATATTGTCAAGAATATGGTTATATGGCAGCGTCTAAACGAACATTCTTGGCAAATGTCAAAAATCTTTTAGACATACAGAACGGCGTATATACAAAGAAAAATTTTTCTGAGTAAATTTTAAAAATATATATATTTTTATTTTATTTGAAATGTACGCTGAGTTTGTTGGAAAAGACCGTTGGGAAACTTGTTTGTTAGATGAGAAATATGAAATTCACTGTTGTGAGTCATTTGAAGTCAGAAACAAAAAGACAAAAAGAGTTTTAAGCGAATGTGAGCGAAATGACGGATATGCTATGATGAGTATGAGTGGAAAAAAATATTTTAAACATATTGTCATTGCAACTCATTTTATACCGAACTCTAACAATCTACCTTTTGTAGACCATATAAACCATATAAGAAACGACAATAGACTTGAAAACTTACGTTGGGTCACTTGTTCTGAAAACAATAAGAACAAAGGCAAATTTGGAGATATAGTATTCGAATTTGTCGACGAACTAGAAGATGAAGCAATTGAAATTACAGACTATGGCAAGCATACGTTTGAGTTTTACTACTATAGCGAAGAACAGGACTCTTTCTACTTTTATACCGGCGTAAAATATAGGAAATTACAAGTATATTTTACTAAGGCGGGCTATGCTCATGTAAACGCTAGAGATACAGATGGAAAATGCGTTCATATATATCTTAACAAATTCAAGAAGCTATATGGCATACCATTTTAAAACGTTTTTAAAAAAAAATATTTTTTTATCCGATAGAAAAGATGACGAAATATATTTCAGTCAACAAGTACATGACAGAAGTCAAAGAAGAACTAGACCCATTCGCTTATTTGAATGTTTACTTCTACCATTTTGAAAAGTCTACATTTGACAAAGTTTGGAACATCGAACCAGTTAAGTTTGCTATTGTGACTAAAAATGGTGCGAAATTTGAAGACTTAGACATAGAAGGTTTGTTAGCAGTCAAAGAAAATTTTGACAGAAGGTTCTCAAACCTTAAAGAAGGCAAAGCATACAAACTTGTTATACCTTATGAACCAAAGAAAGCAGACGACTATGAATATTATGAGTCTAAGATAGTTGAAGTTCAAGGTAAATTGGGTAAAAAGATTTTAGAGTCTAAGCCAGTGTTTGCCCCTAAAGAGGAAGAGAACATTGACATTGACCCAGAAATGTTCTAAAAATAAAATTTTATTTTTACATGTCATATCTCACCTTCTCTGGAACTGGTTCAGGTTCTTTTTTCTCTTCTTCTACTTTCTTTTCTTTCTTTTCTTTCTTTTCTCTCTTCTTCTTCTTTTCTGGTGGAGTTATGTCAAATTTCTCAGAACCATATTTATGTAAAAGTTCTTTGTCCTTTAATAGCTCTTCTATTCTGTTTTCTATTTCATCTTCAAGAACAGCGCATGTGCCTTCTTTGCATTCTAAGAACTTTTGTTGGACTTCATCTTTCCAATCGGCGTCATCTCTGTCAACAAGTCTGTCATTGACAAACTTAAAGACTTCTCTGCCTAATGTTTTATGGTTCTTGTCATATTCCCAGAAACAGAACTTTAGAACAAATTCACCTTTCTTGTTTACACTATGTAAGATTTTATGGTCGACAGAAGTTTTAGAGTCGAAAAGCTTGTCTCGAATATAGATAGCGAAATCGCTAGACATTTTCTAAAAGATAAAAATTTTAATTTTTCTAAAAATATGTTAGAAAAAAAGTTTGCTGACATTGACAAGAAATTTGAGAATGTTTTAAACAAGAACAAGAGGAAGTTAGAAAATGCTCAGATAAAACCTATACATGACAAGTTCCTATTTGCTCAGAATGGTATAACAGGTCTAATTGCACCACCTGGGTCGGGTAAGACTTTCACTTATCTTAAAATGGCTGCACAACAACAAGAACTAGATGAGAAGAACCCATTCTATGAGTTAGTAGTCATTTGTAGTACTTCTGGTCAATTTGACCAAACCGTAAATTCGTTCAAAGATATTATAAAAAAGTCTAAGTTAGTATGTATAAAAGACTCTGAGTTGTTAGATTGGATAAAGAAGTACCAAAGAAGAGTTTTGAAGTACAATGCTATAAATGAGTATGTCAATTCTAAGTTTAAAGACCCAAATGAGGAAATGCAGAGAATATTAGAGAAGAAACACTTCAGAAACAAACAGAAAGAGATAGAATACATTTCGAAGAAATTGCAATCTTACGATTGGAAGACTTACCCTCACAGATGTCTTCTTATCTTAGATGACTTTGCTTCTCATCCTTTGTTAAAGAATAGAGAACAAGACATGTGTCGAATTCTTAAGAAGCTCAGACACTTTAACATCTCAGTTGTCATTTGTGTACAGACAGCAAAGAGTTTAAGTAAGGATGTTAAAAGAATACTTACTGATATCATACTTTTCCCTGGATTGTCCGAAGACGATTTCATGGAACTTATGAAAGAGTCCATGGCAGGTAAGTTTGACAGACATGAACTATGGGAGAAGTACAAAGTCATACAAGACCCTCATACTTCTTTCAGAATTCACATCTACGCGAACAAAGTTCAAATTGTAAAAAGTCAATAAAAATAAAGAGTTTTGTGCTGAATTCAATAAAAATATATTTTTAGGGTAGATGGGTATATCTAACCCGATTTCTAACCTCATTTCTACCCCATATGTCCTTACTGAAAAAGTACGTGTTCCATATGTCATTTTACTCAGAATTTTACTCAGAATTCAATAAAAATATATTTTAGGGTAGAAGGGTATATCTACCCCGATATCTAACCTCTTTTCTACCCCAGTTATTTTATAAGCGTTTTACATGGTAAACATTGTGAATTCGTGAAATTCTAAACAATTTCGTAGCTTCTATTTCTTCTGTCAGTACATCGAATGTTTTAACAATGCCGAAGGTTTCTTTATATTTCTTCTTGACATCTGAAAGAAGGAAATCGTCAGCTGTTGGATAGTTTTTGTTCAGAAATGTCAACATGTCCATTTTATCTTCTGCTGGTTTCTCTACTTCTTTCTTTAAGTCAGCATAGTCGTTTCGCATACGTTCTATCTCTTTGACGGAGTAGTTATATTTCCTCATTGCTGCTTTACATTTTGAACATTGTGGGTTCATTTTAGCATTGTACATTGAAATCTTACCTGCTAGTATGACTAAGGCGTCAATGGTTTTCTTCATCTCGAACATAGCGGGTTTTATTTGTTCGTTCCATACCTTACCCCTACTATCTTTATCTCTTATTTCCCAAACACATTTTGCAACTAACGAAACAAAGTTGTCGTAGGTCTTAAATTCTTCGGATTTGTAAAGGTCAGAAACATTCTTATATACCATGTCGCAATCTTTGTCCATAACCTTATGGTTGCAATGAAAACCAAGGAATTCATAATTTACTTTACGTATGAACTTCTTTATTTCTACTGAGTCAGTTGCTTTGACTTCTATTTCGTCGAATTCAGGAATAGTTAGTTTTTGTTGTTGGATTTCAGGCAATTTGGGTAAATGGTCAATAATGTCCTGCATTTCATAAAGATACTGTTCATTTGTTTCATCTTTCGCACTACAGTCTAAATTACTTGTTAAAAGTTCTTGCTTTATCTTCTGGATTTTTGTTTCGAAAGTATATGAAGAAGGAATGAAGCTTTTCATTTCTACTAACATTGAAGTTGGGTTCATGACTAACGAGTTTGGTGCTGTTGTTGCTAACATGTTCTTACAATAAAAATAAAAAATATTTTTTTAAAAAAACCAACTTTATTTTTTATTTCGGGAAAACTCATGAAAATTCAAGAGGGTAGAAAAGAGGTTAGAAAAGAGGTTAGATATACCCTTCTACCCTAAAATATATTTTTGGTGTAAATTTCATGAAAATTCAAGAGGGTAGAAAAGAGGTTAGAAAAGAGGTTAGATATACCCTTCTACCCTAAAATATATTTTTGCTGAATTCAGCAACAAAGTTCAAATTGTAAAAAGTCAAGCTTGAAAAATCTAAGTGTTTAGTCTTAGTAAGATGGTAGCTTCTTAAAGCAAATACCATTGCTGAGTTTTATGTACGTGAAGAGAAGTACAATGAATTCAATTACGAGTACAATTGCAATGACAACTAAGGCAACTATTTTTGTCTTTTGCCAGCAAGGGTACTTCTTCTCTTCCAATGGTTCGGCAGAACTATACTCACTCATGAGAAATGCCAAAACGGTTTAATAGAAAAAGTGTCATTTTTTCATGTCCGAAGACTCGAAGGTGCAACACTTCCAAAATACCGACGAACTCAGAAGAGCAGCATGGCAGTATCTTCTTGACAACTTCTTTGAGTTCTCCAGGTACACCTTGGAAAATGCTGAAGAACTCCGACACAGAGAATTTGGAGAAATTGCACTCCAATACTACCTTGACAAACAAAGGGTAAACAAAGGGTAAACAAAGGGTAAAATAAGACTAAAAACTTAACGTTTAAAAAGTGACATTTTTATGAGCTCCGAGTCACCGAGAAAACTTGGTCAGATGTTAGCAGCTTACTTCCCTGAGGAGGATGGAAGCGTTACATACGTAAGGTTCAAAAACAACGAACCTGGAATTGCGTACCAAATTCGCAATTACATGACCATGGAAGAGTACGAAAGGTTTCTACAAGAGAAACCAGCTCTAAACAACTCAGAAAAGAAAGAGTAAAAAGTTTAACTCGTAATTGTTTATTTTTTTACTTGTATGGGCAAGCTGCAAGAATGAAGTCGACTATCTCAGTCTTTGTCTTGACCAGTTGGACTGCTCTTGCGAGTACGTCTGTTTTGCGGTCTCCAGCTGGTGTCTGACCTTCGTAATTGCGCATGTTCTTGAGAGCTCCAACTGTAAATGGCTGTAAGATGAAGAGTCTCTCAGACTGCTTGAGGTAGTCTTCACGGTCACGAACCGAATCTGTGGTACGAGTCGAATTGGTCGACCTTAGGGAAGAGACTGAAAGCCTGTCATCTTCCATAGGGGCTGTGGCATACTCTTTGCGTAAACGGTTCAGACCTTCTTCGAACTCTTGGTCTCTCTTCGATTGGGATTGAGATTGGAATTGGGGTGGAGGGTTTGACATGAACATCCAAGGGTTAGGGAAGTAAGGCATGGGTTGAGGAGGGTAGTTTGGAAAGCCTTGTGGTGGGTAGTTTGGAAAGCCTTGTGGTGGGTAGTAACCTTGAGGTGGAAATTGGTAGTAATTCGGAGGTCCTTGTTGGAACTGAGGTTGCTGAGGAGACTGTTGTGGTGCTGGAGCATGCTGTTCCTCTGGCTGTGGAACGGGTTCAGTAGGTGGGACGTCGGACATTCGTTTGTGTCTTAACCGTCTTTGTTCTGAAACAATATAATATTGTCTTGAAAAAGTACAATATTGTCTTGAAAAAGTACAACATTGTCTTGAAAAAGTACAACATTGTCTTGAAAAAGTACAACATTGTCTTGAAAAAGTACAACATTGTCTTGAAAAAGTACAACATTGTTCTGAAAAAGTTCAAGACTTGTTCTGAAAAAGTACAGCTGTACTCAAATTTGAGAGACATTGTACTGAATTTATACAACATTGTTCTGAAAAAGTACAACATTTCTGAAAAAGTACAATATTGTCTTGAAAAAGTACAACATTGTCTTGAAAAAGTACAACATTGTCTTGAAAAAGTACAATATTGTACTGACTCAGTATGGAGCTTGACCCCTTAGACGAAGCAATTTATCTAATTGAGGTAAATGAAACCGTGAAGGAATATCTCAGCAAGTGCAAACCAAGCAAGTCCATTGGCTTCTGGTTGTCCAAGAATAGTGTCTTAAAGTTGGAAATTGAAACAGGTGTTGCAATTCAAGTTCCAGAAGGCACTGCATTCGATGATATTAAGGATGTGAAGAAAGAAGCCCTCTTGAAGTTCTTCATGAAACGTCCTTGGATACTACTTCCATATCGTGAGAGCCCAATTCCACGAATTACACAAATTCTCAGAGCACTACTTCACTACTCTGGACAGCCGTTCTTCATAACCTCAGAAGGCGACATCCAACCAATTCTCAGCCAGTTCAGTAAACATCTCATTTTAACTTCACTTTTTTTATGTTTTTACTCACACTCGTACTCAACAGGTTTGTGTACAACTATTTCAACTGTGAACCTTGTATTGACCGGTCTTCCTGCAAATGCAAGTTCGGTCAATACACAATTTATGGTGGCAAGAAAGACAGTGGGGAATGTTATTCTGACATCTGTTGTTGCGCTCGAGAGAGAATTGAAATTCCAGACCACTCCCAACTCCAACACCAACACTCAAGTTGCCAAAGACTCATGTGAAGAAGAAGCCTTCTGGTAAGTTTCTTATAGCCATATACATGGCACGCTTTGAGTAAAAACATTTTTTTCATTTTTTGAATGAAGCAAGTTAAATTCGTCCCACACCAATCTCAATGGACCGATGAAGAGTTTCAAGCTATGGTTGAAGGTGTTGAGAACGACATAGACGGCGAACTTGAAGGAGCTCAAACCACAATTGCAACCAAAATTGCACAAGTCAAGGAACAGATAGCTCCACTTAAAGCTACCAAAGCTACTCTTGACCTCATGGATAGTTACCGTTTAGAAGTAAAGAGTGGAATAAGACAATTAAAATTAAAACTTCTAAACTACGAAGCTATACTCCAAAAGTTAGCAGAAATGAGAAGACTTTACCAGAGCTACTTACATGTAAGGGACTTACCTTCAAGCAGTCCGACCAAAGATGAATTTTCTGACATTGTCCCAATTTTGTCCGAAAGTCAGCTCAGATGTTTTGAACTGCTCCCAACATATCCAGAATATGAACGTTTGCCTGAACTCTTCCGCAATCTCAAAAAACGTTTTTTGGTTCTCATGTTCGAAACTTTTATCGGAAGAGACAACAAACGTTCAGAAGAAGAACAAGATATTATTTTAAACTTGTTGTATGACTTAACCGTCATAACAAGCTTTTTGAAGTAAAACCGTCATTCTCAAACCACTTCATTTTTTCGATGTCCGAACAAGCACCGAAGCCGAACACAATGGCAGATGTCCTTTCAATGTTGCCAGACAAGCGCCCAGTTCAAATTCAAATTTTGAATTTGAAAGCTCATCTGACAAACACCGGTTAAGACTCTCCAAAGTAGTCTTATGGAAGAGATGAAGGGACTTAAAGGTGAGTTCCTCATGAACCAAGCTTCCAATGAGAAAGTCCTGAGATGATTTGACGGAAACCTTGCGCATTTACGCGAGAGAGAACCGAGACCTTGCCAGACTCATCTACCGTTTCTTCGAAGAGATAGACGCCATCTGGAAGGTACTCGGAAAGGACAGAACCTCCAACACCGTACTTCGTGAACACAGAATTGCCGAAGGAATTGTCGAGGAAGAAGAGAAAACACGAAGAAGAGGAAGAGGAAGAAGAGGAAGAAGAGAAACACGAAGAAGAGGAAGTTTGGGCAACCCTTGTTGCCGATGACACTTACGAAATTTCCCAACCCTACCCATACCAAATCCGCAACAAGGAGACCGGCAAGGTTCTTACCCCAGTTCTCAACAACTTGGGACACTTGAACCTTACCCTTCGGAATTACGGTTCAATCTCCATGGGCAAGCTTGTCGCAATTCAATGGGTTCCAAATCCAAACAAGAGGACGAAGGTCAGACACATTGACGGTGACAAGCTCAACAACCGTAAGGAGAACCTCGAGTGGTTCTAAGAGTAAAAAAATTTTATTTTAGGGGGAAACCCCAAGTAAATTTAGGTGTTTATTTGGATAAGTATGTGAAATTAAGGTCAATTTGCAAAATTAGTTCCCGACCTTTGAATTGGACTCTTTCGTTCTCCCAGTTGCGTAGGAGGTCGTCCCAGAGAGTTTGGTAGATTTGCCAATCCAAGACGATTTGTCCTCCCAGGCATTGAGGATGTACTGCTCGTAGAGTCTCATGACCTCTCCCTTGCACCAGACACCCTCTCCCTTGGAACGTAAGGCTTCTTCGAAGTGCTCGAATGCGATTGGCTGCGTGACCATCCGAAATGACACTTTTTGCCGTTTCCGGTTGTCAATGTTCGTGTCTCGTGCCATAGTCGACGAAAATACAGACAAACAGGTTATATATGAGTTTGAGACCAAGAATGGTGTAACTCGACCTGTCCGATTCAAATTCGAATAAAAATTTTTTACTTCATGCAATGTTTTATTTCTGTGCCGTCTTCAAGTATGCCCCAGTACTTACGCTTGGAGAGGACATGAACTTCGGTGAAAATTTTGTCCAATTTGAATTGACCCATCTTTTCACCGACCATTCCCATTTCAATGAGTTTGTTGTATCCTTCTTCGTTCGTCATGAGTGCGTCAATGTTCTCATAGTAAACCTTCACTTTGGATTTGACTTCGGAGAAGAATTTGTTGTAGTTGTCAAGAGACTGCCTTTGCGAACTGAGGATAGGACCAATGTTCGACAATAGGTTTTAATGTGGTTACTAAGCCACTTTGACCTTGAGTGAATTCGTACTTCAAAACAAAAGGAGAAAACCTTTCAACACAAGTTGTCGACCTTCTCATAATGTTTACTCTTCATCTCTTGAGGTTTCTTAATGGAATATCCCCATGTCGAATTCATAAGCAATTTGAGTGTCATTGCAAGTTTGGGGTTTGAAGCTTTCCTAATATCATACAGTTGTTGTATGACTTTTCCAACTGTATAGTTCCTTCCTGGGAACTCACCATCTTCGTTTGGAATTCCAGTTGGAATATATTGGACGAACCTCATGTATGCAGCGTTAAGGTCGACATAGTATATCTTTTCATCTGAGTCGAACTTGTCGCAACCAATGGGTCCAGTTCGTGGAAATTCAAGTGAGTCTCTTATCTTCTGAGAAACTTCGCCTGCTATCTCATAAACATCGTCGAAGCAACCTGTTTCATATAAAACCTTCTGACCTAACTCCGATGCTCTCCAATACAATTTGACGTCAATTGGATGTCTCAATGGAAGTTTGTTTATAGCATCTTGAAGTTCTTGCAACCTCATTGGAAGTTCTTCTGGTTCAGGTTGGTATCCGAACAATCCAACTCCTTTTGGAACAGTGTACTTCTTTTGTGCTATAACTTTGTCTGGAACAACTTTTGGTCTTGCTAACAATGAAAAGTTTGTTTCGTCTTTTGGTACAAAAGTTTCTGTCAGCTTGTCATCTGGAATTGGTTCCAACAAACCTTTCTCGAAAAGAATGTTTACAGCTCTGACAATGTTGCACTTGCCTTTTCCGAACAATGGGTTTGTAAGACTTTCGTTCAACATGAAGTGGTTGTGGACAATTGCAATCTTCAACCATGGTAAGTCTTTGTCAACAACATAGTCGTCATGTGAAGAACCTTTAGCTGTAGGTATGTTGACTCGGATATTGACATTTGCCAACGGTGCAATTTTTGCCAATTGACCTCTGAGAATGTACCTTGTCTTCACACATGACTCAAGATACTTCATCTTCTCTTCTGTAACAAGACCAGAGTTCCTGAGACATGTAAGAATACAAGGTTCATTGACAATTGTTTCAATTGAATTGTAAATTCCATACCTTGTCAAGTCAATGTCAGACTTATTTATGAACGGGAAGTATCCAGCATGTTGTCTGACTGCTTGAGGGTTAGGTTGGTACCATTCGAACTTCACGCTTACAATTCCTTCAATTGCATTCAAAATGTCTGAGTCGGAGTCAACCATTTGTTCTCTCTTTGTAGTCTTGAAAGCGTCAAGAAGCATTGCAGCTGTTGTGACATTGCCATGTGCATAGTAAATGTGACCATCCAAATCTGTTATGGTCAATCTGAGATTGTATCCTTTCTTATTTCCGTCTTGAATTGCAGCAAGTACTCCCATGAAGCCTTCTTTGTTCTTTCCATCGTCAAAGTTTACTGTAAAGGTTTGACCAGATGTAATTTTACTTCTAACTTCACGATACTTCTCATATGCATATCTTGTTCTTTCCATGGGAGCATGTGCGTCTTCACCTTTTCCTTTTTTCCTCCTCAAAGGATGCAATTGTTCGTCATGTTTCCAGTAGAACCTGGCAAAGCCGTCGTGTCCTTCAACTTGAGGTTCACTAACATCGAAAGGCATGTCCATAAGACGTTCTTCTTCTAACCTCTCTAGTCTGTTTGGATAATTTGCGCGTGCTGTTTCCAAGTCCATTTCATAGCGAAGACCAGACAATTTGTCATAGACTTTTATGGGTCTTCCCTTCCTATATTTAAACTTCTTTGAAACTTTCCAACCATATCTTTCTAACTCTGCTTTTATTCTAGCAGATTTTCTATCCATTCTATATGGGGGCATTTCTATAAAAATAAAAAAATATATTAAAATGGTATGCCATATAGCTTCTTGAATTTGTTAAGATGTATTTGAACGTATTTTCCATCTGTATCTCTAGCGTTTACATGAGCATAGCCCGCCTTAGTAAAACATACTTGTAATTTCCTATAGTTTACGCCGGTATAAAAGTAGAAAGAGTCTTGTTCTTCGCTATAGTAGTAAAACTCAAACGTATGCTCGCCATAGTCTGTAATTTCAATTGCTTCATCTTCTAGTTCGTCGACAAATTCGAATACAATATCTCGAAATTTGCCTATGTTCTTATTGTTTTCAGAACAAGTGACCCAACGCAAGTTTTCAAGTCTATTGTCGTTTCTTATATGGTTTATATGGTCTACAAAAGGTAAATTGTTAGGGTTCGGTATAAAATGAGTTGCAATGACAACATGTTTAAAATAGTTTTTTCCACTCATCTTCATATTAGCATATCCGTCATTTCGCTCCCATCCGCTTAAAACTCTTTTTGTCTTTTTGTTTCTGACTTCAAATGACTCACAACAGTGAATTTCATATTTCTCATCTAACAAACAAGTTTCCCAACGGTCTGTTCCAACAAACTCAGCGTACATTTCAAATAAAATAAAAAAATATTTTTTTTGAAAAATGTTTTTTCCTTTACTTAACATAAACCACCAGCTACCATAAGTCTTTGACGCCAACCCATACCAGCTAATGAAGGTTGACTTGGTTTAGTTTGGAAACTAAACTTTGGTTTTGGTTTATCTTCAGTTTTTGGCTTCCCTTCTTCTATCGGTTTTTCGTCACTTTTCGGTTCCTCTGACTTTACCTCACTTGCAGGTATGGTTGTGTCGTTAACATCTTCATAAATATCATATGCCATTTGTTTTTGTTTTCCTTTCAACTTTTTGTGTTTGTTGTAAAGTTTAGAATATTTCGACTCTAAGTCAATGAGATGTTCTATAATGAACTGTTGGTCAGTGAAGTAAACTTTTCCATCTGTTGTCTCGAAAGCTCCTTCAGACTTCAATATTTTTTTTGTGAGAGTCTGTTTCTTTTTTGAGATACTAGCCGTTCCATTTCTATGAAAAGTGACTTTATAGTTAGGGTTTGTATTTCCAGACCTGGCACTTTCTATTATTGAATTTTTCTCTTCATCTGTAAGTTCTTTGACAGGTTTTGACAATGGTTCTGAACTTTTTGTTTGTGGTGTCAAATCTACCGTTTCAACTTCTTCGGTCATTTCATCTCAGTAAAAAATTTTAGTTTGTTTTTTCAACTGGTTGTTTAGGTTTTTTAAGTCGGTCTAAAACTTCCTGAGGTATAGGAAGAACTTGACAAACACGTGGTTGTGTAACTGCTGGAAGTCGACAAATCCATCTTGAACCCATTTGTCTCAATGCTGTATTGTTCATTTCATCTCAGTAAAAAAATTTACATTCCCCGTTTGAGGTGGTTGCGGTTGGTTGTTGTTTACCCATTGTTGTGCATGGTTATATCCTCTGTTAAAGAATCTTTCACCTTGGTCCATATAGTGCCCTGCTTGGTTATAGTAGTCATTTGCTTTGTTATAGTAGTTTCCTGCTTGTCTTCCTACATTGTCCATCCATCCTTGAACTTTTCCTCTTGTTTCAGGATTTGGAATAAGATTTGCTGCATCTCGTGCTACCTCCCAACCTTTCTGTACAGTTTGTATAATAGGTTGTGCTTTCTCTTTAAGTATACCTAATGTACTCAAAATCTTCCTTCCAATTCCAAATGCACCTCTAGCTATTGTTCCCACTGCGGGTAAAAATCTGGATGCAACTCCTGCTAATGCGCCAAATAAACCCATTTCTTATGGGTTAAAAAATGACGAATCCAAACAAGGACCCCTATGTTTCTAAAGCGACAAAGAAAGCACTCATGATAAAAATCTTTAGTTCAACACCAAATGCTTGGTTTATGGATATCTTGGAAAACATTCCGAGGTATAGAGAAGATGGACCTCCATACTGGCTAATATTTGTCGGTCAAAACACAAGATACTGTGAAGCCATACCATTGCAGTCCAAAAATATTTTAGATGTGAAAACTGCTTTGACAATATTCGTTGACAAATACCATCCAACAAAACTGACATCTGACTGTGAAAGTTCTTTCAAATCAGACGATATTAAAAACTATCTGCGTTCAAAAAATGTAAACCAATATTTCATTGTCGACCAAAACCATTCTGCTCTTGGTGTCATTGACAGTTGTATAAAAATCTTAAGAGACTTAAACCAACCACAAGGTGGTGAAGCAAATGAAATGTCATATGACGACAAGTATAGACACTTCTCCATGGCAAAGATGAGACAAGTTTTAAATATTTACAATAGCCGTAAACAAAAAGGTTTGGGAAACCACTCCCCCGAAGAAATGAAAAACAACCCTGACTTAGAGAAAGACTATATATTTAATAGTTTAGTCAAAAGAGACAAACAAGAAAGAATGCCGGGCTTCAAACTTAAGAAAGGTGACAAAGTAAAAATAGAAATACCTAAACGCGACCCATATGAAAATACTATTGACTATGACAACAATGGGAACTCGACAGGTACTCACATTCGTGTTCGTAAAAATAGAAGAAAGTATACAAGAGAATATTATGAAGTTTTAGGCAAACATGGCAAAATGTACAGACTGCAAGCAGAAGATAAAACTACTATTGTCAGACCTCGTTTCAAACTTGTCAAAGTTCAAGGTGGTATACTTTCAAAGACAGTTCCTAACAAATATAAGACAACTCCTGACGAATATGCTAAAGAAGTGGAACATGACGACTAAGCAATTCTATACCATGCACAAACTGTCATGTAAGGTGGCATGTATTTTTTACCTAGTCCTGTAGATGTTGTTGTAAAAGTATGTTGGTGGTTTCCTCCTGGTTCAGTTTGTCGAAAAGTCTTTTTTGCTGAATGGTTATAATCTGGAGATAAAACGTCATAGCCAGCTTCATATTCTGAGTTGTATAATGGATGGTCTCGTAATGAGTGGCTATGGTCGCCAGAAAAGTTTGTTGTACCAGAATGACTATGTGGTGGCAAGTTGTCGACAGATATCGTTTTACTTCCACCTGTTTTCTTTGGAGTGTGTGCACAATACAAAAAACTTTCGAATATTTGAGTCCAAGTTCCAAAACCAAGTACTACTTCTGGTCTGGTAGAGTTCATTGACGTGTAAATAGAACCTATAGGATATACTGTTTGAAGTATTTCTGTCTTTAACGTTTGAAGCTCTGTTTTGTCAGCTTTCTTATCATATAAATCTTGAGCAGTGAATTTAACTTTGTTTTCATCCTCCATGACATAGACATTTCTACATTTAATGTCTTTCATCGTTGTTATGTCATCCTCCGATGTTAAACCTTGTGGAAAGTTAGGAGGTTTCCAATTTAATACATCCCCACCAGTTTCTTCAACCGTTCCTTCAATATTTTCTATACCAACAGTTGCGAAGAAGCTATGTGTATGTCCAACGTCACTTTTCCTGTTTAAGGTTTCTTGTAAGTTTGTAATATTTGCAATGGTATGTGTATGTCCAACGTCACTTTTCCTGTTTAAGGTTTCTTGTAAGTTTGTAATATTTGCAATGGTATGTGTATGGTTCTTATCCGCTTTAAGGTCTAAACATCCTGAAACCCACCCTGTATCGGCTTTACCTTTTAAAATCTTTGTTGTCCGTTCATGGTACCATTCAACCCTTTCTATAATTTTTTCATCTTTTTCATTCACATATTCCTTATCTGCCTTCTTCACTAACGCACTAGCCACACGTGCTAACTCATCGTCAACATACTCTTTGTCAGCTTTGTTGTCAATATCTGCTTTCAAAAGAAGTTCATCTATAGGTTTCTCGTTTAAAGTTCTTTTTGTTGGATTTATACAAACAGTATGGTTCTTACTGTCTTGAAATAGAAACTCGTCTGTCATTGGGTTTAATGTCAGTTTTAAGTTTCCTTCTTTCAATGACTCAGATATCTTAGAATAGTTTGAAAAGTTTGTTGTGTTCTTATTTAGAGCTTGTACAATGAGTTGTCGGTTGTGTTGTATTTCTCTCATAGACGCTGTTTCTTTCGACATTTTTATTCTAGATAAAATATGCTTTCAATAGAAAAAGAAAATTCAAGAGTTGCTACAACTAAACCATTAGATGAACTTTTTACTAATGTCGGTCAAAAGTTTGAGACAGAGACCGTAAAGCATGAAGGCTATCGTTTTGACTACCCATTAAGATGGCTAAGAGACCCATCTGTCACAAAAGCTATTGGCTTTCGTAGAATGAAGTTTGTGTCTGTAGAAGATAAAAGTTTTCCATTTATTGTAAGGTTTCATATAGATTATATATCTGAAGGGAAACGAAAAATGTGGGAAGAAATTGAGCTAATACAAGTTGACCTTTCATCTTCTCTACAGACTGCGTTAAAAAATATAGAAGATAAAATAAATTCATGTTATGCAAAATATGCTGATGAATATGCAAATACCGAGAGCACACTTTATGTGAGAATTGTATATGACAAACAAAATTCACAAGTGTCATTTCAAATCTACGAAGACAATCCAAAGAAAGACGAACAAATATATACAGAATTCACTGCAATGTCATGGTATTATTTGCAAAGAATGTTAAATCAGAAAGTCGAACTTCCTTTAGCAAATATTTACAGTCGATATGCAAGAGATGAACCATATTTATTTAAAGATGTTTTCGACCCAGCTGCTATTATTGTTCATGCTTCATTTTCTGGCGCCCAAAACTCTTTCTTATGCTTGGCAAATGACTTTTACGAAAAACCTACAAAGTTATACGAACCACCAAGTGGAAGTATTTCAGACTTTCAAGTATGGTTTACTACAGATGGAAGAAAAAGAATAATTCCATTATACCATGCGTTTTACTTAGAACTTAGTTTCATATACAACTACTATCGAACGGTAAAAATATAATTTTTTAATACGGTTGAGGTGTTGGATTTGGTTGCCAACTAGACTGTGGTGCAGGTTCAGGCTGTTGTATAACAGGAGCTTGTTCTTCTGGTTCAGGGTCTTTAGGTATAATACCAACAAACTGACCTACTCTTTTACCAATATTTTTGACACCGTTCCAAATTCCTCTTCCTACGGTTTTTATTCCATTCCATATACCTCTTCCAACATTTCGAAAGAAGTTTCCAATACTACTGAAGAAACCCATTTTACTATATGTAAAAATCTAATGTCCGCCTAGTCTTTTGCGTTTCCTGTTGAGTTCCATAGCATTCTTTAACTGGAGCTCATACATTCTGTTTCTCCTCTGGTAGAAAACATATTCTGGGTCAACTCCTGTGTTCGCGTCATCTGCATAAAGTTGTTTATATCCCACTTCAGGGTTTGTATAAAACTCTTTCCATCTCATATTTGCATACCATGGTGGCAAACCTAACGCAGCGTCATTTGACATGGCAGTTTGCATTTGTACATCTGTTGGCACTTGACCATAGTTTGCCATTGCAGTTTGTATTCTAACTTCATTTGGAATATTCTCTGGGTTTGGTTGTCCAGGTTGCTGTGCATTCGCTAAGTTCTGTGCGTCCATTTAATATTAGATAAAAATATCTCTTACGAGTACATATGCTGAACATTTGCAGACATTGGTTCATCTTCATATTCTCTATATCTTTCTGCCACGTCAAATAAGTAAATGACACAATGGAAAAAACCTAAAACAAGTAGTCCGATTTCAAACCACATTTACTTACCAATAAAATTTCTTTGTTATGACACTTTCTCCAGTTTATAGGACCTCTCTCATATTCTATCTTGTCATATCTAAACTCATAGTCATGTATGTCCTCTAACCATCTCATGACACTTTCCAAACCACTTTTATCGGATGTAAAGTAAAAGCATGGATGGTTATGTAAAACGTCTAAAGTTTCTAAAGAGTCTCTCAAAGTCCAGTCTACTTGGTATTGAAAATCCCATGTGTTATAGAACGGCGGGTCCACTATAAAGAAAACATTTTCCTTGTCTTTATATTTTTCATACAAATCTGTCCAATGACATCTCACAAACTCTATACCCTCAATATATTTTTCTATGTTCTCTTTGAAAACATTTGTATAGTTAAGATATAAAACTTTTGACATAAGTGTTTCAATGTCATGAACTCTTATAGCACCACTATATAATAGTCTAGCAGATATACTATCCCAGTCAATATACTCTGCCTTTTTTCAAAACCTCTCTGACAGTATTTTTCTTATCTAATGGTATACGTTCCATCTTACCTATAGGTATCTTTTCTTTTAACTCTTTCAATATTTTGTTTGTGTCTGGTATATGTTTGAGACGGTTCATATAGTTGTCGAAGTCATTGCATATAATCTTTGAGTCAGGAAATATTGTATGGCACAAATGAGATATATAGAAACTTCCACCGAACAAGTCTACAAATGTTAGACCATTCGGTAGTTTCTTAAGTTCTCTCAATAGAATATCTTTACATCTACTCTTATTTCCAAAGAAGGGTAACGGTGGTTTTGTAAAATTCATTTTATATATATAATAAAAATGTTTTTTCCTGAAAAGTGACAGAAAAGTGACAAAACATGTACGAAGAAGTCTTGAAAATTCAAGAGGGTAGAAAAGAGGTTAGAAAAGAGGTTATATCTAACCTTCTACCCTAAACATTATTTTTGTCTGATTTTACGAAGAAGTCTTGACAAAACATGAAAACATATATAATTTGTGAAAAGCTCCTGGAAGACCCGTATATAAGAACTTCATTTATACTAAACATCTTCGGGGCTAGAGGGCACGAAGTGCCTGGAAGCCCCACTACCCTTTTTTTTTTTTTTTTTTTTTTTTTTTTTTTTTTTCTTTAATATGCATAGATATCATTGAGCTCTTTGAATCCATTTGACTATCATACACCTATGAGAAAGAATGTGTTTAGTGCCCAAGTTAATTAATCTAAAATTATATTATCATACACCTATGAGAAAGAATGTGTTTAGTGCCAATTAATACTAAAACTTCAAAATTAAGGTCTTGTCAATTTAGAGTAATAACAATTTTCATTCTATTTTGAACGGTTTATGACAACGATGCACAAGAGTTAAAAATTGAGTTAATATTCAAAAAAGTCAGCCTTTTTTTACAATTTTTTTTCTCTTTTTGTATACTTTGATCGCGAAAGGCCAAAGGGTAATTAATAATTAAAATAAGTACAGCAGAGTTATGACTGAACCAATCTTTCAGCCGGGTAGCAAAGAAAAATCCTACATTGTGATTGGATCTGGGATGGTCCCTATCTTGAATCGATATCCCGATGCTGTAGAATTATATATTAAGGGATACTCTTCAACTCATATGCAAAGTTTTATAAATTATCCTAAATTAACAAAATTAGTTTTCGATGACAGCTTAACAACCATAAATGACACTTTATTATTTGGAACATTGGTAGATATATTCACCATACCAAAAAATGCACAAAATTTGTTGACAAATCCATTCGATGATGAAATTCCTATGAAAAATATCTTTGTTAATCCCGAAAATCGTTATTTCTGTGATATTAATGGTGTTTTGTATTCAAGAGATAAGAAAACTCTAATATTTTGGCCAGGAAATCATGGAGAAACTGAAGTTATTGTGCCAAATTTCGTTGAGAAACTCGCTAACGGTGCTTTTTCAACAAGTTCTAAAATTACCTTCATAATTATCCCTTCAAGCGTTAAGGTAATAGGATACCAAATGTACCGTATGACAGCTATTCAAAGTATCCTTGTTTTGAACAAAAATCAATCAACTTTTAATATATTATCATAGATCCTGAAATAACAAGTTCGATTGTCCATTTTCTCCCTTTTCTTGATTGCTCAATATGTAAAGATCAATGTGTTTGTTATAAATTTAAGTACGCATTCTACTATGCCATAATTCTCTCATAAATGTCTTTTATCTGAAATAAACAATAATTATGGATATCTCAAATAGATTGCGAAAAATATAATCTAAGAAAAATATCAATGAATCACTTTGTCTTTTCTATTAGTATCAAATATGTTCTGATTATGAGAAATGAATATAATAATTAAAATTCAGGACAGAGTTAACTCATTGTGATGATAAATTCACTGATAATGGATCGTTTAATATTGCATATAAAGTGTGAATATTTTTGTTTTTGATTGTAGAAAGATTTTGATTATAATATGATAAGCTAATTAGTTTTGCGCGATATTATATATCTTTTCAAATTGACTCGAGCTTGAATAGAAATTCAGATGCTAAACACCAAGTGGGACACCCTGTATGTATCGATTACAATCTTTGTAGTATATATTGTAGTTTAATTAATGATCTTTGATAGATCTCTTTAAGGCTGCACTTACGCCCATCTGACTTTAATTCAAATTTTTGACAACTGGCATGAAGAGTTATTGAAAATTAACCTTAAACATCTGAATTGAAGACCATGTCATAGGGGCGTAAGTGCAACCTTATTTAAACAACAGAAATTATTGAAAATCAATTTTTAAAATTCCTTTTTTATTAAAATCACGTAAAAAAATGAAATATCGAGAATAAAAAATAAAAATAAATAAATTATAATTTGAAGCTTGCAACAACAATTTGGCCTGTTTCAGTGTAGAATGAAGTAACATTTGGCATTCCTGAGAATTCTATTTCGACAACTTTTGCCTTTGGACTGCAGAGAACTTCTCTTCCTTTACCTTTCAGATTGATGTAATCTAAGATATAGAGTTCATTTGCCTCTGTCAAAATAGAGACTTTGTTCTTTGTTCCGCCAATCCATGTGATATATGATGTGAATTCTCTTTCACAAACTTTGATTCCATTAGATGTGAATGCAATCAACTTCTTTCCATTTGAAACATAAATCAATGATGAGTTTCCGCAAATGCAAATGTGTTGGGCAACGAAATCTAACTCTATTTCGTGTATCATTTCTCCCAAACTCAATGAGAAGATTGCAATAGACTTATCTTGATATGCAACAACTAAAAGAGAACTGTCTGAATCAACAGCCAAATCATAAACTCTTCCTCTGAAAGATGGAAGCAAATACAAGTGTTGGTAAGGATTCCTTGCAGACCAAACATTGATTGTGTTTGTATCATGAACACTTGCCATTTGCTCTGTACCTGCTACAAGTTTCTTTATTGGTGAACTGAAATAAGATCCGCAAACATCGAATCCATCTTGTCCATAAACCATAAACAGTTCTCCGCTCTTGTTTCCAATTGCGATTTTTCCTTTGGAAACATCGGAGATGCAGTTTCTTTGGATATGTCCAACTTCGACTTTTGTATTTGTCTCTTTCTTGAAGAGAGAAGTACTTCCTTCTTGGTTCAAGTTGACAGACAATCTGTAGATTGGCGTGTTCGGTTCGAAAACAACGTAACTTGCCATGCATCCTTGTGCCTTTTGTTCTGGAATGATCTTGATAGATTTCAAGTCTTTGAACTGGCAATCCATAGCTGCAGGATGTTTAACTTCGAATTGTTTTCTCTTTGGATGTTCTTTGTAGAAGAGTTTGATTGGTTGTGTTCTGATGAAATTCAATTCAACTTCGTAGTTGACTCTTCTGAATGGATCTTTAACGAATCCTTCATCGAAATCTTCCATCCTCTTGTAACTCGATCCGATACCGAAAACTTTATCGATGAAAGCAATGACCATGTTGTCATCTGATTCGAGTTTTTCGATGTTAGATCTGATGAACTCGAAGATGTTCTCTGTTGGAAGTTTGACATCGGATGAAAGACAGTAAGGAGAAGCAAAATACTCTGGTGGATAAAATGTCTTGATCGTCGAAATGTCAGAAACTAAATTCTTGTCAAGTTTTCCTTTTCCTAAATTCCTGAGAAGTGTCTTGTATGGTTCAACTGTTCCGAGCAAATCTAAAACACTTCTGACATTGTAATGCTGTGTAACGTTGGAATTGACGTTTGGCATCACAGGATAAAGAGATAACTTGTTGAATGATCTGCCAGCAATGTCATTTAATGCTAATAGATATTCAAGTGAAGTGATCTCATAATTAAGCCACTTTTCGGTTATCTTTGATGTAACAACGTATTCGAAAGGTTGTTTCGTCATTACTTCGATGTTTTCGAAACCTTTCAACTGTGCGATCGAATTCAAAACAGTTAAAGAGTTGAAATCCTCTAAAATAACTAAATAACTCTGTCCTAATGTTGTGTAAACTTCCAAACCGCATGGCAAACCGTCGATTTCTCTGAACATCACTTTCTTTGTGTTTGAGGAATCGAAAGTAAGGACTAAGTTGTTGTAGCAGAATCTGATCTCGAAACTTTCATTCAAAACAGAGAAAACGATGTCTTGTTGTAAATCAGAAACATGGTAAATTTTTCCAGGAAGAGCGAAGTTTTGGTTTATATCAGGACGTTCGAATTTCGGAATAACCAAATTAGTTTTGTTCTGGTATTCTTCTGTTTTTTCTTTCATGAATTGTTCCATTGCATCTGTGATTGGTTCACTGATGTCGCATCTTTCTGTATCTTCTGTTGGAGGAACGATTTTAATTGGTAAATCGCCATCTTTCACGAGATCTTTGATCATGATTGCTTCCATTGGAATATAATTAGTTCCATTTGTTCTTGTGATGTAAAGGAATTTATCAGCATCACTTTTATCTGACATTGATTCCCAAGGAGCTCCTTTTGATGTTGATAACTTAAGGAGTCTGTTTGCTTTCTTCTGGAATGTCTCTTTGACTTTGGCGATGTGTGATGAGTAGTTCAATTTGTCCTTGAAGTTTGAAGAGTTCGTTTCTGTATCTGACATCTGGAAAATCATATCCATTTTCTCAACAACTCTTTCGTTGAATCTGACGAGTTTTGCAGTGACAACTTTAGAGTTCTTCATCAATTCATCATTGTATTCTTGGATCTGTGTCAACAACTGTTCAATGCAATCTGTGTGGATTTGTTTTCCGAAGTATCTCTTATCTCTGTGTTGTATTAAGTTGAGATAACTTTCTTGTGCAACTTTTATGTTTATCAAAGTAGAAATTGCTTCATAAGATTCCTGTGGTTTCGCTGCTAAACTGAAAGCAGCGAAGATGCAGCTCGTGTTATGGAATGTTTCGCATTTAGTTCTGCATGCTTGTTTGCACAATAATAAACCTAATTCTGTGTCAAGCCATTTTCCATCTTTGCTGAATCTCAATCCATATCTGTACTTCATCTTGTAGTTGTCGGAATTCATTTCGCTGAATGTTGAATTCAACTGTGTCTTGTTGATCTTCAAGAAAAGACTTAAATCAATCTTTTGGTTGTGAGAAACATCAGAAGCATGTTTTGATTTCTTGACTTCGAAATTTCGGAGAATGTTCTTTGTAATGCCAAATTCTGAATCTTCTGGTCTGAAGAACATGAAGAATATTGCGAGATCCCAGAATTTGTGCTGATCTTGGAAGAACATGAGAGGAGAATCCAAAATTCTCTTTGTCAAGTATTTCATGTACAATCCTTGATACTCTTCAAATGAAACATTCAATGCTCTTCCGACAACTTCAATGGCAGAGAAAGAAAACACCCATTCTGTTTCAGTTGATTCTGCAATGAATTTCATGATGAAATCACCGTATTCGCCTCTTTTTGTCAAAGCAGTGATGATTGGCCAGATGCACCATTCTTTCTTCTTTCCGTACTTGTAATCTGGTGTTAAATGGTCCATGACTAACTCGATGCACTGCTTGTCTTCGATCTTGGAGATCATGTAGAACATGAGGCTGACGAAATCAGGGTACTTAAGAACCAATGGAACAATCATACTGAAATTGTCGTAATTGAAGAAGTTTTGAGGAATGAAATCCATCAAAATCGTGGAATGGATGTTCTCTTTGATGTCTTTGATGGATTCTGTAACGTGTAAGGCAGCAAATACTTCAAGGCAGTTGAACACTAAGGCGGAGTTTGCATTGTTCAACAAATGATGCAATAAAAGGAAAATTGATAAATGTTCTGTCACTTTTTGGTATGGTTGTTCTTCATTCAACGCCAAAAGCTTCACGAGAACAATTAAATCGTTGACTTGTTGGGAATTTGGGATTGTTACGCAATGGCCGATCAAACATGTCAAATATTGTTCTTTGAAATCTTTGATGGCGATATTATATAATAAGTTGGTCAAATTGGATCTGATGACATTGATTGCAACTTCAGGATCACGTGGATTATCACTCTTAGCACCGTATTCTGTGTATTCGCCTTTTTCTTCTGTATACCAGAAATATGTTCTCATTGCGGAGAGAATTGTCTCAAATGGTTTGACTTTGATTGCATCTTCAAAGTTGTCCTCGTAAACAATGCGTGCCCAGTGTCTTGTAACTAATTTCAATTGTTCATTAGTTGCATGGGCCCAAAGAGCAAAGTTAAGGATAAATGTATCGAGTAACTGCTGCTTGAACGTTTTGTCGTCGATAGCGCAGTAGAGATCGTAGCATTTCTTGTAAAATCCGTAAGTTAAGTTTTGATGACGCTGATTGATAAGGAACTGTGCGATAACTGAGAAGCCTGAGACTTTGACGAACTGGTCTTGTGCAAGCTTCGATGTCTGAAGGATTTTCATGATCATTTCGATCATTGTAATCATAAAGCTTTGGATTTCCTCTTCGACAGCGCAGAATTTGTCGATCATTGAGAAAAGAGGTAAGAGAGTTTGTACTCCGCAGTATTCAATCAAGATATCAAGATAGCATCTTGATTGTTTTTGTTTTTTGCCGATAATCTGTAGCGAAACTTTATCATTGCTGCTGGCCGAAACCGAAACGAGATTTTGTAAGTTAAATGAAGGAACGACTTGGTAAGCATTGCTGTCAGAGATATCAAATCTCGGGCCAAAGTTGTAAATGCATGCAGGATATTCGTTGTTAACTGGGGAGTTGATGCAAACAGGGCCAAGCATTGGCCAATTTGGTGTCAGATCATGAGCACCAGCGAAATGGATCTTTGTAACGCCGCTAGATAATACATCAAGCTCAACTGGAACTTGCTTTGTCTGCTTTCCTTTGAGAATTGCAGAAATCATGTAATTGGTTTGGTTCCTTTCGAAATCTATCATAATGTAGGTCCAAACTCCCGACTGAATTCTTGCATTAGGAAGCTTGTTGATAGTTGAGCTCTTTGAAACTTCGTAGCAGATGTCATTCTTGTTAATAGTAAATTTGATGACACCTTTGTCTTCAAGGAGAATAGTAAACAAGTGAATCTTGAAGTGATCAGGAATCTCGTCAGGAATGTAGATCCATTGCGAAATATTAAAGTGATTTTGGATCAATGACTTCGGATTAATCGAAATTTCAAGGGTTGGAGCGTCTGGTGTCAATGAGAAATATGCTCTGGGACGGGATGCACAAATGTTGATTGTGTCATTGACAGAGAGTACGATTGACGAGTGAAGATTTGCGACAAATTCGTCTTCAGAAAGCTGTAAAAGGCCAAGTGATGCTTTCAAAACATCTTCTGACGAAATGTACTGTGAAAATTCTCCAATAAGCATAACAATTTGGCCAATCAAAGGCTTATAGTCGGCATTCTTTGATTCTTCAAGGAGAACTAAGAGCTTAAGCTCAAAGTTCTTATTGTGTAAGTCGATGATGTAATATGGAGAGAATTTGATAAGGAATGTAATAAAATCAAGAACTTTCGCGAACTGAACATCCTTTTTCAAATCCTCATACATAGTTTCGATCTCCGGGCTGGTAAAGCTTGGATTAATGGAAATCAAGTCAAAGAGGTCTGAAGTTGTACTTGTCATTTTAATATGAATTTATTAAATGAATAATTTTGTATTGAAAAAAAATAACATGTTCCAATGTACTATACTATACGAATTCCCAATTTAATAATCGATGAGTTCCAAAACCGTCATAACGATTTGGTTTTGAATAGGTACAGTCGAATTAAGGTTAAATTTATGAGGAAATTGTATTTGTCATGAGATTGAAGGAGTAATGTTTAAATGGCCTGTTTCGTTAGAACCTAAAACTAAAAACAGAAATGAAACTGTATTCAAAAAATTCAAAAATTGTTTTTGCAAGAAAAAAAATTATTTATTGCTAACACGTGTAAAAATGTATCCTTACCAAATGGATGAGATGTAGCCAACTGAATCATTAAGAATACCACTTGGGAACATATCAATAACATAACCACCGAACAACTCGGATAATGATTGGCCAGTGATAGCAGCAAATGGTGCATAGCCAAGAGTAGCACTTAAGTTGATGGAAGCATTTAACATCTGGCCTCTTGCCCAGTTGTACAATGAGTTCTTAAAGACTGGTAATGCTGGTTCAATTAACTCTGAGGCAAATGCAGCACCAATATTTGGACCAACTTGGCCAGCAAAGTAGAAGCGGAAGGTTTCGGTTTGTTGTTCCTTCTGAGCGCGCTTTCTCAGTTTCTCAAGTGGGTAGTTAACGAGAGCAACGATACCAGCTGCGCCAATACCACCAGCGACGTAAGCAGCAACCTTGCATCCATCTTCATCGTGATAATGGTGTCTGAATGTCTCTGAATGCTTCTCAAGTAAGTGTACAGCAATTGGATAAGCAACAAATGTTGTGCCTGTTTGCATACCATGTAATAATGCTTCACCGAATTTCAATCCTTCAGCATCACCTTTAAGGCCGTGGATAACAGATTGTGTGAACATGTCACCAAGTGTTGCATTGGTGTAAACTTTTAACATATCCTTGAAGAAGCTCTTTGGAGCAGTCATGGATTTTGAAAATAGTTACGATCGAAATTATCGTCCGAACAAAATTTTCGAAAAATAACCAAAATTCAATACGAAATCGGTTCTGAATAAATATTTATCTTGACACACTGAAGAAATATCTAGACTTGGCTTTGCTTAATATCCTTATCTTGTGAATATGCTTTCTGATCATTTCTTCTACTCTAGATATCGAAATTTCTTGCATTACATCAAAATATAACACTGAAAATCAACAGTATGATGGTTCCATATTGTTTTATTCAAGTCATTTTTATGGCAATCTCTAATTTAAAGCCTTCAAAGATTTGTTATTGACATTTTTTTATTTTTAACCTATTTCACACTCAGACAAAAAGAATAATGTATTTGCAGAAAGAAAGGAACTAAATCTATATGTTTATTTATTGTAGGATAAACAGAAATTAATGTATGATTAGCAGCATGAACTTTTCTTTGTAGGAGTATCGTCTCCTTGGAGTAAATCGAGAACTTCTTTTGACGGTCTCTTCAAAGTTGGATTTTCTGCCATGAATTTATCAACTTGCTTTGTAACATCTTCGAAAAGCTGTATAACATTAGATCCTGTCAATGCTGATGTTTCGTATACTATTTTAATACCATTTTTATTTGCAAAATCTTGAATGGTCTCTGATGAAATTTTTCTAATTGATGCTAAATCTGTTTTGTTTGCAGCAAGAGCAAGAAATACTTCCTGCGGTCCATTCTTCTTCAGCTCATCTAGCCAAGAAGCTGCATCGTCTAAACTTGTTTCGGTCGTTACATCAAAAACAATGATAGCCGCTGCAGCATCACGATAATACATAGGTGCTAGTGATCTGTACTTCTCGGAGCCTCCGGTATCCCAAATTTCGAGTTTAACTTCGTTATTATTAATAATAACTGATTTTGTTACGAAAGCTGCACCAATTGTGCTTTCAGAGTTTGGAAGGAATCTATCATGTGCAAATCTAAATACAAGTGAAGTTTTTCCAGCTGATGCAGCACCAAGAAGAACTATCTTCTGGGTGTTGCAAACTTCTCGATTTTTCATTGTCTGAAAAATGACAAATACGATGGCTGAAAATTGAGCCGAATGGCTTTTCTACAGGCATTGTTTGTTAACACTAAAGCATGATCTACCAGATACACGAAACTTTTTTCCTTGGTAGGATAGCTTCAATCTGATCGCAGTTAATTTTCGTTTCAGAGTTTAATCTGATATTCTCACATAAGTTGCGCATACCCATTGTTGGTGGTATATCGTAAATTGATAAACATTCAAGATTTGAGACTCTTTGGTTGATATTCAATATTGATAAGATAGTAATATACAAATTTTATATTGTACTATGCTATTTGTGTTGATCTTTGTCTTAATGAGTCGATTTAATATCTAATCTACTATATTAATGATCTAAAACTTTTTAAATATTGTTCATAGGCAATTAAAACTTTAAGTGAAATTCTAAAAAATTGTTTAGTGGTGCCTGATACTTAGAGTATGTCCTATTGACCATCGATTTCCGATATTGGATTTAAAATTACTTTGAAATGTTTTAATTTACAGATTTTTATGCACATCTATGTGAGAAACTGGTGTACGCATTAGTTTTTAATTCAAAAAATATTTGAAATTTCATTTTGTAAATTAAAAATATTAGAATTTTAAGTTCAAATTTAAGATTTTGAAATAGTTTAGTCGGTTTTTGCATTTTTAAAATGTTAGTCACCTTTCTCCTTCCAAAGTGAAAAAAAATTGTTTAAAATATAAAAAGAATTTTTATTCGCATAGGCGACAAACAAGGATTTATAAATAAATAATGGGGCTTTGAGTATTGATCTGAATTGAATCAGATAATTAGCCGTAAAAAATCTTCTCATAACGATTTCTCATGCCTGAAAGATGGCTATGAGTGGCGTTAATGAGGGCGTTTGATAATTGGAGTTGGACATAAAATTTGGAGATCTTAAATTTTGAGAATTTTGGTGCGATCTTACTGGTAAAAGCAAGAGTATGGAAGGAGATTGAACTGAGAAAAAACTAGAGCATGCAAAAGAATCATGCTACAGCTTAGTTGAATGTCATTTATGCAAATAAAAATATCTTTTTCAAATTTCAAACAAATTTTGCCACTTTTTGAAAGAAGATAAGGTAACAAACATTTTAAAATGCAAAACCTAGACTTAAACTATGCCGAAATGTGAGCTCACTGTTACGGTTTTTTCTTTTTTTGGGGGCTCGCAGCTCGCCCCCCAAAGAAAAAACCGTAACGGTGACTAACATTTAGGAAAAATTTTTGGAGATTTTTGATAAATTTAAATCTATAAATTGATTTAAATATCAAAATATTTTTATTTTTTTCTTATAGTTAAATAATTAATATAAAATTTTAATGAAAATAATTTCAAATTCATGTTATTAACTAGTAATTTTATGATATATCCTTCTACATTATAGAAATACTACCAATTCATGATTATATACTATTCTATTCTTATTTCATCTTGAAAGAGATATTAATTTTGAATCAACATCAAAGCAAATATCCACTGATGATTCTGAATTTTTATGTACATGCTTAATATTCTTAGCCTTAGTTGTATCTTATTAACACTAAAATAAATTTACGATGATTGCAGGGAAGAATACATTGCTTCCTATATTATTTAACGACACTATCAGAGAAAAAGCTTATGCTCTTAAAATTTTTGTTATATGATTATAAAAAGATATCCATTACATCTGCAATTTGGGAATTATCATTTTAGTTGAAGTGTTAATATTCTCAAAACTTATAAGACAAACTGGCTGCTACACTTATTTTGGCATCCTAGCGAAGAACTCTCACGCAAATGAGACTTTTTCGAAGTTCAAGGCGTAAACATTTAGAATTTGATTTATTTTTAAAAGTAGCAGCGAATGCAATATCCATAAAACCGACAAATCAAATCAAATTGAATTATTCAAAATTTTGTCGATAACAACTCCTCAATTCTATACATGCAGTCTTTCTCCGCCCCTGAGCCGGTAGAAGAAAGCTCCTATGCACGTATGAAGCGCGTTGTAAATATGGACAATTCCGAAGTCCGCAATAGTGTTTACACTGTACAGCGCGCTCAAGAAAAATCAAAATTTTCATCTTTTCTTCCAATTATTGGTCTAGCAATATTTGCAATTTTCTACATGGTCCCAATGTTCCCGACCCATCCAATTGCTCACACATGCTTTGCTATTCTTATTTTCGCGGCATATTGCTGGGGAACAGAGTTTATTCCATCTTATGCAACAGCTTACATAGTATGTCTTCTTTGTGTTTGGCTTCGTGTTGGATACAGTGAATCAAAAGGAGATAGAATCGATGCAACTACATTAGCGACACAATTTGCTGCTAAATTTATGGAGCCAATCATTCTTGTTTTCCTTGGATCTCTTACGATGAGTGCAGCTCTTACAAAACTTTCAATTACAGATCGTGTTTCAACATTCTTACTTTCACACATTTCTCCAAAGCCAAAGATTGTTTTAATCGCAATCATGTTCCTCAACTACTTCATCGCTGCCTTCCTTTCTAACGTTGCTTCAACAACATTAGTTTTAACATTTTCACTCCCAATCATTCGTTCTCTCGACCCATCTGATGAATTCATCAAGGCCTTACTTCTCGGTGTTGCATGGAGTGGCAACGTCGGCGGTATGTGCACTACAATTTCTTCACCTCAAAATATCATCGCTATTAAGTATATCAACGACAGTGGTGCTACATCTATTTCTTTCTTACAATGGGTAGCTTTCGCCATACCAGGATCTATCCTATTCCTTCTTTGCCTATGGTTATATCTTGTTATTTTATTTAAGCCAACATCCAACGAATTAAGGCTTTCTACAGAAGTTGAATTCTCTCCATGGACATGGAAGCATACATTCGCCTGCTTTATCACCCTCCTTACCATTGTATTATGGGTTCTTGAAGATACTCTTTCTTTCTTCCTCGGCCATGTCGGTATTACATCACTTATCCCAGTTATTGCCTTCTTCTGCACAGGAATCCTCAATTCCGAGGACTTCGGCGCTCTCAGATGGTCAACATTAGTTTTGATGGGCGGAGGTCTCGCTTTAGGAGAAGCAATGAAGATTTCCGGACTCTTAGACCTATTCGCCGACATGATTGCCGCACATCTCCACAACCTCTCTGTTTATGTTGTTCTTTTAGTCCTCTTAGTCATTGAAGCCATTTTGACATCAGTTATCAACCACACATCAGCTGCAGCCATTCTTTTCCCTGTTATCCAAGTAATTGGCGACAAACTCAATGCAACAACATCACTTCTTACTTGCTGCGCTCTCATGGTTTCTGGCTCTCAGCTCTTCCACATCTCTTCTTTCCCCAATGCTTTGATTTCTGGTGTTCAAAAGCATCAGAGAATGGATCCAACAAAGTTAACTTCGGAATCATTCCTCGGAGGAAAGGAGTTCTTCATGTACGGATGGCCAACAGAGATAATAATCATAGTTATCATTATCGCTGTATCAAAGAGCCTTGTTATGGCACTCAAGCTCAAATAAAAATAGAAAATAAAAAATTAATCTTTATCTCTATTATTTAACTACAAAAAAACATTTCATTTAAATAAAATCAAAAGGATCTAAGGACTTCTATGCGAGAGTATGGATCTTATCGTCAATCTTTTTGTTGTTGTTTTCATTTCTAAATAATTATTCTCAACTTATTTCATATACCATTCCATTTTAGTTTTTGTTTCATACTTGATGTACTCATCCTCATAAATTATAGAGAAAGTTGAGCATCTATGCCTTTAATCAGATGTTTTTTTTTGGAAATTGCTGGTTGCAACTTGTATTTTAGAATCTATTGCAATTCAAACTTAATATATATCTTTTTTATTGAACAGTTGTCAAATGCGTAACAATACTGGTATGATTTGGTTTCAGAAATATCTGAAATAAACTTTAATCTCTTTTCAAGTGGCCTATTTTAAATATCCCCAAAATACACATCAAATGATTGATATTATAAATCTGATTTCTCTTCGTAAAAAAATTCAGATTTAAATTTTTGTTTAAAATTAAGAACTGATAATATAAATATCACAAAAAGAACACAAAAATGTTTTGTTTATAAAAATATTTCACATCTATGAGCGAATATGAATGTCATATTTTGAACTATTCATATAGAGTATTGGTATATATAAATTTTAAGACATATAGCACTAATAATTATACGTTGGGCTTCTGAGCTATGTATTGCGTTTAATCTTTTAGGAGTTGCAACATTTCGGAGTATTATTTCGCTAGTGAAGAGGGAACTATGCTTATGACACAAATATAGTTCGAGCATGCCATAATGATATCATTGAACTTCAGAAATTCATTGAGAATCTTAAATATGCCATTTGACGTCATCGTTAGGTTTTGAGGGGGAAGCACCAAAGTTTTCAATTCTACAACCTTTCAAAGGGTCATCGTAGTAAAGGTATTCAGCATACGGTGCAAGCAAATGATAAAAGAAATTTATCATCCGCCATCTCATAACGGTTATCTATTGAATTTATTCTATGATTGAATGAAATTGAGAGTAGATTGTTGTAATGAATTTTTTAAAGTAAAAGTTATATTTTGGCCATACTATATTTAAAATACAAAAATTAAAAAATAACCATAAGTAAAGCATTTTCGGCGAGTCAAAGTTCAAAGCCAACTGAATCTTTGTTTCATAGAATGTGAATATCTTCTCAAAGGGTTCTGTTGTCGATAAAAATTGATAAATCAAAGATGTCGGAATTAAAAATCTTGGTGTTTTCGGGATTTTAATAATGAAATAATATTTAATATCATATATACTCATGCTATTCCAATTCGGGCTGAGTCAAATTCAAAAAGTATTTTTAGCAAAATGAATGGCGCATCAACTTCTGGAAAAGATCCCAGAAGTAGCGATGAAGCTCTTCGGCCAAAAGGAAGAATAGTCACCAGAATAAGAGATAACTCTGAATTTCACAATATTTTAAACGCTAAGCAATTACAATTTAATAAAAATTGGCTTATCGATAATTTTGCACGCACATCTTACGTTTTCATACCTAATTCTATGACATCGCAAGATAGTGTAAAAGTCCCAACCTATTTTAACGAATCTAATCTATTTCCAGGAGAAACTGAACCAGGAAGTATAGATCCAGAGCAGGTTAAAATGTTCCTTGGCCAAGGAAAAATAGATAGCAATAATTTTACTTTGATTAAAGACACAATTCCAAATACTATTCAATATTATGACCAAAAAATGAAGAGATTACCAAACTTACGCTTTAAAAACTTAGTACAGCTCACTATAGGCACATTTCCGAATAATTTTAACTCCCAGTACGGCTACATTGCGATTTTTGATCCAACAACGTTAAAAATTGTCAGTGCAGCCATGCCATTCCTCATTGTCGGCCAAATAGCTAAGTTCCCACAGACAGAGCAAGATTCTATTTACTTCCCATTCACCAAAGATCTTAGAAATTATCATCTTCTTTTCGTTATTTACGGAACAACCGAAACATCATACAAACATCAAACAATGATTGCTATGAACTCATTCCCGTTTTGCGAAAAGGGCAATTTCATTTCAAGAACAACATTTCCGATCAAATTCATCAACATAATCGATAATTCATTCGAAGAAACATTGAAAGCTTTGGTCGACAGATCGAGAGCTACAGAATCCGATGCAACAATCGAATTCGAGATCAAAAAATTACCTGCTCAAGACCAAAAGTCCAGCATTTGCTATCCATGGTCAATCGATTACAACGGAATGCTTGTTGTTAATATACTTAAGCATCCTTCCGTTATTCCATCTCCATTTATTCTTTTGTCAAATATCAAAATTTCATGGAAGCCAAGCCCTCGCTACACTCATTTCTGCTTCAAAGCGTACTACTTCCAGAATACAGATTCTATCGGTACTCCGCCAGGAGTTGCTGCCATGTTGAATCAGCAAAATTCGAAGTATGATCCATGTTTCGAATCAACGATACTTCCTGTGAGTGCAGAAATGTCCTTCCCAGACGTTGTACAGATCGCTATTGGCAACCATGAACCTTGCCAGACATCTCATATTATTCTTTACGTTTACGGCTACGGTCCTAAGGATTTGAACGGCACTGTCACAGCCATTGTTGTTCTCCCGATGTTTGTGGACGGAATTCCAATCCCATCCGGAGAAAATTACTTTGCCTATCACGAATCTAAGAAATTATCCAAGAACTACTTCAAGAAACCAAAGGGCCACATCAAAGACCCCAAGAATCCTGGCAAAACTTTCATGAAATGCGACGTTTTGTTACCACATGCTTTCTTTGTACCGACAAAACTACTTTTCTACAAAGATGCTGATTTCTCAACAATCTCCAAACAATCACTAATCGAAAACGTCCTACCTTTGATCGTCAAATTCTTCGCTTCAGATGATATTGCGGATTACAAGAAATTCTACGACCTCTTCCGCTATATCGGAGTTAACGAAAATGTTTTGAACGACATTTACAAATGGCTTTACGACGGTTTCGATCCGAAATCCCTCGACAATGAAGGAAAAGAATCATCCTACGTCAAAATCTGCGAGAACTTCTCACAGATCATCGAGGAAGGCCTCACACTCAAGGATGATAACGATGAGCTCTTCGATTTCCTCAAAACCTCTGAGATGGTCGTTCCAATTATTTTGACAGCCGCAATGGTCTGTCTCCACTATCCGATGAACAAGAAATACAACGAAGCTCACTTCGTCAAGCTCGCTACTTCCGTCTGCAAGCTCATTGCCAAGCATATGAACATTGTCAGAGAATATCCACCGTATGAGCGACCAAAGAAGCTCAAGAAAGGCGAGGAATTCAAGAAACCACCACCAAAAGTCAGAGATCTTGATGCAAAGTTCCTCCAATCCGGAGTAATTAAAATGATCGACTCATTAGCCGAAACAATCCTTAACTGCATCTCATTCCTCTCCAGTACAGCTATTTATACCATTACAGTCGGTTACATCAAGTCAGTTAACTACGAAGCGAACTTTTCCAACGAATTACGAAACATGGTCTACATACAGATCAGATTCCTTTCAAAGATCACTTCATCCAAGCTCTTTACACGTTCATTTGCCATTGAAGCACCATTGCAGAAGGAATACAAAGCCACATACGTTCCTTACAACTATTTCATCTCCACGTTGTTCAAGGATTTCATGCTTGCATTCGCCATGGATTCAACATTCATCATCGATGCAGTTTCTGCCATTTTCATACAGATTGTTTTATCTGCTGAAGAACTAGATCCAGAGATTCGGCATCGTGCAGCTGTAGCAATTCTTCCTCTTCTCAACTTGTTGTATGAGAATTTCAACAACCACAAGATCAAGCAGAATCCAGATCTCCAGTACAAATACATTCTTTGTACAATGTTTATTTTCGGTGCTGCTCCTGTTGAAGCTTCCATTTACTTCTATGGATTGGAAACGACATTTAAACTGAAATTCCTCAATTTCATGATCTACTGCGGGAATATAATGGTTGAGAAAGGCCGTGAGAGTCCTGAAATGCTTCACGTGTTTGTTAATTACAGCCAGAATGTCCTTTTATTCCTTTCTTACGCTGCAAGATATTCTCGCAATGTTTATCAGGAATTTGTAAATTTGATGTTAGTTTTTACAAATGAGTTACAACCATCAATTACATTGATTGACAACCAAACATGCTTTATATCATATAACATGTTATTGATCAACAATGTATTGAAGAGAGTCATCAAGGAACAAACACTTTACGCCGTAACTTGTAAATGGATTTTGCCATTGACGCAAAGAAAACAACACTTTTACAGAGAATTCGTTGCAGCGTCACTTTTCCAGATTTACAAGGAAGACTACAGGAAAACAGGTAAACAACAACCAGAAGATTACGCAAGGCCAATTAAAAACAACATCACGCTGAGTTCCGTTGAAACTCTCGACTCTTTGACGAATACGATGTTTAATTTAACTGATGAACAATATACGATCAATTATATTAATTTGGTGAGATCTCTTAAGATTGATCAGAGTCCTTTCATTGATCCTACACTCCAGAAGAAGATAACTGAACGTGCAAAGAACGCGGAAGTTGTTTTCGCTTGCATTTTGGAGCAAAAGAAATCAACACTTCCTCCTGACCAATTAGCAAGATCAATCATGAGAATTGCTGACGAATACAAGGACTTGCCATCAATGAGAATGCAATGGCTGCAGCAGATCGTCAGAAAGAACAAAGAAGCACATGATTTGATCTCAGCTTTCATCGCTCAAATTCATGTCGTGGCTTTGAGTTGTCATGTTTTCCAGTCAAGATACAATTTGGAGAACGATAAAGATTTTTATTTGACAACACGTATGAAATCACCTGATCAGAAATCAGATGACAGTGTTACCAAATGGAACTTGTTATTTACTCAGCCAAGGAAACAAGATATCGAGAATGAAATCAAAGATTTCTATTTCGATATGAGTGATTTCGATTTTTCACCTGATGCAAGGAAAGAATTTGAGATCTTCTACGAACCAGAAGTTCTCAGATCATCTCTTCTCAACGAGATTGACATGAGACATGTCATCAACGTTTGCACAGAAGCAATACAAATCGGAAGAGCAGCTCACATGAATTATTCTCTCAGACCTTTGTATTCCTTCATTTTGAGAATGTGCAGAAGATTGAGAGATTCAGCGACAGCAGCCAAATTCTATCAGGAATACAGTGAAGACGAAGTCAAGATAGAATCAAACGATTTCTATAACAGAAACGGTGGCCCTGATGGCGTTCACTTCTACATGATAGAAGATAAACAACATTCACAAAGAACTGTTTACACATCTAATTTGCAAATTGATGAATTTGTAACGATGATGAAACAGTACTATCCAAATCTTAAGAGCTGCCCTTACCACACTGATAATTGCACAAGACAAGGAACATGCATAATCGAGATTGTTCCTTACGAAGATATGACAGCTTCCATTGAACGAAGACACACTTACACATCGTTCAAATCTGTCATAGAAATAAAGACAAATGAATCAGTTATTTACACGAAACAAGATGCGATTGAACTCTTCATTGAAACAGAAGAGAACTCTCCTCATTACGCACAAAGTGTCGCTGTAAAGACTGTTACTCCTAAATCATCGAAAGCAAATGATTACATCATTGGAGAAGTCAACAGAGCTCAGAAGAGAATTGATGACATGTCCGATGAACTTGAATCAGTTCTTCCTGACAATGAAAACAAAGTTAACATCGAATTCTTTGACAAAGACATAGAAAGGATCACGAATTTGATCAAGGAGTTCAGCAAGGACTACTACGTAGTTTGGAACTACATCAAAGACGCAGAAAGAACATCAATGATCAATTCATTGAGAAATTCTTTCCAGAGATTAATGAGAGTCTTCGCAAGATTCATCAGAAATGCACCTTCTAAATTCGAAGAAAAATGGAATGAAATGTTCGAAGAATCTCGTTCCAATTTGCAATCTTTCTTCCAGAGATTGAAATGCATCATGTTCGATGTAACAACTTCTGAATCAGTAAGTTTGGATCCAATGAGAGAATTAGGATTCACTGAATACGGTGGAATTTAATTTTAATTTTAGTTTTTATTATTATAATATATTATTTTAATATATTAATCGTATTTATTTTTGTTTTATATAGATGATTTTTTAATTGACTCATATTTCTAAGCATTACTTGAAATAAGTTAGAAAGGAAATAAAAAACTTATTTTATAAAAAATTATTTTTTTTTTCCAACTCACAAAATTCTAAATCTAAACGAAAAAGTACCAATATATTTTAACCACAGCTCCTAAATTTAGCCATTAATAGATCAATATAATAAATTGTATTTATATTTTTATCATACAATATTTGACTTTATCATATGAATTATTTATGGGAAGTATATTGTATTCCTTTACTTTTCTAAAGCATTAGCTAATATTCAGATTAAATGGTTAAGGTCATAGCTTTATACATGTTGATTTTATTTGCCTTTTAGCAGTTGAAATGAAGTATTGAATATGGTAAGATTTTGGATGGTAATTTCCCTAGATTTTGAAAAAATTTTCCCATTCAATTATTAAGAATGTAATATTTAGAGTAAGGGTTTCGTTTTGCGAAAAAAACGTACAATACGCAATTTCGCTAAAAAACATTTAGCTAGCAATTTCGACCTTTGACTCCACTCAAGACGTCACTTTTTTAATTTTGCGGTATCATATTTTTGGAAAATCTTTATGAATATTATATAAAAAGTCTCTTTAATATCTATATTTCATATTTTTATCGATTTTTAAAGTTTTTGCGAAAAGTATTCAATTATTTTTGCTATTTGGTCGGGTAAATGTCAGATTTGCGACATTTTCTGATATGATATTCAGATTCTAACGTTGATAATAATGCATATAGAACCCTCTTGCTATTGTGTCAAAATTGCGAAACCGATAGCAAAAATATCTCGCAATATCAAAATTGAGATATTGAGTGAATTATGCATTATAGAGATTAAAAATCTGATTTGTGAAAACATCTCATCAGTTTCTAGCTAATTCAAAATCTTTACTATCTTATTCGATTAAAATGAAAAGGGAATAGTTTCATTATGCTTTAAATGACAGCCTTATAATATAATCATAGTTTTCGCTCAATATGCAGCATTTTTTTTCGAAATCTATGGTCAATATCCTAAATACTGATTGCTTTGCATTCATATCTCTTACATTTTCTATACCCACATCACTATTCATTGCTATTCCTATCTTTTCATTTTTGTTTGTTTCTCATAATTTCTCAAAAAACATGATAACTTGATATTTGTAAATATCATACTTTATAACGTAAATAAGAACTTGACCTATTAAGAAAAGCAGTAATGAAAAGAAAATCTGAAATTCATAAAAATTACAAGTTTCTGATGACAATTAGCTTAATTAAACCAGGTACAAGATTATATAATTGTATTTTCTAGTCTTATTTTCATTACAATATTCTTATCAAATAACTTGATCAATACCAAATGATTTTTTAACTAGTAAATAAAGTATTTTCTTTACACACACATTGTATATCATAGTTTTTTTTTTGGTTTCGCAAAACATCCAAAAACAAATATGCTATAAAAGTGACAATTTTAGCAAAACGAAACCCTTATTTAGAGTCATAGATGATAGTATATTAAGTTAGAAAACGCATAGAAGACAAAAAAATATTGTCAAGAATTTTGTAAAGTTCACAATTGTTCAACCAAGGGTTTTGTCAAACCGCCTGTGAAATTTTTTTCTATTTTTTTATTACAAGGTAATGGCTGCACAAATTGATGTATCAAAGTTAAATTCATTATCACCAGAAATCATCATCAACCAAAGTACAATCAACATTGGCACAATCGGACATGTCGCTCATGGTAAATCTACAGTTGTTTACGCTATCTCTGGCGAATCAACAATTCGCTGGAAGAAAGAACTCGAACGTAACATTACAATTCGTCTCGGTTATGCTAATGCTAAAATTTATAAATGCCCTCAATGCCCAGCACCACAATGCTATATCTCCAGGAACTCTGAAATTCTTACAGATCCAAGATGCCCACATTGCAGCTCACCAATCGAACTTATCCGTCACGTATCTTTCGTCGATTGCCCTGGACACGATGTCCTTATGGCTACTATGCTCAATGGTACAGCAGTTATGGATGCTGCCCTTCTTCTTATTGCTGCTAACGAACACTGCCCACAGCCACAGACTTGCGAGCACCTTGCTGCTGTCGAAATCATGAATCTTAAGCATATCATTATTCTTCAGAACAAGATCGATCTTGTTCGTCAGGATGAAGCTGCCGATCAATACCAAGCTATTCTCAAGTACACAGCTACAACAGCTGCTCGTGGATCCCCAGTTATCCCAATTTCCGCCCAACTTACATTCGGTGTCGATGCTGCTGTCGAGCGTATTGTCGAGACAATCCCAATCCCAGTCCGTGACTACTCAGCTAGCGCTCGTATGGTTGTTATCAGATCTTTCGATATTAACAAGCCAGGTACAGATGTTCGCCAGCTTGAAGGTGGTGTCGCAGGTGGCTCCATCCTTGTCGGCTGCCTCCGCGTCGGCGAAGAGATCGAAATCAGACCAGGCCAACTTATTAGAGATGAAGACGGCAAACAGGTCTGCCAGGTCCGCCGTGCTAGAATTACATCACTCAAGGCCGATCATAACCCATTACAGTTCGCTGTCCCTGGTGGTCTTATCGGTATCAAGACAACTCTCGATCCATCACTCTGCCGTGCAGATCGTCTTGCTGGCCAGGTTATTGGCCAACCAGGAACACTTCCAGAAGTTTACATTCAACTTTCTGTTTCATTCAGACTTTTACATATGCTTCTCGGCGTCGTCAACGCCAAGAGCGCCGCCGATACAAAGATTACAGCCCTCAAGCTTAAGGAGGTCCTCATGGTCAACGTCGGCTCTACATCTACTGGTGCACAGGTCATAGGTATCAAGGATCAGTATGCTATCCTTTCCCTTAGAGAAGCTGTTTGCACCAAGATCGGAGAAAGAATCGCTCTCTCCAGAAAGATTGAAAGAACTTGGAGACTTATCGGCTGGGCTAGAATCCTTAAGGGTGAGACTATCCCAACTATTGAACCATAAAATAATATTAATTTCGATTTTTAAAAGTATATTAAATTATAAATTTATGATAAAAATAAAAATTATCGATATTAATTTTTTTTTTAATTTTCTTTAAAATCATCAAAAATACATATACATAAACTTACTTATATTCAATGATTATTGAATCTTTACATTAAATGAATAATTTTCTTTGATGAAAATCAAATTGATCAAATTTAAATGATACAACATTAATATGAAGTCTTAGTACAATTAATATCTTTGATCTTTGCTAGCAAAACTTCAAAAATATATTGAAAATTTAAATAAGTAATATTAATCAAATTTAATTAGTATCACAAGCATTAAAAGTCTTAGGATAATTCATACATTTAAGAAATATTAGCTTAACTTCAAAGAATAATAATTTTTTTAAAAAAAATTCTATTTTTCAGAATGATTAATCATGAATACGCTCATCTAAGATGAAAATAATATGATTTGTCAAAATATTTTGATTGTATGTTATTAATTCAAACAATTTTGATTAAATTTTTAGAGCTATTCCAATTTTGATCTGATAAAATATATTTTTGATTCATGGTAGTTCTAAAATATGATTATCTAATATTGTGCCTCTTCTAAAATTTTGTAAACTTGTTATGAGCAGCGCCCGCCTTCGCAGACAGATGCGAGAGTATTTAAACAATCGCCTTCAGGAGTCACAGAGAGCTGCTACACAAGAGAGAAAAGATCGTCTTAAGTCTTTTATGGCTCAAGGCAAAGAACTTCCAAGAGATATCAGAGATGATGCTCTTCAAATCCTTAAAGCTACAACATATGATGACAATGAGACTCAATTTCAAAATGAACTTGATAACGAATACGCAATGATGGGTGTTGAAGATCCTCTTGTTGCTGTTACGACTTCAAGAGATCCTGCAGGCCCAATCAAGACATTTGCAAGAGAAATATCACAAATTATACCAAATGCACAACGTATTAACCGTGGTCAAATGGATTTGAAAGGATTAGCTGATCTTTGCAGACAACATGATATGACAGACTTAGTTATCGTACATGGAACACATGGTGACCCAGATTGCATCGTTATTTCGCATTTACCGTACGGACCAACAGCTTATCTTTCATTAAAGAATGTTGTTATGCGCAGAGATGTTCCTGATGCTCCACCACTCTCAGCAGCATTCCCACACCTTGTTTTCGAGGATATGACCTCAAAATTAGGTAAAAGAATTACAGATATATTAAAAGCACTTTTCCCAGTTCCAAAACCAGAATCACATAGAATTATATCATTTGTTAATCGTAATGATTGGATTTCTTTCCGCCAACACACATTTACAAAAACTAAAGGACAAATCCAGCTTCAAGAGGTTGGTCCTCGCATGGAAATGAAGCTGTTTAAGATTGTTAGAGGTTCTATTGATAATGCTGCTCCAGAAGTCGAATTTGCTCTTAGATCATTTATCAGATCAAAAGCAGCTCTTCTCAAAGCTAAAGAAGAGGATTCTGATGAAGAAAAATAAAGTTTATAAAGTATTTTTTATAATTAACCATTTTTTTAGAGTGTCTAAACGACGCTTTATAAATCCAAAAGTGAATTATTGATTAAAGATCCTTCTGTTTGTAGTAAACAATGCAAACATAAGATGAGATGACTTTAACCTAAGAGTGGGTTTAAAATATAGCAGTTCTTCAATGTAAATTGATGCAATCCTATTAAAATTTATATTGGACTCATAAAGCACCAAAATACATAATGCATTATGACTCTGTTCATGTGTATTGATTAGATTATACTAGTTTTTTATTCAAAATTATCAATGGGTTTTACAAATGGTGCAAAAAATGCGCAAAAACGATTATTTGAAATTGAATTTGCACATTTTTTGCGTATTTGAAAAATTTTGGAGTTGGCCATTATTAAAAATCAAATTCATTAATAAAGAATTGCAACAGTTGCGTTTGCAAAAAATATAAAAGAAAAAATTCATTCATTTTTGACTACTTTACACGGATTGATTTTTAAATGCATGGTTTTTTGCACTTATTAATAAGCGAAATTTTGGCCATTCTTATGAATATTATTACAAGATTAACATTAATTAAAAAATAAGCATCTTATATAGAAATACTAATCCTTTGTACCATGTGAAATAAGAACTTCGGCTGTTTCTTTATAATTCCAATATGATGCAATATGAAGAGCGGTTTTTCATTCTTCATTTTTTTCATTGATATTTGCACCATGTGAAATAAGAAGTTCGGCTATTTCTTTTCTATGAAATTTTGTTGCATAATGAAGAGCAGTTTTTTCATCTTTATCTTTTTCATTGACATTTGCACCATGTGAAATAAGAAGTTCAGCTATTTCTTTTCTATTATTAAATACTGCTGCATAATGAAGAGCAGTTCTTCCATTATTATCTTTTTCATTGACATTTGCACCATGTGAAATAAGAAGTTCGGCTATTTCTTTACTATTTTTAAATACTGCTGCATAATGAAGAGCGGTTTTTCCATGTTTATTTTTTTCATTGACATTTGCACCATGTGAAATAAGAAGTTCGGCTGTTTCTTTACTATTTTTTTCTGCTGCACTATGAAGAGCGGTTTTTCCATCTTTGTCTTTTTCATTGACATTTGCACCATGTGAAATAAGAAGTTCGGCTATTTCTTTACTATTATTATATGCTGTAAAATGAAGAGCGGTTTCTCCATATTTATCTTTTTCATTGATATTCGCACCATGTGAAATAAGAAATTCGGCTGTTTCTTTACTATTTTTTTCTGCTGCTATATGAAATGCAGTTTTTTCATCTTTATCTTTTTCATTGATATTTGCACCATGTGAAATAAGAAGTTCAGCTATTTCTTTTCTATTATTAAATACTGCTGCATAATGAAGAGCGGTTCTTCCATTATTATCTTTTTCATTGACATTTGCACCATGTGAAATAAGAAGTTCGGCTATTTCTTTACTATTATTAAATACTGCTGTAAAATGAAGAGCGGTTTTTCCATCTTTATCTTTTTCATTGACATTTGCACCATGTGAAATAAGAAGTTCCGCTGCTTCTTTTCTATTATATTTTGCTGCATAATGAAGAGCTGTTTGTCCATATTTATCTTTTCCATTGACATTAGCACCAATAGAAAGGAAATATTCACAGAGAGATGGAATATTGAACCTTGCTGAATAAAGAAAGCATTTGTTAACATCATTAGTTTGATCAAAATAAACTAAAAAGGATTCAAGATTACGATACAACACACAAACATCTAAATCAACCTTTAGATTATACTCATTCATTAAGAATGTAACAAAATCAATGTTGTGTGAAATAATTGCATAAAACATGCAATATTTATCTGGTTTTTGATATTTCAAACATTCACTCATGATCTCTGGATTTCCTCCTAAAAATGAAAATTCTAGACATGTTTGAGTTATTTCTGACTTAAATTTCGTTCTCAATAACTTGAAACAATCAACTGCTCCATGATAACAACATAATTCAAGTAATGAATATCCATAATAAGAATATGGATATAAATCGCATTTAAGTTTTTGATCTTTATCAAATCCTTCTATTTCAGTGAATGTGATGAATCGTTCTAAGTCATTATACATAATTGCTCGGTAAATTGTATCTTCTGTATGAATATCGAGATTTTTTGAGTTAATTGTTTCGAAATTGTCTGATTTGTCTAATTTAATTCCATATTCTTTATAAAATATGTATCTAACAGTTAATGGAGCATCGATTTCCTTGTTTATTTGATAATTATCATATATGAGTTTGGCGAGAGATAAATAAGCCTTTGTATAGCGATAATTATACGGAATGATACATAAAATGTCACTTATAATAGTATGAGGAAGTAATTTCTTTGAATCAATCAATTCTGTTTTGATCATTTTGAAAATCTTGTGTATTTCTTCTTCATTTTCAGTTTTCAGCTGATACAATGCATTATATGAATCGATGGAGTATTGATACATACTTCGCAATTCACTGTATTTTTTTGAGTGAGTGTCTTGATCGGACATTAATAATTTTTAACAAGGACACATTTCAACATTACCATTTAAAACATCTCTAAAATTCATTGGGAAAAATAAATGCCATATTATATCTGTGGAAAAACACAGATCAGAAAGATTTCGGGCTTCATTTATGCATTTTGATTAAGTTTGTAGATATGAAATAACACAATAACAACATGAAAGTCTAAATCAATAATATTTTCATCCAGATGCGTATGTTAAAAGCGTTATTTGGTAATGTAAGCTTATACACATTTTTTTCCCCAAAGTTCTTCCAATTTCATTGAGTGCAAGGAGTATCAAGCAGTCCAGCATTTCGAAGGAATTTATAAGATTATTGCGTAACTTTTCAAAAGCAGCACATTTTTTCTCAATCTATAACATAATGATGCCCTATGGAGAATAATGTTGTTTCCCTAACTACTGGATTAAAATCAATATGTTAGGGAAGCAATTTTTTAAAGGAGTCCTGTTATCTATCCATTAAGTTTAATTATTCACCACGAGTGAGAACAAAAAGAGTAAGAAGGATATATTATAACCACATATCTCTAAACATTTCATTCTCATCAGAAATAGTAGAATATATTGGCAAAAGTCGCTCCTTCCGTTACCGGAAAGACTAGGAGGGGTCCTCACATTGTGAAAGGACTCACATCCGAGTCTTTCTGGCGAATTTTGGTTCGTTTTGCAAGTTCTTGCTCCGAATCTCGGCCGAAGCAGCAGACGCTTGCAATTGTATGTCATAAGAGGTGAATTTATTGTGCTAAAATGCACTTGACGCGAACATCATGCAAAATTCTGATCTTCATGGAAAGGGCGCCCAGACCGGCTAGAAAAAACATGTTTTTCTCCATCAAGAATTTTGCGATTGGTAAAATCTTGATATTGATTCAGATTTGAGAAGGTTGAAGCGAAAATCAAATTTTGAGACTTGTTATTTAGTTAAATCGTTCTATATATACTTAAATCATATCCTTTTTCATATTGAAGATTTATCTCAATGTTTTCAACATAAAATTTTTTTTTACTCTGATTGATGAAAAATGCTCCATCTTCTCATGGAGTCAACTTTACACCATATGATTTCAAGTCAAGAGAAGTAAAAAGCAAAGATCTTCCTCAGAGTCCTTTGTATATTGGATGGCTCTACGATACTTTTGGATTAAATTTAACTCAAAGTAATAAAAAGTGTTTCATGTTCGATTATCAGTTGACACACACCAATCCAGCCAGATGCATAGTATTTGTTAATAAATTAGATATCTATCAACTACAAATAAAAACCGGCGATGAAATTAAGATTTTCTTTTGGTCAGATCTAAGATCTTTTGCAGAAGAGACAACAACTGTATTATCACAGATTATTAAGCAAAGTTACATGAAAAATTTTTCAATTCCATCAATTTTACCATTTGTCGATCAACGCTGGGAAACAATTGCAAGCTACATGACTAATAGCCGCAACAAATCACAAGACACGCGAATTTTATATCATTACATTAACCATTCCTCTTATGACGAAAAACGAGATTTTTTAACATTCACATATAAAGATGGAACAGCACAAATACTATTTACAAAATTCCTAACATATTTGTCTGATGGATCTACCATTGTTGTCGAAGAAAATAACGCTGGAGCGTTACTTCCAATTTTAAAATCGTATATACAGTCATTTCCTAATCAACCAGACATAATAGCGTTTTTCTCATGCTCTGCTGATCAATCTATGCCAATTGCAAAACATATTCCCGTTGATTCATTTTCATCATGCATATTAACACCGGCAAGAGCAGCATTACTCTATCACAGTCGCGCATACTACTGTTTTACAGATAGTTCTTTAGAACCAATCGCTCCTTTGTTCTTTAATTCTCTAAATGAAGAAAAAAAGAAATTTGTTGATGAATGTTTTAACACTTTAACGCTTGTTTTAGAGACAGTTGTCGAATCAATGGCATTTAGACTACTTCCACATCATTTATTCTACAAATTATTCCGTTCTGATACAGCATTAGCCAAATTAACCACAAATTTCATTTTGGCTTGCAGGGTTTTAGAGACATTTGGAATTAAACCAGTTTCATACCCAGAATTGCCAGATATGACAAGAGAACCTGAATGGGCTACATTTGATTTAAGGTTAGACACTGTTTTAACGATGATTCAAGGGAAGAGTCAGCCTGCCGATACAGGGTTCAAGAAATTTTTGTCCGGAGTTTCATGTTCCGTAAATTATGTAATGACAGCTCCGATCATCACTCCTGATCCGCCAATCGAACTTAGTTTCCTCAAGCTCCTCCTAAGAGACGACGAATATTGTTTGGCCGCATGTGACTCATTGGCCGTATTTCTGAATAACAACTTCATGGCGATGGAATGGACGCTGAACTTTTTCATTTTCACGACATTGTTCTCGGTTCTTGAAAGAGGAAAGTGTTCGGCTTCTGTTTTGTTTTGTATTACAAAAATATTAGCTTATTGCCCAGATATCCGCAACACAGTATCACAGCAACTACCTAAAGCTATAGAATATTCATTAATTCCTAAGCTACAACAAAACGGAGAGCTTGTACAAAAAAGATTAGTACTTATTACGTTAGTTTTAGTTTTAAACGAATCCCAACAATGCTGCCGTACAGCTATGAAGTCAAAGGATATCATTAAATTCTGTTACATCCCAGATTTTCCAACTTGGAGTTTACATTTAATTAATTGCCTTGCTACATCAATATCTGAGAGTTCCATCAAGGGGCAACTCCTCGAAATAGTCAAAAAAGTCGACTCAAAAGGCGACATCGAGATAGAACTCTGCATTGTTTCAGCATTAAGCTCATTTATCGCCACATCCTTACAACCAGGCCTCAAACATTACAACTTTACTGACTATTATGATAAAGGAACCATAGAAGAGCAAGCAATGCAGATAGGTCTCGAAATGGGAAATTCATTATCGGCAATTATTCGACACGAAGTACTTATTCTATTTGCAAAGTTTGTTTCTATTCATATTACAGAATTTCTCGAACCAAAGAGTCCATTTTTCGAAGAACTCGGTAGATTTTTCGCAAATTGTTTAAATGACCCTTCTCCTATGGTCAAAGAACTCGCAGATTCCATTCGTGCTAAAATTGATGCAAGTGATGATTTCCCAAAGCTTTCAAATGTCGTAAATCAGTATCAAACAGCTTTATTAGGTGTAGTTGACCAATTAATGGCTGATTCAGTTACTCCTTTCTCGAAGATCCTTTCTAATGTTACATACAACAAAGACTCTTTCACTCCGTCCAAGATAATAAGGGTAAATGAAATGAAAAGAATGAAATATTTAGCGACCATGAATTTCAATGCCGAAATTTCCACAAATCTTTCCGTCAATGGTAACGATCTTATTTACGGAGATTTGAGGGGATATATCTCTAAAGTAGACATCAAGGATACTACATTAGTGAAATCAGTGAAAACTGTTAATTCTTCGCTGACATCAATATCTTATTTCAAGAACGGAGGTTATCCGTTGATATTTTCATCATCCTATGAAGGGAAGTTTTATTCATATTCCATTTCCAATATATTTGACCTACAAATGGTCAATTGTTTTAAATTTTCCAATGATCTTAATGTACAGCGCCACAGATATAGATTTGATGTAGATCCTGTTACATGCAAGATGTTTTCATGGAGTAATGACTCAGCATCTGTAAATGTCTATGATTTACAGTCATCAAAATCATTATTCGAAATTCCAATCGAAAAAGGTAATGTAACTGGATTTAAATCAATTCCTAGATATCCAGATATCGTTGCTGTAACAGGAAATAACTTATATCTATTTGATTTGAGAGCATCAAACCAAAAATACGTAAATGAGTATGAATTGCCATATCCCATCTTCGATTTCGATATTGTCAACGAGCAAATACCAACATTTGCTGTTTGTCATACAGAATCGAGCGTAAGTTTCGTTGATGCAAGATTTCCTGGCGAAAAAACAGTTATGCTTTGGTCGACAGACAATGCATTGACTCGTGGCTTTGCAGGCTGCAGAGAAAATGGAATTGTCGCTGTCGGATATCCGAAAGGAATAACTTGCGTTAATTCGGAAAACTTCGACCAAAAGGAGGTACCTGCTATTCCAGAAAGTATCTTCTCTTCGAAGACACCTGTTCCAAGCTTTATTTCTTTGACTCCCGAAAGATTATTATTTGTTCATGAAAAATCAAATATTGTTTTTGTAAGTTTATAAATTTTATTGAATAAAATATATTGTTTATGAATTTTAAGGGTCAAATGGATTATCCATATTGTCCTAATTTTGTATTTTTTTTTAATATGTAGTCAGAAGATTTTTATATTGGATAGCTACAGTATACACTATTAAGTATCTGAATCATAACTGCTTTGTAGATCAGCCTCTTAAAGTTAATTATTACCAAAACTCAATTTTGAACGAAGGATTATTATTTTAATCTGGAAATGTGACAAAATTAACATTTTCGTCAGACGAAAATGAGATTTTTTTTTATTTTCAGGGTCATGCTAAAAAGTTAATTTTATGTGGTTGCATTGCTATGATACAAACTTGAATTACAATGCATCTATTATGGCGAAAATAAATAAATTGATATTGACTTCGCTAAAAAAAATTTTAACTCGAAATTCACAAAAAATGAAACAATTTGAAATTAGAACTAGAATAATAACATGCACAAGGAGCTATTGAATAAAGTTGTGTATGGGTAGATTGCACTTAAATTAATAGAAATAGAGTTATAGTTCAATAATTCAGATGCCAGACGAAAATGATAATGCCCCATTTTGAACTCTTTATAAATTTTATATTGTATTATAGAACTTGATTGAGAAGAAATTCTGCTATTTTCTCATTATTAAATTCTATTGCAATATCAAGAGCGGTATAACCATTTTCATCTATTATATTAATGCTTGCACTATGCAAAAGAAGCATGTTTGCAATTTCTAAATAACCATTTTCTGCTGCAATGTGAAGTGCAGTTCTATTTTCGATATTAGTCAAATTAGTATCCGCTCCAGAAATAACGAGAAGATTTACAATATCTTGGTGATTTTTCAATGTTGCAATATGAAGAGGATTAAATCCATAATTCTCTTTTGCGTTGATATCTGCGCCATGTGAAATAAGAAGATTTGCAATTTCTTTGTTATCATCTTCTGAAGCATAATGTAGCGCAGTTTTTCCATGAAAATCTTTCCCTATTATATCAATTCCATGCGAGATAAGAACAGCTGCTATTTCAATGCTATTAAAGTTTGCTGCTTTATGAAGAGCATTCATGCCAGTATCTTGTTTTGCATCGATATATATACCATGTGATATAAGAAATTCTGCTGCTTGATAGCAATTATACATTGCTGCATAATGTAATGCAGTTGTCTTGCCTTGTTTACTCCTTGCATTAATATTTGCACCATTTGAAAGGAAATACTCCCATAATGAGGGAAGATTTAAACAAGCTGAATATATAAAACATTCATCAATGTCTTTTGTCAAATCATAATAAGCCAAAAACGCTTCAAGATTGTTATATATTACACATGCCAATAAATCAATTGGTATTTGATGTTGTTGGAAAAGATACATGACAAAGTCAATGTTGTGCGAAAATATTGCATATCTCATGCAGTTGTGACTTGGCTTCCGATATTTCAAACATTCATTTAAAATTTCGGGATTCCCGCTCGAAAATGCAAAATCAAGACAATTTTGAGTGATTTTTGGTTCTACTTTTGTCAATAGCAACTTAAAGCACTCAACAGAACCATGATAACAGCATAAATCGAGCAAAGATAGAAGTGCATATGGATAAAATTCGCTAATTAATATGGCATCCTGATCAAAACCTTCTTTTTCAAGGAAAAATACCAATGATTTGTAATCATCATTCATTATAGCCCTATTTATTGTGTCATAATTGTGGACAGACGAAGAAAAATTTCTTGATTCATATATTTCTAATTGTTTGAGATGTTCTTCATCATAAACAATTCCATTCTCTTCCAATAAAAGGTACTGAAAAATGGGCCTGATAGCTCGACTTGGTTTTGGATGATAATCCTCTAATACCCTTTTCATAATTGCTAGACATGATCGCAAGTAACGATTTCTAAAAATAGCAGAATGATCAAGTATTTTCAAAACTTTGTTTACAGCAACAATCTTTGTTTCGATTAATTTGTTCTTTACATCTTGATAAAGGCTTTCAATTTCTTTGGCATCAGAAGTGTTAAGGCGATATATTTTTTTCATTGTTTCTATGAAGTCCTCATTTGACTCCATTAGTTCTTTATTCAACATTTAATTTAATAAAGTTAACTGGCAAAGTCCAAAATAAAGGTAGACCAGCAAAATTTTTACCAATAATTTTTGATTTTGGCTATGGATACTTACTATATAGGGGATGGATATTTGATGTGCGAAGTATCGCATGAAAGTTATCTGGCCGATTTTGAGATATTATTATTAAAAATTATATTCAATATCTTGCTCACTAAATATATTCTTTTGAGATGTGAAATGTGTTCACGGTTTAAATTTTGAACATTATATATTTTTCAGAAAATTTAGTATATATTCTTTTATTGTCATTAGATAACATGAATATTTTGGTACAACACACGTAAGTTATAGTTTTTGTAGTTGTGTGTTTCTTCACAACTGTAAAAAATATCATAATTCGTAACTTTGGAAATTTGATTGAGTTGATTTTTGATTATTCTAGTAATACTGTTGAACAAAATTGAAGTATTCAATATAAAGAGCGTATTTTAACACAATATTCTATTACAAATAGTTATATTGATAAGATACGAATTGGAATTGAACCAAAAATATATATGTATGATCTCCAAATTATAAAAACCGAGTAATATCATCTAATGGATTATGTCAATACATTTTTTTCTGCTCAAATTCATAAAGGAATTTCCAAAAAAAAATCGAAAAAATAAAAATCGAGAACAAAAATGCAATTTTAACATCAAAAAATGAAAAATGGAAAAATTTTGGAATTATAAAGATGTTTTATAATTGATTTAAATGAGAATATTTGCATTCTGGTATCAAAACCAAGAGCAAATTTTCAATTATATTTGTTTCAAAAATTTAAAAGGAAATATAGAGTATATTAATGATCACTAAACTATCGAATTACAATGTATATTAAAATTCTTGAATTATTTTAATGAATAATGTTTAATGTAAAATATCGAGGTATCGAAATGATATTACTTTAAAAGAAGTTAAGCTAAAGTTATTTTTATTCATAGGAAAACAAAAAATGTAGCATATTAGTAAACGATGATAGATAAATAGAAAAAATTTGTTAAATAACCGAGATCTTATCATGTATTTGTGTGTTATCATTTAAAAATAGTAGATTTAGCAAATCTGCTGTGAAGTTTTGTTTGTTTCCTGTTCAGGAGTGTAGATCATAGAAAATTTGTCAATATCTTGTCAACAAGCTATGTAAATATAGTGAATAAGCTTAAAATAGTATAACACCTATGTGTTCTCTATCATTTTGCAATTTATGAATGCACAAGTAGGAAACCTGCCATTTCTGATTACAAAAATGACTTTTTCTCGAAAACGGCCCGATAAATTGGGCTTCATTTCAAAATATGTTAAAGTATATTAGTAAGCAAAGAATCCTGTTATATCTGTGGGCAATTTTATAGGTGAAAAGTATTAGATGTGATATATTAAATTTTAACATACTACTTTCGAAGGTTAGATAATGATAAAAGCGAGCCAAATGATGAATGGAATCAAAATTCCTTGAAAACAATGATAGTAATTTTTAATTGAATATATGAAGAACTAAATCATAGCTAATTTTCAAATAAAACAAATAATATAATTATTCTAGGACTCGTTCAATATTCCACCTTAAATCTTTAGAATTATATTCATCTGAGAGGCTATTCAAATGAAAATAAGTACCATAAGATTTTTTTAAAAAAATTGCGAAATAACGTATTTTTTGCTGTTCTACCTTTTCCAAAATTAATATGACAAAGACCATATCTAAGGAAGTCAATTTGGAAAATTGTTTTCACTTTAGGAGAATATAATTTTCCATTTAGAAAATTTAAAAAGTGAGACGCGCAGGATTCGAACTTTTTTTAAAAGTTGATTTAAATGAATTTTAGTGTGGAATATAAGGATAATATCATATTTAAAATAAGAATATACTAGTTTAGGTGGTATTAATTTTTCGATAAATTTGAGAGTATGTACGTTTAGGGCATGAAAAGTGTCAATTCGCTCAGCGAAAGCTGAGCTAGCTTCGTTCTCGAAAGAATAAGGAAGGAATGAAGGAGAATGATACAGAAGTTGACACATTCATATCATTTCAACAAATTTTGATCAAATTGAAATTCAATAAAATTCAATTCAATTCATATCCTTCAGTCAGTACATTGATATCCTTCTGCATCACAATGATAACTCGGGCATCAATAGTTCTACAACTAACTCAGAAAAAACAAGATTATTACTTCCTGCTTACAGCTTTTAAAAAGTTTCGATGATAAAAATCACTCTACTCTCGTTTATCGACATATGGTGATAGTAGGTAAACATATTCTTATCGATATTAATAAAAATATTTGTACGAAAATCTTATCCAATTAGAGAGTTATTCATAAAGTATATGATAATTATAATTACTTTATCTTTGTTTTATCTTTGAATAAACAATTTAATTTAAATTGCATAATATTTTTTGGTTGAAAGACAGGAAACTTAGTTGAGTTTGTATTATTTTTATCGTTTAATTCATCGTATCAGTGAGTGACCCAGATATTTAAGATATTTAGAAAAAAAATTATTAATTTGATTAACAAATTTTAATCAAAATAGCAAAAATCTATTTGATAGCTGTAAACAAACAATAATTTTTATTTCAAGCAAAATCACTTATTTTCATCTAAACGTATAAAATTGTCAATTTTATGAAAATAAATTGAAAATCTCATGAAATGTAAAGGAGAGTAATATTTTTCAATTTTCTTTTTTTCTTTGTCTCAAATATTTTCTGTTGGGAATTTTCTTGTTATCAAAAAATAATTTTAATATTTGTTTATTTCATTACATACAATAAAATTTTAAAAACTCTATTTCTTCTCAAGAAAATTTTTTCCTTCATATGAAGAAACATTTTGTTCTCCATTTGATACTGAGTCTAAATCTCGATTTTTGAATTTTCTTCTTTCCAAATTTCTTTTTTCCAAATTAGAAGTTTAATTCAAATTTTCAATAGTTTATATATTTTCTCAAACCGTCTCAGATTTTCTCACTTTTTAGGGATTTTCTCTCAAAATATACAAAAATAGTAATATCAATACATGTGTCTAATATACTTTAAAACCATCGTGACAAAATTCAAAAACGAAGAGTTCTTCTCTCCAAATTTTTTTCAAAATCAAAAAAATGAGATAAAAAAGTCCGTTTGGAAAATTCATTTTTAGCATTTTAGGAATTTTCTCACTAGGGATGCGTTAAACACGCCATTTGACCGGGTGTGCATTTTTTTTGTTCGCCCAAAAAATTTCGCCATTTGAGAAATTCAAAAATTAAAAATAAAATTTTAATCTTGATTTTTTTATTTTCGTGATTTTTTTGAAACTTACATAAGCGATGAAATACTTTTTTTAAGTAATCGTTTATTATATATAAATATATCTTAATAAATTTAATTCCTTAAGGGAGAGCGTGTTCAAATTTAAAATCTCATACAATATTTTCTTAATGGCGTATTTTTCTGAGGTCGCCCAAATAAAGGCGAATTCAAAATTGAGAACTCCAAGGCGTATGGCGAGTATTCAAAAAGTACGCCACTTACAAAATATTGAATGCGGATTATCAATTTTTTGGCGTGTTCAATTTCAAATTTTGATATTTATGTTTATTTTATTCAGTATAATGCTAAGAATTAAAATATAAAATTCATAGAATTTTTTCTTTGAAAATATTTTACATTTTTATTTGACCACTCCTAGACTAGTCATCAGGTTATCCTCAGATCATCCTCAGACTACTCCTTATCAGATTACTCATCATCCTCAGACTACTCCTTAGACCCCTCCTCATCAGACTACTCCTCAGATCTTCCTCATAAGACTCCTCGTCAGATCTTCCTCCTGAGACTACTCTTCAGACTACTCCTTAGAGTCCTCCTCATCAGACTAGTCCTGAGACTAGTCCTCAGACTACTCCTCAGATTATCCTCAGACTCCTCCTCAGATTATGCTCAGATTATCCTCAAACTCCTCAGATTATCCTCAGACTACTCCTCAAACTCCTCCTCAGTCTAATCCTCAGACTCCTCCTCAGATTATCCTCAAACTCCTCAGACTACTCCTCAAACTACTCCTCGGTCTAATCCTCAGACTCCTCCTCAGATTATCCTCAAACTCCTCAAACTACTCCTCGGTCTAATCCTCAGACTCCTCCTCAGATTATCCTCAGATTATCACTTTACATATATATATCGATAACTAAATAATTACTTATTATACTTTCTTTATTTTTTTTTAATTTTAAAATAATATTAATATATCTTTCTACGTTTAATGATGAAAAGAGAAAGAGGAGTAAAAAGAGGAAAGAGAAAAGAAAGAGAGAGAGGGGGGGGGAAAAAAAAAAGAGAAAGAAAGAAAGAAAAAAAAGGACGGCGATAATTTTGTATTGTTTTGTTATTCGGCCGAACGGCGGCTACTTCGTACCCGCCATTCGGCCCCAAAAATGGCGTATTATTCTATTTTTAAACGGTCATGGCGTAAAACCGTCGCATCCCTATTCTCACTTTTCTTCCAAATTGATATCCTTACCATATCTAATCATCGATCCTAAATCCATATCATATTTTTAATATGTTTTTATAAAAATTTTTGAATAAACTTCAAAAAATCGATTCAAGATAAAGATGATAATTTTCATTTTTACTTTCAATTTTTTAATAGTTTAAAAATGTACATTTTTGTAACCTGGACCCATAAAAATTGTTTTCAAAAATGTACTAGGTGTGATTAAAGAATCCAAATATAAAAACCGGTCATAAGACAAGGCTGTTAGACAAGAGTGTGTTATAATCTTTCAATTCTTAATGAAATTGAATAAATTAGATTTCGGCAATCGGTGCTTCACATATTTTAGCACTCTGAGAACTTACCTGCTCAGGACGTGAGCTTGTGAAATTAAAGAACTCACTAGGAAACATAAATTCACTAGAAACGTAATGTCATAATGATTTTCACTGTATTGGAAAATTTCTGCTTTTTCTCTTTTCCTTTTCTTCAACGGCCTTCTTTCTCCTTTCTCTTTGTTTTGGTTTCGATTTTAGCTAATCTTCCCATTCTTCCTGTTTCTCCAAAAATTTGAATTAAAGTCAGATGGGCGTAAGGACAGCATTAATAGCTCACTACCTTAGTTTACAGCATTAATAAAACTTAAATGTATACTTTTTCTCTATGATAGAATTGATATTTTTATGAATAAACGATCATACTCTATCTTTTCACTGTTTCAAAATCTAAAAAGAATATCTCTAGATGAAGACTCAGGGTGTAAATAACGTACATTTTTATAAACTAAGGTGGTGATGTCTTAATTGATATGAAATTATGATTTTTTTTAAATTAATTTTAAATATGAATAGGAATGATGAGATATAAATTGGCTCACATTTCACTTTTTTTTTTGTACGTTTGTCAAAAAATTGTGAGGAAGATCTCACAAAAATAGTCAAAATGTGAGCAAATTTTGAGAAGTGCTCACATTTTGACATACGATTATTTTCATACGTTTTTTTGATGAATTCTAATAAAACTTCATTACCACTTTCAGAACGAAGCGTAACTTTTCAGCACGTAACGCTCTATCATGTGTAGTGACATATTATTCAAAAAAACTCAGATTGCTTATCTTATAATAACAATTTCATTAGAAAAAATGCACGATTTCACGCTAAAACTTTGAAGCAATTCTTAAATTCGGATAAAAAATCGATATGTATTACACTTTAAACTTCAAAAAATGGTTCAAAATTTAGACTTAGTTTATCTTAACAATATAGCAGATTTTAAGCCGAACAAGTAGGAGTAATAGAAATAGCTCTTGAAAATAATTACAATTAGTAATATGTAAGTCAAAGTTCGAGTATTCTAATAAATAAACGTTCCGGATTTTCTTTACTACAAGAATCAATACTTAATATATAGAAGCAACAGTAAAAACTTATTAGAGATTCAAAAAGAAAGTTGACTAAAGAGAATCTTTTTATATAAGTAATTTTATTTTTTTGAAATACGAGATCGAATAAACATGTATTTTATTTTATTACTATAATAATACGTTTTTACATAGTAAGAAAGTTTAGAGACTGAAATGAAATTAAAAATTGAGAAAAAAATAAAGCTTTTCTATAAAAATTCATATTAATATATAGTATAATGATATTACAATTTATTGATAGTTGTGTTAGAAAAAAGGTACATTCACTATTTTTGACAAAATTTTAAATTTTCATGGGGTTGTAAATCTTATAATAACTAGATGAATAAGGAATAAATCCCAGTATGATGTGCATCATTATATTAAACACTATATGTAAGGCTGGTGATTCTATTAACACTTATGAAGATCTATAGTATTTGAGCAGATAAATTTGATAATTTCCAAAACTCTTATATTTCAAAATTAAAGTGTGCGAATGCATTTAAATGAGAGCAAAAAGAGATTGATGCTGTTAAAACTATGTGTTAATTTGCAATTATTTCGCATCACAAGAACTACCCAGTAAATTCGGCTATCTTTCTTTGCAATTATTCTCCATTATACATATAATATAATGGTTAGGGTTTGAAGAAAAGTTACTAGAGAATTATTGACTTTTGAAATAATGCAGAATTTTACTTGAAGAAATCATTAATTTATGAGTTCCAAATTGCTAAGCATGACGAAGGATCATTAAATTTGCTACAATTAAATACACTTATTGCAGAATTAAGATTTTTGAAATTAAAAGTTTGAAATATTGCCTTTTTGAATAAAAATTTAAATTTTATTATATAATCATGATAATATCTTATAGAAATTAAAAGAAAATATTTTAAACCATTCAAATATTTTGAATGTCTTATCAATTTAAAATATTAAAAGATAGCTTGATTTTATCATCATTAGTTGTTATCAAAGTTTTCTTCTTTTGATGAACAACAGTAAATGATTTGTTAATTACTTGTCTTCCTTTTTCGCAGCAAAATCGAAAGTTATGATGATAATCTTGCTCTCAATTTTGAAACTCTCTGATTTACAAGTAAGCATTCCTTTGGAAAAGCAGTCCTATTCTGTTTTCAAGATATTTTAAAGCCTCAATTTCATACAATGCGCAGATCTATTCGAAATTGCAAGAACTCTCAAGAAAAATGCAGCAGCAAAGAAGATTCCATAGTTTCTAGCATCAAAAATTTACAACCTTAATACAACAGTTAAAGAGAAGCTCGAAAAGAAAATATTTAACCATAAAGCTGGAAACCATTCGATATCTACTATTGGATCTAATAAAAAGTTAATTATAACATATTTAACATGCTATTTGTTGACTTTGTTCCATTATATTACCATATATACCTTTTTGAAATCTAAAATATTTTTACAATTTTAACCATGTGTTGTTGAAACCATATATCAATCTTAGCTAAAGTATAGTTTATGAGTCTGTCACCATCTAACGTATGAATTTTCAAAAATGTCAAATATGTTCATTTTTTCTGTAGATTCAGCCATAATTTCACGTTGTTATACTATTCAACTATTATTTAATATTTTTATCGATTTAAATATATGATGAGATGCTTAGTTCTCCTGGAAATCGATTTTTAATCGCAATTTTAACTTTCCAAAAAAAATTCAAAAATAAAAATCCCTCTCAATTTTCTAAGTTTTATAACTCGCCAAATCTCTAGCCAAATTTTTTTGGCCCGTATAAATATTGTTTGGCACTATATAGGGATGCTATTTATCATATTTTCATCCCATTTTACTGTTATCGCCTAGTGAATGTACCTTTGTTAGAAAAAATATACAACTAAAATGTCAGTTTTAAAAAATTTAAAAATTATATTAAAACAATAGTCATTGAGGATGGTTAATTGCAAAAACTCAAGAAACTATCATTATCTCTCTTTGCTTAACACATCTACAACTGGAAACATCATTCCAAATGAAGTTCCTCAGTCTCGTCAAAATTTCTCTCTCATCTACAACAAGCTTAACTCAAAACTCAAGAAACTATCATTATCTCTCTTTGCTTAACACATCTACAACTGGAAACATCATTCCAAATGTTGCATTCAAGAATCCTATTATTATTCTTTCTTTCAATCTTTTATATTTACTCTTTAAATTCTAATATAATATAAATTCTTCATTTCCTTTGTTTAAACTTTTTTCATTTTAATACCATTTTATCAGATAGTAATTTTTGTTTTTCTCTGACCAAAAATCTTCTCAATTTAACTCCACCTTCACAAAAATTCATTGAGTTCTCTCAAAATTCTTGTATTTTTGGTATACTTAAAGTATCATCTTCAAATATTTTTTTGGAGAAAATTGACTTTGCATAATATCGTAATACTTTTTAAGGCAGATAGATTTACCGTAAGTTGAAGAACTTTTAATTTGAACAGAAATTATTCAACAAATATTCTTTTTATTTGATCAAGATACGTATACCAATATGATCTACTTGCTAGGGATATGTAGATCACGTTCAGAATTTGCCAAGTTTGGTGAATATCTATGGGATTAGGGACATCTATTTAATTTAAGAACTAAAAATTAGCATAGGCGTATTATGCTGTTACTGAAATATATTTTGGATGTATAAATTTTTACTTAATACTCTTTTATTGTTATCATTTTTAAAGATTTTTTATTATGAGCAAAAAAATGGCAAGACAATAATATATTGTACATGCAATTTATTATTACTGAATAAATTTATCAATCAAATTTGATCACATACAATTTTTACAGATAAATACATTATCTCAAAAAATATCTATATATTAGTATATGTTACACGAAATGTAATAAAATGTATTACTTTGGTTTATCAATTTATAAATAAGAATGAAAATTTGTTATAGCTTTGTTCCAATATTTATTTTTATATATTTAAGTTATCCATTTTACTGTTTTCATTCATATTTATAACAAAATTAGAGTCCTTACATTATTTATCTTATTTCAATAGTGATAAAAATCAACTATATTTTGTAAGATCTTAAAAAGTGACAAAAATGGAAAACTACATTAAATTTATTTATAAGGATACAAAATTATATGTCATTCCACCAAGAGCGGTTAAAGCATTAACACTTTATTTATATATATCTCACAAGCTAAGTTTACCTCTAAACACATTCGAATTAACAACAAATAACTACATCATACTGGGATTTATTCCTTATTCATCTAGTTATTATAAGATTTACAACCCCATGAAAATTTAAAATTTTGTCAAAAATAGTGAATGTACCTTTTTTCTAACACAACTATCAATAAATTGTAATATCATTATACTATATATTAATATGAATTTTTATAGAAAAGCTTTATTTTTTTCTCAATTTTTAATTTCATTTCAGTCTCTAAACTTTCTGACTATGTAAAAACGTATTATTATAGTAATAAAATAAAATACATGTTTATTCGATCTCGTATTTCAAAAAAATAAAATTACTTATATAAAAAGATTCTCTTTAGTCAACTTTCTTTTTGAATCTCTAATAAGTTTTTACTGTTGCTTCTATATATTAAGTATTGATTCTTGTAGTAAAGAAAATCCGGAACGTTTATTTATTAGAATACTCGAACTTTGACTTACATATTACTAATTGTAATTATTTTCAAGAGCTATTTCTATTACTCCTACTTGTTCGGCTTAAAATCTGCTATATTGTTAAGATAAACTAAGTCTAAATTTTGAACCATTTTTTGAAGTTTAAAGTGTAATACATATCGATTTTTTATCCGAATTTAAGAATTGCTTCAAAGTTTTAGCGTGAAATCGTGCATTTTTTCTAATGAAATTGTTATTATAAGATAAGCAATCTGAGTTTTTTTGAATAATATGTCACTACACATGATAGAGCGTTACGTGCTGAAAAGTTACGCTTCGTTCTGAAAGTGGTAATGAAGTTTTATTAGAATTCATCAAAAAAACGTATGAAAATAATCGTATGTCAAAATGTGAGCACTTCTCAAAATTTGCTCACATTTTGACTATTTTTGTGAGATCTTCCTCACAATTTTTTGACAAACGTACAAAAAAGTGCCAAATGTGAGCAATTTTTATATCTCGGAATGATATGATTGCTCATACGTATATAAATGATGATTAAATTTGTTAAATCATGCGCTTCTATGTAAATTGTTGTATCTCTGATGCAAAGTTCCTTTTTTGCCTAAGCTTTAAGGAGATCTTGTTATCATATGAATTTTTAAACGTGCATTAATATGTATGCTTGCTTTAATTGTATTAATGCACGTTTTTCGGGTAAAAATACTTCCATTTGTAGTAAACAATGCACACATAAGATGAGATGACTTTAACCTAAGAGTGGGTTTAACATATATCAAAATTTATATTGAACTCATAAAGCAGCAAAACACACAATGCGTTATGACCCTATTCATGTGCATTGATTAGCTTATACTAATTTTTTTTATTCAAAACTATCAATAATCAAAATAATATTATGAACATCAATCAATACAAGCGAAAATTTGGCCATTCTTGTGGATATTATTACAAAATTAACATTAATTAAAAAATAAACATCTTATATAGAAATACTAATGCTTTGCACCATGTGAAATAAGAAGTTCAACTGTTTCTCTACTTTCCCAATATGATGCAATTTCAAGAGCGGTGCTTCCACCATCAGCTTTATCATTGACATTTGCACCATGTGAAATAAGAAGTTCAGCTGTTTCTTTACTATTATTATATCCTGTAAATTGAAGAACGGTTATTCCATGTTTATTTTTTTCATTGACATTTGCACCATGTGAAATAAGAAGTTCGGCTGTTTCTTTACTATTTTTTTCTGCTGCATAATGAAGAGCGGTTTCTCCATATTTATTTTTTTCATTGACATTCGCACCATGTGAAATAAGAGCTTCGGCTGTTTCTTTATTATTATATGCTGCAACATGAAGAGCGGTTTTCTCATTTTATCTTTTTCATTGATATTCGCACCATGTGAAATAAGAATTTCAGCTGTTTCTTTACTATTTTTTTCTGCTGCAATATGAAGAGCGGTTTTTCCATCTTTATTTTTTTTCATTGATATTCGCACCATGTGAAATAAGAAGTTCAGCTGTTTCTTTACTATTATTATATGCTGCACTATGAAGAGAGGTAAATCCATCTTTATCTTTTCCATTGATATTCGCACCATGTGAAATAAGAAGTTCGGCTATTTCGTTACTATTATTAATTGCTGCTCTATGAAGAGCGGTTTGTTCATATACATTTTTTTCATTGATATTCGCACCATGTGAAATAAGAATTTCAGCTGTTTCTTTACAATTATAACGTGCTGTAATATGAAGAGCAGTTTCTCCGCCATTATTTTTTTCATTGATATTTATACCATGTAAAATAAGAAGTTCCGCTGCTTCTTTACTATTATTAAATACTGCTCTATGAAGTGCAGTTTGTCCATATTTATCTTTTCCATTGACATTAGCACCAATAGAAAGGAAATATTCACAGAGAGATGGAATATTGAACCTTGCTGAAAGAATCAAGCATTTGCTAACATCATTAGTTTGATCAAAATAAACTAAAAAGGATTCAAGATTTTTATACCATTCACAATCTTCTAAATTGATCTCTAAATTGTATTCATTCATTAAGAATGTAACAAAATCAATGTTGTGTGAAATAATTGCATATTTCATGCATTTTTCATCTGGTTTTTGATATTTCAAACATTCACTCATAATCTCTGGATTTCCGCTTAAAAATGAAAATCGAAGGCACGTTGGAGTTATTTCTGACTTAAATTTCGTTCTCAATAACTTGAAACAATCAACTGCTCCATGATAACAACATAATTCAAGTAATGAATATTTTCCGTTAAAATATGGATATAAATTGCTTATAAGTATTTGATCTTTATCAAATCCTTCTATTTCAGTGAATGTGATGAATCGTTCTAAGTCATTATACATAATTGCTCTGTAAATTGTATCTTCTGTATGAATATCGAGATTCTTTGAGTTAATTGTTTCGAAATTGTCTGATTTGTTTAATTTAATTCCATATTCTTTATAAAATATGTATCTAACAGTTAATGGAACATTGATTTCCTTGTTTATTTGATAATTATCATATATGAGTTTGACGAGAGATAAATAAGCCTTTGTATAGCGATTATTATACAGAATGATACATAAAATGCCACTTATAATAGTATGAGGAAGTAATTTCTTTGAATCAATCAATTCTGTTTTGATCATTTTGAAAATCTTGTGTATTTCTTCTTCATTTTCAGTTTTCAGCTGATACAATGCATTATATGAATCGATGGAGTATTTGCACATACTTCGCAATTCACTGTATTTTTTTGGGTGAGTGTCTTGATCGGACATTAATAATTTTTTATAAGGACACATTTCAACATTACCATTTAAAACATCTCTAAAATTCATTGGGAAAAATAAATGCCATATTATATCTGTGGAAAAACATAGATCACAAAGATTTCGGGTTTCATTTATGCATTTTGATTAAGTTTGTAGATATGAAATAACACAATAACAACATGAAAGTCTAAATCAATAATATTTTCATCCAGATGCGTATGTTAAAAGCGTTATTTTCTAATGGAAGTTATTTACAGAGTTAAACTTATATATATATTTTGCCACAATGTTCTTTCAATTTCATTGAGTGCAAGGAATATCAAACAGTCCAGCATTTCGAAGGGATTTATAAGATTATTGCGCAACTTTTCAAAAGCAACACATTTTTTAATCTATAGCATAATAATGCCATATGGAGCATTAAAGTCGATCATTTTTTGCTAATTATGTCAGAAAGGTGAGAAAAACAAAAAATCTCTGATTTTGGGGATATAGATTGTCCATTTAATGAACATTCTAAATATCATAAAAGTTATAGGAAAAACGATCGACTTTAATGCATATCTTTTCAAAAGCAGCACATTTTTTCTCAATCTATAACATAATGATGCCCTATGGAGAATAATGTTGTTTCCCTAACTACTGGATTAAAATCAATATGTTAGGGAAGCAATTTTTTAAAGGAGTCCTGTTATCTATCCATTAAGTTTAATTATTTACCACGAGTGAGAACAAAAGAGTAAGAAGGATATATTATAACCATATATCTCTAAACATTTCATTCTCACCAGAAACAGTAGAATATATTGGCAAAAGTCGCTCCTTCCGGCACCAGAAAGATTAGGATGGGCCTTACATTGTTTCAAGATAAAGACTATAGTTTTAAAAATGTACATTTTTGTAACCTGGACCCATAAAAATTGTTTTCAAAAATGTACTAGGTGTGATTAAAGAATCCAAATATAAAAACCGGTCATAAGACAAGGCTGTTAGACAAGAGTGTGTTATAATCTTTCAATTCTTAATGAAATTGAATAAATTAGATTTCGGCAATCGGTGCTTCACATATTTTAGCACTCTGAGAACTTACCTGCTCAGGACGTGAGCTTGTGAAATTAAAGAACTCACTAGGAAACATAAATTCACTAGAAACGTAATGTCATAATGATTTTCACTGTATTGGAAAATTTCTGCTTTTTCTCTTTTCCTTTTCTTCAACGGCCTTCTTTCTCCTTTCTCTTTGTTTTGGTTTCAATTTTAGCTAATCTTCCCATTCTTCCTGTTTCTCCAAAAATTTGGCTGGGGCATCATATAGACAATTGCAAAAACCTGATACTATTATTAGAGCTTTTTATATTGAAATTTACTATTTTAATACATTATTTTCATATCATATTTTAAATAAGAGTTATAACGCCTGATAATATTATGCATTTGGAGAAATTATAAAATATTTTTGGAATTTTAGATACTTATTTGTTGTACATCATCTGTGTATCTATTAAGTATTCAAGTTGTCTTTGAACCTAGTCTTTTTATTGAATTAAATTTTGAATTTTCAAAATTTCATAATTATGAATGACAAGACAAGAGTATTAAAATCTATATCTGGACCTGAATTAGTAAACCTGCTGACAGTCCAGTAAATATACTTCTAATGCCACAATATTTTACTCACAAAATCATGAACGTTATTTTTTTTTGTCAATTTTCTAGAGTTCGGGAATTTACTAAATAAATGTCGTCCGTTGTTTCCTCTTCTCAGCTTGGTACATACACATCTAGCCACGGAGGATCCACGGTATCCGGCAGTACCGATCGCGAAGATTTTACACCAACACAAGAAAATCTTGATACAATGAAGAGCAGAATAGAGACTTTTAGAATCGAAAATGCTCTTCTTATTGAATACGCACGCCTAAAGGGCACCGATTTACTTCCTCAAGGCACTGTTATTGAGCCAAATGTCCACGCTCACTATAAGTTTACAAAGAAGAGATATACACCACTTCCAATTGCACGTAAGCTCGAAATTGCTAAATACGTTAACGATCAAATTGATAAATCAATCGCAGAAGCATCAAAGAAATTTAACGATGATATTGAACAAAGCCGTGCTCAATTGATACAGATTCAAGTTCGTGAAAAGGAGCTTGATAAAGAGAAGGCTCAATTTTTACGCGAAGTTTGCGAAGAATCTCGCGATGAACGTACAGGAAAAATTATTGGCGAAAAGATATTAAAATGGTTCGACGATACAGTTAAAATGAAAGAGACTAAGAAAGAAACATTAATTCTTAAGAAACAGTCAATGAGCGCCAAAATTAAACAGACAAATGCAAGACTTGAACAGAAGAAAGATTTAGGCGAGAAACTTCAGCAAGTCGATTACGATCAGCTTCAAATCGATAACGAAGCTTATCAGGATCAAATTGCCGAGCTTTCAAAGAAATTATCAAAATTACAGAAAACTTCATCAAGTGTTGTCTCCAGATTACAGAATGCACGCTCTCTACTTGCCGAAGAAGAGAAGGCATGCGCAACAATGCAACAGAGCATCGAACAGAAACAGAAGGCAATTCAGAAATACGAAAAAGAAGCTTCTGGAGTCGAGGAAGATCACGAGAAGCTTATAGCCTCAAACGAAGAAATTGCCACAAAGAAGTCCGAATATCGTGTTCCTGATGTAACAGACTACATTGATAAGAAGGCAAAGATATATGAGACTCAGAAGATTATTAAGAACTGGGAAAGAAAGGTTCAGCTCGCAGCAATGAATGTTAAGCGTCTACAGAAGGAATTCGAGGAAATCGATACTCCAAGAAAGTAATTCTATTGTAATTTCAAAATTATTTCAATTTATAAAAAGTTTTTTTTATTTATACTTACAACTTTTTTTTTTGACACACTCTTACAAAATCAATATATCTTTATTAGAATGGTATTATTGTATAACAGTCATATTAGGCACTATGTGTTGATTTATAATAACTTTTTCTTGATCATAACTATTAACTTTTTACGTTAGAAAATTGTAATAAAAAGCTAGAGTGTCATAAAATTTGAGAGAATGCCAGAAAGTGCACCATTAAGGGTGCCCTAAAGACGATGGACTATAAAAAGAAAAGCATTTTTAAGGCTATTATATTGAGCACCTAGAATCAGAGTGATACATACATTAGAACACTAATAAGGTTATTTTTGTGATGTTTTCATTATCTTCTATAGAACACCCTTAAAAAAGACCATTTCTTAAATGTATCGCGATTTCCAGCGAAGAATGCCTTCATTATTAATAATTTATCATTAAAATTATGATGTTGTTTCTGGTGAACATTCATATGATTATGCTAAATTTGAACTCAAATCATTTTGATGCTCTAGTGAAGTGACTGCTACTATGAAAATATTCCTTGATATTTGTTTAAAAGATCTTTCTGAAAAAGATGTCAAATATTTTCTTCTGAAATTGATTGGCAAAATTTGAATAGTTTACTTAAAATTTATTTACATATTTTTTTCCTGAAAAAGAATTTTTTAGATGGAAGATTACGAGGAGATCGTTTATAGACCTCCTCGTAATCCATCAGCTCAAGAAATAGATCTATATTGTCAATTTCTCGGATTGGATCCTAAAGAAGACAGCGAACTTTTGTGGATTGCAGTTGATGGCTTAAAGGCTCCACTTCCGGAAGGATGGACATACTATGAGCATAAAACAGAAGACAAAGTTCTATTTTACAATAAGAAAACCGGTGAAACTCTTGCCCATCATCCACTTGATGATCATTATTTCACTCTCTTTCAAGAAGAAAAGAAAAAACTTGATGAAAGAAGACATAGAAACCAAAATGTGCCAGATAACAAACAAAAATCTAAAATAAATCAACAAAATAAAGTAAATAACGAATTAAAAAATGATTCAAGTTCAAAAATCAGCCAAACAACAGCAGAATATCAGGCTATACTAGATAAAAAAATCATGGAAATAGAGCGAAAGCACGAAGAAAAACTTAACGAAATTCGACTTCAAAATCATTATGAACTAGAAAAAGAGAAGAAACTTTTAGTTGATCTCAAAGCCAAAAACAACAATTTGGAAAAATCACTACAATTTCCTAAACCAGATCCAAATACTCAAGCAACAAAAATTCAATATCAAAATGACCTCAAAATGCTCAAAAAAGACTACGAAAACGAGCTTAAATTACTAGATGAAAATCATTCCAAAGAAATATCCGAACAACAGAAAAGATTTAGTCAAGAATTAACAGATTTACAAACAGAACAAGCAAAAACTATCAGAGAACTAAAGCAGCAGCACGAAATTGCAGTTGAAAAGTTGAAAAGAGATAATGAAAAGTATATTTCGATGCTTTCAAATCAATTCGAATCAGATAAAAAAGCAATTATCTCAGATAACACTCATAGATTATCATTAATACAAGCAGAAGCCCAGAAAGAGATAGATAATTTCTTAGATAATCATAGAAAAGAAATAGAATCAATGAGAAAAAGACATGAAGAAAAAATCAAAGAAATTAAAATAAAAGCAGCAAAAAATCTCGAAAATGTAAGCAAAGAAGCATCAAAATCGCCAATAAGAGTTTTGAAAGATGTTAATGATATAGAAATTGAACAGAAGAAGAAAGAAAATCAACGAGAAATCGAAAAAATCGAAAGTTTGCAGCAACAAAAAATTTCTCAAAGAAAAACAAAATTTGAACAACAAATTCGAAAAATTGAAGCGGAAAATGACTTAAAAATTGCATCAATCAAGGACAAAAACAATCAAGAGCTCAAGAACTATCAGAAACAGCTTGAACAAGATAAGAAAAAGATTTATTCTCAAGTCAGAAAAGAAATTAAAGAAAAAGCAATGTCAAATTCTATTTCAACATTTACAATTGATACAATCAGAATTGCATCAATTAAACCACAATCAAAGACACCAAAGAAAGGAACACAAAGTCTTCGTATTAGTAATAGATTTGCTTTAAGCCTTGAAGATGAAAATGACTCTGATAATTCAAAGGATGTTTCATTATCTTTATCTAGAATTATAACTGTTTTTGAAAGAAAAGTTGAAAATATAAATATTAAAACAAAGAAAAATGATTCTGATAACTCTACTGAAGTTGATTTTCAATCAGATTCGTTTGATAGTGAGTTAGATTCATTTGGACAAACAGATACTCGAACAATTAAATTATCAAAAGCTGCAGAAAAAGCAAAATCAAAATTTTCAAATTCTGCCGAAAAAGTTTCATCGGAAATAACTCAATCAATAAAAGAATTAGATAATAAAACAACATCATTAAGGACATATTGCTCGGAACAGAATAGAGATCTAGCGAAGAATGCAATTGAATTTCAACAAAGAACATTAGAAGTTTCAAAAATGTTTAATTCTACTCTTTTAGAGTTAGAATCTGCACACAGAATGGCGTTGTCTTCATTGATTCAACCACGTGATATAATTAATGGTATACATCCTCCTGTTCATTTGTCAATGACGACACCACCTCCAAGATGGAGAAAAGCACAAATAATTAGTGATGAAAGTTCAGATTTGGATTCTACAACAATTAGAAGCATAAAAAATTATTATAACGAACAAAAAGAAGCTAAAACTCTTAATGCACGTCTTAAACGTCAAGATAATGACAATATTAGAACATATGACATATAATATCTTATATATTTTGTATATTTTTATAAAATTATTTGTTATGTATTTTTTTATATCAATTCTAAGGTTTTAATTTTTTAAACTTCTTAACTTCGGAGTTAATCATTTCAAAATGAATATAAGAGAATTGTTTACAATCAAAAAAATCATATTAATATAAGAGTTTATTTTTTATATACAGCTTGGAATTAGAAGCAAATAATCATATACTAGAGTATAATACATTTCATTGACAAAAATCCATAAACTATGAAGATTAATTTGATATTTCTATTGAAATTTTGGAAATAAGTTGGGTTGCAATTGCCAAAAGTTCTAACTGATATATTGAGTCAAATATATTTGATAAAACTTTTGATAGTATTGTTTTGTCAAGCAAAGATGTCAAAAAAGATATTTCTGTCATGTAAAGTCAGAATGAAAAAATTGACAAAAATTCTCATGAATACTGACAAAACGGATGACGTGATTAAAAAAGAAAACGAAAATGCGGAAAATAAAGAAGTTGTTAAGGGTGTTTATACTGCTGGCATGGAAACTCCTTATCTCTTTATTCCATCATTTTCTGAACCTATCAAAAAATCTCCTAGAAGACCGCGATCAGAAAAATCATTCACGCCACAAGCTACAAAAACTGTTAAAAATACTACGAAAGAAACGAAATTTTTAGTACAATTACCTCCAGCACATGTAATCAAAGATGATTCTGGATCTTGGACATTACGATGCGTTTGTGGTGATTTATTAACTGACGGATTTCTTGTTAGTTGCGATAAATGCGGAATTTGGCAACACGGAATTTGTGTAAACTTAAATCCTCATACAATACCAGAAAAATACTTATGTGAAAAATGCGGAAACAGACCAATTCATTGCATTTGTGGGCAAAATTTAAATTACAGATTTTCAATATTAAAATGTTCACAGTGCGGATACTATTCTCATCGTCGTTGTGCAGGATTACTATATGGTCCTATGCCTTCCGGGTCATTTGTATGCTCTTTCTGCGGAAAATGCAGATTTACATACCCAAAAGTCAGAATTCCTGCGTCAATACAGTTTGAGAATCTTACATACACCTTTTCACCCGAAAATATTGAGAAATTTAATCCCCAAGTTTTGTCTGGACCTTTTAACGATTTTATTATGATAGATGTCTTCGAATCCACGCTTACTAGACGCGAATTCTGTGAAGAGTTATTCGATAGATTCCGAACTTTCTTTTTCATTTGCCATCCGCTTTACGGTTCCACGAAATCAAAAAAGAAACGCGCAAATCTTCTGAAATCAGTCATTTCTACAGCTGAATACTTATGCGAAACACTATTCAAAATTAATCACGACCTTTTCGTTACTATATTTGATGCTTTACTTAACGCTGCAATATATAAACCTCCAAACTTCGTCAATCTCAAGGAGCCATCATTCGATATGACAGAGAATAGCAAGTTCGAAGTACAAACCATGCCGCCACCCCAAATTTTCCCTCAAACTCCCATTCCAGCTCCAATTGAATTTACCCCGAACGGCCCAGTGGCCGGATCCGACCTTACCCAAGGCCAATTTGTTATGATGGCCTCAGGCTTGCTCGGCGATATCGAGGAATTCGATTACGACAACGGCGTAGACTCCGCAATTTACCAATTAATCGGAACTCGCTTTGTTTTAGACACCACTCACTTCCCCGACCTTACATTACATAAGATACCTCGTTCTATGAATGGAAATCTTATTTTGAAGCTATTCCAAGTCGGAGATAAAATTCAATGCGGAGTTTTCGTCGGCAGATCATCACTTAGCCCTGCCGAAGGTAACGAGACACTTACAGTGAAGACAGGGGAGAAGTTATTTCTAGGAATTGACTTTCTTCCGGCGAGTTGCGAAGATATATCTCGTTGGCTTTCATGGCATCCGGGCGATTTGCGGGAAAACAGCGGTAACCATCAGAATTCTGGGTCTCGGCCAACTCCTGAGCAGCGCGAAACGAATGCTGCAATCAGATTTGCCGGGGAAGCGAAAAAAGATAAAGAAAAGCCAAGAAAAAACAAAGCAGCGAAAGAAAAAGAAGATGACGCGATGCATTACAAAAGGAAACAGAAAACTAAGATGAAAATCATAAAAGATATCGAAGTATCTCTTTTTGACATGTTCGATATGGATGATCCTGGTCTTTTCCTGTTCCACGTTGGCGATGACATCAAACAGATTGAAGAAACAGCTCGTATTGTTTCAACAACTGTTCCAACAACAGGCCAAAGAGGACGACCACATCTATCGTCAAAATTCAAGCGAGCTTCATCGACACCGATCAAAGTCAGTGACAAAGGTGATTGCGCGCTAAGGCGTACTAAGTCAGACAAAGTCCAGACCACTGATGAAAACGACAGCGATAACGAGAATGACCAAGAAGAGAAGAAGGACGAGGAAGAAGAAAAGAAAGAGGAAGAAAAAGAAAACAACGAAGAAGAAGAGGAAGAAGAGGAAAAGAAAGAAAACGAGTCAGAAGAAGAAGAAAAGAAAGAAGAAACACATGTATCTATCAATAGAAATGATGAGGAAGAGGAAGATGAATCACAGCAGAAACAAGAAAATAAAAGTAAGTCAGAAACAAGTGAAACAGAAGAGGAAGTTCCCCCTCTTTTTTCAAATGATTTCGAAGAAAGAATTGTCAAAAATGTATCTGATATCAAGTATTCGTTGTTACACATCGATGATCCTGCAAAACAAATGCTTGCTTTAATTGGTTTGTAAGAATAAATTATTTATTATTTGTTTGTTTGTTTTGTAATATATAACTTAATTTTTTTAATGTGCATTTTCAACTATATGAGTTTTCATCATAGAAAGAATCTTTAGATTCTTCTTCTTTTGGTTGTTCATTTAATGCATCGTTAAATGCATTGGATAATAAACCTTTAGGAGCTTCTTCCTCCTTTGGTTTTTCTTCAACAGATTTTTCGATGACATCCTTTAATAAACCACCTGTCTTTGGTTTTCTTCTGTGTCAAATGAATCTTCATCAAAAGCATCTTTAGATTTCTCTTCTTCATAATCCTTCTTTGAATCTCCTTCAATTGCTTGTGCAACTCCAGATAATGGTTTTTCTTTTTCATCTTTATCGAAATCATCAAACGAATCTTATTCTTTAAAAGAAGATTGCATTTGATAATAATCCACCTGTTTGTGGTTCTTCTTTTTTTTTGTCTTTCTTCTTTGACACAGCCTTCAGTTCCATTGTTTGTGGTTAATTTTCAATTGCACATTACGCCCGGTGCCAAAAAATTTGAATTGAAGAAAAAAGTGTCTATGAACGCACTTAACTATCTATTGTATCACTATGTTATATGTGGTCTCACATTCTCCGTTGCAACAAAAAGTGCAATATTTCCGTGATTATCATTCACAAATTTAAATAAGTTTATCAAGATATATGTTTCAATTGTGCATTGTTAAAACATCTTTTATTTTTTGAGTAAAAAAAGAATGTTTAAAAATTAAAGTTTATATTTAAATTTAGTTGAATTTAACATTGCCGTTCTTAGAAATGTGACCAATGATACTGACGTCGTCGTCATCGTCGTCGTGGTATGAAACAAAATCGTCGTCATGGACATTGGAGTCTTCGGAAATAATATCACCAAAGAGTTCGAATTTGTTGAGAGCAATGCATGGTGGATCACCGGGACATGCTTCGTTCTGGATAAGACGAACGTACTTAGCTTCGTATGTCTTGTCAAGATTGTATGTGTTCTCTTTGCAACGACGCATCTTCTCGTCTTTCATACGATGAACTTCTGTCCATGTTTTATTGTCATTTGAAACCTGCAACGACCATGAATATAAGCAGCAATGAACACAGTATTTGTATTTGTAGTCTTCACAGCAGCACAAGGAGTTATAGCAGCAACCAACTCTGACGAAATAAGAATTGATTTTGATCCTCTTATTTTTAATTGAGTAAGTAATCCATGGATGGTCATCATATGTTGTTCCACAGTTTGAACACCAATCATACCTCTTATTCCATGGGTAAGTTGAGTATTCTGGCTTTGTTAATTGCATTGATCCATTTATTTCTTGATTTGAAGATCCACTAGCATCCACAACAATAATTCCCTTATCAAAATTCTTAGAAAATATGCCATTTTCTTTTGTATCAGACAATATTGTATTGAATAAAGTAAAAATCAGCATTTTTATGAAAAAAAGTGAAGAAAAATTTCTGACAAATATAATGATTTTCATTCTTTCAGCTCTTTAGACAAAAATTGATCAAAAAGGAATATTCGACAAAGTGTATAACGATAAAATAATAGTCATTGATGCTAGTGGATCATCCAGACAAAGAATTAACGGAACTTTGCAATTGACAAAGCCTGAATACTCAGTTTACCCTTGGATAAAAGATTATGACTGGTGTTCTAATTGTGGAAAAAGCTATGACGAACATCCATGGATCACATATTCTCTCAAAAATAAAAAAATTAAATTTAATGGATACTTTATCAGAGTTGGATGTTGTTATGCTGGCAGTAGGTGTTGCTGCGAAGATTATTCTGCAAGATTTTGCTTTGATTGCTGCTTGTATTCATGGTCGTTGCAGGTTTCAAATGACAATAAAACATGGACAGAAGTTCATCGTATGAAAGACGAGAAGATGCGTCGTTGCAAAGAGAACACATACAATCTTGACAAGACATACGAAGCTAAGTACGTTCGTCTTATCCAGAACGAAGCATGTCCCGGTGATCCACCATGCATTGCTCTCAACAAATTCGAACTCTTTGGTGATATTATTTCCGAAGACTCCAATGTCCATGACGACGATTTTGTTTCATACCACGACGACGATGACGACGACGTCAGTATCATTGGTCACATCTCTAAGAACGGCAATGTTAAATTCAACTAAATTTAAATATAAACTTTAACATAAATATTATAGTGATAGTATATTTGATTAATACCTTCATTAGCCAAAAGCAGTGAAAATTGTGCAAGATTCATGTACATATTTTAGGTCTTACTTTAACTTAATCTTTAAACATCTCATTTTGCTTATTGAAGCCTTTTTTCTTTTCTTTTGATGTATGTAATAGACAATATGTCTCTTGACCAGCTAGAACATTAAGTAACTATGATAATAAGGTTTGTTAGTTCAAATTTTAGATTGATTATATATGTTCAGGAAATATTTATATGAAGATTTCTATTATATTCCTAAAGCTCAACAATCTCGATGAATTTCAAGCTTATCACATCTCATTATTTTATGATGTAAACTATTCAAACTCATATTTTTTTCAAATGTTTCTTTTTCTATGCGAAGAGTTACTAACTGACCAAAGTTCTATATTGAAGAATGCGTACAAGCAAAATATAATAGAGTACTCTGCAAGTGGCTCAAGTTCGCAAAATATCAATGGAACTATCCAAAAAACAAAGCCAGAATATGCGTTTAATCAAATTGAAAAAGATTATGATTGGTGTTCGAATTGTGGGCATTCCAGAAAAGAACATCCATATCTAATTTTACATATTAAAAATCGTACAATGAATCTTCAAGGATATTATCTTAAAAGCGGGTGTTCCAACAAGATAGAATGTTGTTGCTTCGAAGGCGTTTCATATTGTGCTGAATGTTGTTTGTATAGTTGGTCATTCCAGATTTCCAATGATAATCTCACATGGAAAACCATTCATAAGGTTGAAAAAGATAAAGAAATGAGAAGAGGAAAAGAAAAAACATATAAATTCAGTGAAACGTATAATGCAATTTATGTAAGATTAATTCAAGACGAAGCTTGCCCAGGAGATCCTCCTTGCTTAGCCTTAAACAAGATAGAGCTCATTGGAACATATGATGGAAGCGAAATCCTGCCAGATTTTTTTGATAATGAAGATGATGATGTTAGCATCATTGGCCACATTTCTAAGAATATGCCTTGATCATTTTGACCATATTCATCATTTTTAATCAAGTTTTGTTTATTATTTAAAATTAATAAAAATAGTTTGTTGTTTTGAATAAAATCATATTAAATTTGAAACTATTTGGTTTCAAAAATAAGAGCTCAAAGCCCAATACTAATGAATGAATTTTATGGAAATTGAGAATTTACAAGAGCTAAATAATAAAAATACAAGACAAAATGTCATTGTCTGGTTTTTCAATATTTAATATGTGATTAATCACAACAAAGCAAGAAAATTGAAATTTGTATCAACAAAGTATGAATTTGAAAAAATATTCTTCAGTAGCAAGGATTTTATCACATAATACGATACAAACAATAGTATTTAATTTTAAATTATTTGGTTTTTGAAAGAAAATCATCAATAAGATTTTGAAGCTTACCAAATTTCATTCTTTGGATAAAGTATTTAAGAGTTCTGTTAAATACGGGCATTTCTAAATTAATATTTGTTGAAAGTATAAATATTAATATTTTTTCATTGATTTTCGATTTGTCGATCAAATATTCTAGTAAAGGAACGCTTCCATCATTTAATTTTTCATTAAATGTCAGCCCATTTGAAAGTAATATCTTTAATGATTCGATTACATCATTAATTTCCTTATCATTTGAAGGGATAAACCTCAACACAAAAGATAAAGCAGATTCACCTCTATCTGTCCTATCCATAACATTTGCTCCGCAATTAATGACAAACTTCAAAATTTCGGGTGAGCAAGTTGCACCAGCCCAATGAATCAAAGAAGATCCGCCTGCAGCTTTTACTGATAACGAGGCATATCCTCTTAAGATCAACTTTTCAATCAGCTTTAAATTTCTGTCTTGGCAAGCTAATGAAAGTGCGCAAACTCCATTTGTTGAAACAGTATCAATATCATTATTATCTTCAATTAAAATATTGATTGCTTCATCCATTTTGTTGGCAATTGCAAGCATTAAAGGAGTAAAATCCTTTTTATTGGTTACAGATTTATCACATTCATGCTTAAAAAGAATTTTAAATGCTTCGTTTTTGTTGCAACGCAATGCTTCTAAAGCAGGAGATAAATATTTTGGATTTGGATAAATTGCATGATAATGGAAGAGAATTTGAATGATTTTAACATTTCCCATTCTTGCAGCAATAAATAATGGAGATAAATTAGTGTTTATTGGTATTGAATTCGGGTCATTCCAATATCTAAGAAGTATTACGACTGCATCAACTGCTTCACCAAAAATTGCAAAATGAAGAGGTAAAAAACCAGTTGAATCTTTAGAATTAGGATTAAACCCTAAACTAAAAAGATATAATAAGCATTCAATAGAATTGAAATAGGCACAAACGTGAATACATGACTTGTTAGTACAATTAATTAAATTATTTTCACAAGAAATGCAGGGAATCAAAAATTCATCTCTCTTGAGAAATTCTAATCCAAATTCTTCTACAAGGTAACGAAGTTTATCTACATCATTCCGAACAAAGCATTGATAAAATTTTGAAATTCCTCCATTCATTGTGTCACCTTTTTTAATAAAATTATAAACTCTTGAGTTTATTCTTGAGTATTTATTTTGACAATAAATGTTTTACTTCAAAAAAATAATACATTTTCCTCAATAATCTTGAATAATTTGCTGATTCATCAATTGTGTTCGGAAGTGCAAAGTTTGCATTAGTTCATTTGACGAAACAATTCAAATTCTTAAAGGATACAAAAGTTGTCTTAAGCTTGAATCCGCTCACGGATTAATAAAGTACTTGAATAAATTCAGATCAGAACATATTTCAGATTCAATTATAAACCAAAATTGAAAAACTCGAAACAAATTTACAAAAGATTGAAGATGAAAATCATCAACACAAAATGAAATATCATCTAAAAATAAAGAAAACATTCAATTAAATTGATCTATTAATAAATTTCCAGAAATTATTAAATTATTAAATACTGATGACTTTGAATCAGTATACAATTTTTAAAAAGAACTCTCAGCTCAGGGTGATAAGATTTCTATGTCTATTTCATGTGCAGTTGGATTAAGTGAAAAAATATTCTCAAGTGAAAAAAATGCGCAAAAACAATTATTTTACATTCAATTTACTTTTTAATGAAAATCTTCTTCGAAAATACCAGAAAACTAAGGGATATTTTATGTAAAAGCATTATTTTTTCGCACCATGTGAAATAAGAACTTCTACAGTTTCTTTTTTATTATATTTTGCTGCAATATGAAGAGCGGTTTCTCCATATTTATTTTTTTCATTGATATTCGCACTATGTGAAATAAGAAGTTCGGCTGTTTCTTTACTATTATTATATGCTGTAAAATGAAGTGCGGTTTCTCCATCTTTATCTTTTTCATTGATATTCGCACCATGTGAAATAAGAAGTTCAGCTGTTTCTTTACTATTTTCAAGTGCTGCATAAATATCATTCATTAGATCAACTTAAAAATTTGGTGAATATATTGCTGATAGAGATTATGTCAAATATCATTCAATTACATTGAATATGAGAGTTAACAAACTATAGTATCATGTGAAGCTACGTATCTTCTGTTATTATAACCTTCGAAATAATAAAATTCCTCCAAATTCTCATAGATAATCGCATTATGCCTATATTTTAATGCTGTGATATCAGCATTGGTTATTAGCTCTGTTTTATATCCTCCAGCATGCATTTGTTTAATTTGGAAAAAAATTGAGAGGACTAGTTTAAAATTTTTTCACTTTTGAATTTATACTCTGCATCTTTTTCATTGATATTCGCACCAAGTGAAAGGAAGTATTCCAAGAGGGATGGAATATTAAAAATCGGTGAATAAAGAAAGCATTCGTTAATATCATTAGTTTGATCGAAATAAACTAAAAAGGATTCAAGATTATTGTAAATTTCACAATCTTCTAAATCTATCTCTATATTGTATTCATTCATCAAGAATGTAACGAAATCGATGTTGTGTGAAATAATTGCATATCCCATGCAATATTCATTTGGTTTTTGATATTTCAAACATTCACTCATGATCTCTGGATTTCCGCCTAAAAATGATAACTTTAGACATGTTTCAGTTATTTCTGACTTAAATTTAGTTCTTAATAACTTGAAACAATCAACTGCTCCATGGTAACAACATAATTCAAGTAATGAATATCCTCTCATAGAATATGGATATAAATCGCATTTAAGTTTTTGATCTTTATCAAATCCTTCTCTTTCCGTGAATGTGATGAATCGCTCTAAGTCATTATTCATAATTGCTCGGTAAATTGTATCTTCTGTATGAATATCGAGATTCTCTGAGTTAATTGTTTCGAAATTGTCTGATTTGTCTAATTTAATTCCATATTCTTTATAAAACAGGAAGTTTGGAATAGTTGCAACTCTATTGACCTTTGTAACATGGTAATCATCAGATATGAGTTTGGCGAGAAATAAATATGACTTTGCGTAGCAATTATTATATGGAATGATATCTAAAATGTCTTTCATAGCATTTGTGGGGAGACATGTCTTTGAATCAATCAATTCTGTTTTAATCATTTTGTAAATTGACTTTAATTCTTCTTCGTTTTCCGTTTTTAGCTGATACAATGCAAGATACGAATCGATATAGTATTTGCAGATACTTCGTAATTTGTTGTATTTGCTTGGATGAACGTCTTTGTCGATCATTAAGTTATCAGTGCCTTAGTTTACAACCATTCAATTTTAGTATTTGCCACCAATATTATAAAATATATTATTAATGATACAATACCATCATATAAACAAATTTAAAAAAAAGGAAAAATTCCATTTTTTAAAGCTTTGACAAAACAGCACTTGATCAAGGGAAAAGGGGAAGGGAAATCAAAATTATAAAAAGATTATTAATCTTCTTTTGCAGTCAGGTGCCTAATAGATTATATTTTTGTAAAAATAATGCAATAAAATTTTTTATGGAATTTTTAGAAATTATTTGATATTTTATTGTATATGCTATTGGGATATTATGTTTATTGCATCAAAATGGATCAAAATTTGATTTTTGCAAATAACCGCCAAAGAAAACGGTTTGGTCGACCTCTAACATGGTTGCCAAGAACAACCAGATTCCAAATGATCACCTTCGTAAATACTGGTACCACCGCGTAAAGACATACTTCGATGACCCAGCACGCGCTCAGCGCCGTCGTAACGCTCGTAATCTTCGTGCTAAGAAGATTGCCCCACGTCCAGCTGAAGGTCCACTTCGCCCAATCGTTCGCTGCCCAACAGTTCGCTACAACATGAAGACACGCCTTGGCCGTGGTTTCACACCAAAGGAGCTTGTTGCTGCCGGATTCGATCCAGCTCTTGCTCGTTTCCAGGGTATCGCTGTCGATGCTCGCCGTGCCCACTCTAAGGATGCCATGGTTAAGCAAAATGTTGAGCGCCTTCAGGCTTACAAGGCTCGCCTTATCAAGGTCAAGAAGGGCGAAACAGTTGAGCAGGTTAACGATGCTGCCCTCTTCGCTCTTCCAAAGGCTCAGAACGAAATCAAGTTCCGTGTTATCAAGGCTGAGGAAGCTAAGAAGGACCTCTTCAAGGAGAAGACAGATAAGCTTAAGGCTTTCCGCGAGGCTAAGAAGGAGAAGGCTGCTGCCAAGCACAAGAAATAAACTGCTTGATCTACATTATAAATCGATACAATGATATTATAATTAAATTGCTTTTTAAATTACAAATCTACGAAATATTCAAAGAAATCTCAAACAGAAAACTACCAAAACAAAGAAAAAAAAGTCAAAAAAAAAATTATCCAAAATTTTTAAAATATGAATCTGATTTAAATCGAGCATCATAAGTTATAAGGAAATTTTATTCAATTTAAAGCACTGTTATGAATGATCTTAATATAATTGTTTTTGAGATTTCTAAATTATTGATTAATATTAGTTCATTGCTTCACTCTTTATGCTAGAAAGAAGCCGTGATGTTTACAGCAGTTGTGGGATATTTTACAATAAAATCGAAATTGGATATTTGTAGGAAAACATATAATTGATTATATTTTAGACCTGGTTCAAGCGGCATTTAACTCAAAGTATACATGGCACGATGGGCGCTACTTTTTTAGCGCCAGCGGCGCCGCCCGCGCCTCCGGTGGCTCCCACTGGTGGGGAGGAGACGATAGAAAAAGATATAAATTTTACTAAAAAAATTGAATTTTGGAAATTCTTTTGATTTTTTTGAATGATTTACGAAGAGATTGAACACATTTTGTACTATGAAATATCGTTATTAATAAATTTACTTCTTAAACATCTATTAAAATCGCAATTTTGAATATTTTTATGATTTTTTTTGACCCGATCACTTGCGCCCGCGCCCACTGGGAGGGGCGCTTGTAAAGTATTCAAAAATCAATGTAAACATTTCAATTTTTGCTCCCACCTCCCATTGGGAGGGGGGCATATATCTTGTAGCGTTCAAGTTCAAGTGATGAAAGTGCATAAGAAAGCTCCTTAATCATACCGATAGAAACAGCATTAGGGGCGCCAAATGGCGCTCGGTGATGTTTCCCATAAAAGCTTAATTTCAGGTATCCATAATCATAACCTGTCAGACGCAATAATTCATTAGCACACAATCATCGTTTCTCAATCAAGAAACGAAACGCACGATTGATTATGCTGGCCATTAAATTTTCATATCAAATAATTTACTACTTCAAGAAAAATTAAAGACTATCATCAACCAAAGCTTAAAATTCTCAGTGTTTACAACTCTCATACTTCGAATATGCATATTTCCAAAATAGCATGAAAATTTTTTTCATTTGAGCTCATTTTCTTTTGTTCTATTAACTAATACATGCAGTACAAGCTTGTTATACGTATACTTAATAAGTAAGGTCTTAAGGGAAATAATAAAAAAGAATTTTGCTATTAATTATATTAAACAATATTTATTTGTAATTTCGTGATAATTATATTTCTTATTACAAAGTAAAGGTATTTGATATAATGTTTGCCTTACAAAAATGTTTCCTTTGTCTTGCCACCATAGGTATTCTATTTTGTCACTTTTTGCGCCCGCCGTGCCATGTATAACTCAAAGTATATAATTGCTATATAACCTTAATCATATGAAGTAAAATGATCACTCAGAATGTGGAAGATTTTTGACAAAAAAAGTGATCAAATTGTAAAAATGTGTGAGTGATTAATTTTATGATAAATGATGAATTGTTGAAGTAAGATGATAATTGAATAGATGTAAATTTTCACTAGTGAACTTATTAAAATTTTATGAATAGTAATCATGATAATTCTGGTTTTTCAACGTTTGCGATGACAGATAATAATATAATTCCTCCCCCTCCGATCCCTAATAATCAATTTTCAGTCACAAATCGTGTAGAATCAATTCTTACACACAAAGTTGAGCCAGATGGAACCAGAATGTATCTAGTTAAAATAATTGGTCAAAGCTACAACCATCTAGAATGGGTTCCTCCATTCGAACTGCTTAAAACACTCACAGGTCGATCGATGATTAAAACGTATAATAAATTGTATCCGGATAAGCCACCAGATCCACCATTCTTCGATAGTGATTATACGATACCCGAAAGAATTATAGCAGAACGCAACGGAAAATATCTAATAAAATGGAAATCTCTCGATTATGAAAGCACATCATGGGAAAACATCGATGAAATTACAGAAGAAGATATCATACAGGAGTTTAAAGAGAGAACAAGATTCCCCTCACCTGAAGAATTGAATCCTGACGTAGATTACACTTATCAAAAGGTCGAATCATTACCTACATCAAAGAGTGGCTTCTCTGTTCGAAATTATCAACTAGATGGGTTGAATTTCTTAATGAATTGCTGGTGTAACCATAGAAATGCGATTCTTGCTGATGAAATGGGTCTCGGAAAGACTTTACAAGTTTCTGTATTCCTTAATACGCTTAATAAACTCAAAAAGATACGTGGACCTTTCCTTATTATTGTTCCTTTGTCAACAATCGGACATTGGGAGCAAGAATTGGAAGAATGGACTGATTTGCACTGTACACTATTCTGCTTCAATAAATATCGCCGCGAAATATGCAAAACATACGAATTTTACTTCGAAAATACAAGAATTCCGATTTTTCAAGTTTTATTAACAACTTACGATTACATTACAAGAGAAAATGAGTTATTTTCTGGTGTAAACTGGGAAGTAATCGTTTGCGATGAGGCTCACAAGATGAAAAACTCAAATTCCAAATTAATGCAAAATATGAAAAACTTAAAGTCAAAATTCAAGCTTTTGCTTACGGGAACTCCTATTCAGAACTCAACTCCTGAATTATGGAGCTTGTTAAACTACATAAATCCAGAAAAATTCGAATCTCTCGAAGAATTTCAAGAAAAATTCGGAACAGTTAACGAATCAAGCCAAATATCACAACTAAACAGTATTCTCAAGCCAATCATGCTCAGAAGAGTCAAAAGCGACGTAGAAAAAAGTTTAACTCCGATTGAAGAGATAATTATCGAATGTAAGATGACAGACGTACAGAAATATTATTACAGGAGTGTATTCACACGAAATACGGTGTTCTTGCTAAGAGGAACTGAAAAAAAGACGCCAAATTTTTTAATGAATATTACGATGGAATTAAGAAAGGTTTGTAATCATCCTTATCTTATACAAGGTGCAGAAGAAAATATTATGAGGGATTTGAACAAAACCGGCGAAATTAAAACAATTCAAGACGGATTAATCAGAAGTTGCGGTAAAATGATATTGCTCGATAAGCTCCTGGACAGGCTGTTACCAGAGGGCCATAGAGTTCTTATTTTCTCTCAATTTACGCTAATTTTAGATATTATCCAAGATTACTTGAATTTAAAGGGTATTAAATATGTAAGACTCGATGGTAATGTTAGAGGTCCAGAACGGCAAGCAGCAATTGATAATTTCAGCAGAGATGGCTCAGATATTCCGATATTCCTTCTTACGACTCGCGCCGGCGGCCAAGGAATTAACCTGACAGCGGCAGATACTGTCATCATCTACGACAGCGACTGGAACCCTCAGAACGATATCCAGGCCACTGCAAGATGCCACAGAATTGGTCAGACAAAAAGTGTCAAGGTCTATCGTTTTCTTACATCAAATTCTTATGAAAGATCGATGTTTGACATTGCCTCTAGGAAGCTTGGCCTTGACCATGCTGTATTAGAAGGTTCCAGCAAGGAGCGATCCGAAAATCTCGATAAACTTCTGAGATTAGGTGCTTATTACCAATTTTACTCTAATGACAGCGACGACAACAAGTTTGCGAGTGAAGATATCGATGACATCATCGCCCACTCCCAAAGGATTCGCCATGAGTCCGTTTTCGGTGGAGAAGGATCAACATTTTCAAATGCTCAGTTCGAAGTCAACGAAGCAGAGCTTGAAGCGCCTTCTTTCTGGAAGAAACTGCTTGTAGATATAGGAGATGATGATGCCGGCGAGTCAATTGAACAAGCAATCGCTGATTCATGGACAAAGAAAAAATTTAAGCGGTTGAGGAACACTTTCTTCGATTTCGGATATGGCAGATGGAAGAGGATAACTGAACAATGTGGAAGCAACATCCAAATCAACGAAGCGAAGTCAATTTGTAGAATAATTCTGAAATGGCTTCTAGAAGTTGCAGATGACCCAACAGACATTGTCCACAAGCTCTACAATAACCAGCAAGACGACGAGTACTCCGAAAAGTTCAATCAAAAGTACAGATCTGAATTTTCTCCATTAGTTACTAAAAACGCTTCTTTAAGGATCGAAAGGATCGAAGTATTGCATTGCTTGAACTGTGCGACTAAAAGCTGCTCAAATGCTCCAGAAGGACTTGTTCTTCCAAATTGTCCCGGAGAATTGCCTTCAGATACATGGTCGAGCGAAGATGACAGGCAATTACTGTATGGCATGTGGCAGCAGGGCGTTTCTTCCTATTTTAGAGCTGATATCAACCAAAAAAATTTATTAAAAAGATTGAACCAGTTAATTCATGGTTGGAAGTCGATGTTTTTGCATTACAGCATGACATCACCTGATCCGAAGCTGTTTACACATAATACTTTGCTTGAAGCTTCGAATTATTGGAAAATTGAAGAACATAACGCCGTTATTAACACTTTAATCGATTACGGGTTCACGAATGCCAATGACTTCATGAATAAGGCCAGGATTAACAAAGTTCCTGACTGCGTGAGCCAATACGTAAAAATTATTTACGATGCAAGCAGAGATGACAGTTGTGACCAAGCAATTCTGAAGAAACTGTTGTCCAGCCACGATTCACAGCTTCTAATTGAAAGAAAAACCTTTTTTGCCAAACTTAGAAAGGCAAATGAAGAAATTTCGGATCCGCAGAACGATGATGAGCGATTACTTGTTAAAGTCTGCAAGTTTGGACTCCAAGGATGCTCCGAAAATGGCCAAACATCGTCAATTGTCAAAAGATTAAATGATTTTCTGAAAAACTCGAATCTTATCGAGAAAACAAACATCGAGCAGATCAAATTACCCAAAATCCTCAAGAAATCCATGAATTTGATCTCTCTAGGCAAAGTTGTTTGGAATCGACCAGGATTTCACAGTGAAAGGTATCTTTATCCTGATGGTTTCAAGACAGAAAGGAAGTACATCTCCGTGATTAACCCGAAAGACAGAGTTTGGTACATTTCGGAGATAATTGACGATGGAAAAGAAAATCCTTTGTTTAGAGTATCAATGAGGGACATGCCTGAAGTAAAATGGGAAGGAAGAAGTGCATCTAAGGTCTGGAGTGAAGTTTTGAAGGCAGTTAATAAAAAAAGAAAAGAAATTGGAGATTTGTCAAAAAATTCCAATTCAATTTCTGGCCCCGACCACTACGGACTCTCCAACCCTTTAGTTCTCAAGTACTTCTCGCAAATGGAGAACATTGACAAGCTGAAAAGTTTTGTTCCAACTGTAGGCCAAATTAAAGAGGAAGAAGACGAGTTCGTCATAGATTTTGCAAAATTGTTCGCAAGAGCAAGAGAACTGAAAGGATTATAATTTTTATTTTTTTAGTTTTTATTGTTTTGTTTATTATATGATTAATAAAATTGTATGTATTGTTTTTAATTCAAATAACTGCTTTTTTTGAATGGATTTATTGACATTTTATAAAATTATTCTTTGATTTATATCAAGAAATCCAAAAATCCTTTGATACATCGTGTTAAAATTGAATAATAGGAGTATTCTATCGTATTGCACATTCATTTTTAAGATTTTTTATTGAGAATTTAATCCAAATACCACAATCACATGAATTAAAAGCATTTTTTCTTTCAGATTACCCATAACTAAATACAAAGATGATCAATTCTTTGTCGTGCTTTGAAAAAAATAACATATTAATATTATATATTAATATGATATATTAGTTTTAATTGTTAAAAAAGAATATTTTGGCTAGGAAATATTGAAAAAACAATTAAAACTTAATTTATTTAATCTAATATATATAGTCATCAACTAAAGTTGATAAAATTATAAACAATTTATGGTAATGGCATGTAACTGCTTGTATCTTCTCTAGGTGGAGAATTCCAGAAATAAGAAACAACGCAAGCAACAAAAATGAAAACGGCGAAACCTGCAAAGCCAATTGATGTATACATCAAGATTTTCATGAATTTGTCAACATTTGACAGGTAAACATCAATGAACTTTGATGCTTTTTGGTAATGGATCCAAAAATGTTTCTGACCAATTTCTTTTTCGTACTGGAAGATCTGGGGAATCTTCTTTTCAACTAAATTGAGCTCTTCCTTGCTTCCATAGAAGAATGTTTGGAGGTATTTTGGAATGTTCGAGCTGTCAAGGAGTTGAAACGCAATTACTGGTATATTCTTGGGTGGCTTCTGAAATTTTGTGACTGCATCTACCATGTGGCGATAATAAAATGAATTTGGTAGAAATTCAACATTAAAGTTTGAAATTATACCAGTAACACTGCCATATGTGCCATTTATCAATGAGATATTGGCACTGGACGATGTGTTAAGTACTGTTATATTACCGTTAAGTATCAAAATTGAGGATTTGTTCTTATCAAAATTCGACAGATTCAAATACTCAATAGTTTGGGATTCGTTTGAAGATGTTGACAATGTAACATTGGTTTCACCTAAAACGATTGTCAAATTCTGTTTGTTTAAGTTATTTATATTGAGATTGAAAGATGAGTTATAGACCAAGAGCTCTGTTATATTGCTCTGGTTTTCCCACTCTTCGTATTCAACTGGGCACTCCTGAGCTTTCGATGGAATGCAGATTTTGACTGAAGCAGCAAAACTTAAGAAGAAAAACAATGTCGATATGAACAAAAAAAAATTCTAAAATCTCTTATAGTTTTTATGTTTACAACCATTCAATCTTGATACGGGTATATTCTCCGCAAAATATGTTTTATGGATAAAGCTGAATATTTATTTTGATTTGTAAACAAATGATTGTTTTGGTTTCTGATCTTACAGAAAAATGGATAATTCATGAAAATTGTCCTGATTATGATTGCTATTAAGATTTCTCGCTCAAATTCAAGGAAAGACAGTGAGGGCAAAAAAGCCATATCAAAAGTGACATATAATTGAATGGTACTGTCAAGTTTTATGCCAACGTCAATACTATCCTTATTTTATATTTAAACTAATGGATCGAACCTTATCATTGATGGTTATCCCTCCGGGTTTGATTATTCGTTTCCGGTTTTAATCGTAATTGAAAAATCAAGTAATTGACATGGCCATGATGAAATATATCCTTATATTACGATGTTCTTGCAGCACATTAATTGTGGGCAAGGATAAGATAAAATGTCATCATTACCTTCTGAATATGAGCTCTCATATATGTATTTATTCATATTTTTGCTTGGTTTCAAGAATCAATATGGTGATTAAATGACGTTTTCTTCATAAAACCTTCAATCGGTCTTCCATAAAGATTCTATAAGCCAAAAGTACAATATTTATTCAGCCTATCTGCTAGGACAGCGTAGCTATATCGCACAATCAATGTGTGTTTAGCGAAATTAATTATGTGTAATTACCCTCCTGGACCATAATACTACAACCTGAACATTTCAAGGTCAGAAATGAAAATTTACTCGAAATGAGCAAAGTTCATTACAAAGTCTCTCGCCAAATTAACAGCCTCAAATTGTTTTCAACATATTTCGAACATATTGTTTGCCATCTAGACAATAGACATACAAACTGATAATGTTAATATTCCTCTTGTCAAAGGAAACTAAGAGGGTGTTTTCAATGACTTTTTATGGTTATATCTCATGAGTTTATTGTGATGTTGTGTACTAATTCAATATATATTGCAATAAGTACTTTTATGGTAATGTATATGTTCATGTTCATATCTTCCACTCCAAATTTGCAAATCTCAAAATTATTTAAAAAGTAAATACTGCTTTATAATAAACAAAAACAAATTTTATACACATAACATGCTACTTCTATTCACGTAAACTCAACTTGGTTTGGAATCCAAGTTGCTCCATAATAAGGAATAATCAAGGATATCACGTAGCAAATACAGTTCCAAATGTATCCAAAAAACTGATCTTTAACGTAATTTCTTGTTATTTCGAAAATTGATGAGAGAGATATTATTAAAACTCGAGCTTCTGATCTTTTTAATAGAAATCTTGTATTATGCTGATTGATGTCTGTAATTGAAATATAAATTAACGCTCCGAAAAAGAGCTCGAAGAGAATTACGTAAATACTCCTCATTTTATGCTTGATCATCCTTGAAAACGTATATAAAACTAAATATTTCCCAAATGAGAACATTATTCCGCCTAAAACTGCTTCGATAATAATATGTTCCTTTTTAAGAAAAATATCTATTCCTTTGCAAACGCATCTTGCATTGAGTAATCCGGTAAATAAAGCTAAAATTGGCGAAAGTATGTTTGAAAGATTGTAGATAATATCGTAAGGAAAGTAATTAAATAATAACCAAATAGGCATGAAAATTAGGAAGTATTGACTGTTCGAAAAGGCCCTAAAATCTGACATCGTGAAATAAGATTCGATATTGTCGGTAATTGTTGTCATAAAGAAGGTAAATAAAAGTGAAATTAACAGTGATTTGATAGATAAATACCTGCGAACAATTCTACAGCAGATCATACAATCTATAGCGTATAGATAAGGTAATCGAGATAAATTATCTATCAAATCAACAAATTCATGTAATTTTGAATACTCCAATTTCGTCTTTCTTCAGAAAAAATGAATATTTTTTGTATTAAGCTTATTGGATGCACTTAAAGATAATTACAATTGCAATATCATTCCTAAACAAATTGATTTTTACTTGAAATTTTTGAAAATTGAAATCATAAGATGTTTATTAATATAATTTGATTAAATCTTTCTATAATATTTCATTTTTCTTATTTAACTTGTTTTTTATCCTCTGAATTTTCATTTATTTTTTATTCTTTCTTATCTTCAGCTTGTTTTTCTTCTTTTGCTTCAGCATTTTCTTCTTTCTTCTCCTCAGCTGGTTTTTCTTCTTTTACTTCTGGAATTTCTTTTTTCTTATCTTCAGCTGATTTTTCGGCTTCTTCTTTAGCAACTGGTTCTTCTTTCTCTTCTTCTGAATGATGTTCCTTACTTTCATGATGTTTCTTTGTAATTACAACATCTTCTTCTTTCTGTTTTTCTTCTTCTTCTGTTTCTTCTTCCTTAGTAGATTTCTTGTATTCAACACCTTCGAGTGGGAAGTAAACGTGGGCAAAATGTGAATAAACTTGTTGATCTTTTGGCATGAAAACAACAAAAACTAATCTATCTGTTTTAGCTAAGTTCTCTGGGACTTCAAGCCATTTGCGAACAGTATCTAAGGCAACTGGTGTGGCTTTTTCGATGGAGTAGCCGTAAATGCCTGTAGAAATGCAGCAAAATGCAATACTTTTAACTTTATCATTATCCATGAAGCCAAGTGTTAAATTGTATGCAGATCTAAGAGCCTCTGGGTGAACGCCAACTGGTCCTACAGCATGAATTACGTATTTTGAAGGAAGTCTGAAACCTGGAGTCATCTTAGCCCCACCAGTCTCTGTATATCCTTGTTCATCGCAAGCTTTCTGTAATTCTTCATATCCAGCTGCACTAAAGATGGCCCCACAGATACCGCCACCTGCTGCAAGATAAGAGTTTGCAGCATTAACAATAGCATCACATTTTAATTTTGTGCTATCTCCACCCATCCAAAAAGAAATCTTTTTGTTAATTTCCGTGTTTGGTGCGTATTTTGGTACACAGGATGGTATTTGTTTAGCATCGAGCTTGGAACCTTGAACATCCCATGTTGGAAGATCAGCAAGTGTAACTACTGGCTTTTTTGGAGCAGAAGCCTTTGATTTTTTCCATGGTTTAAACATGTTATAATAAATTTTTTTGTATAAAAAGTGGCAAAATATGAAGATACCATCAAAAATACGATTTCTTTCCCCAATCTTAATATTCGGCCTAACAAATATGATGGTATATTTGTATGTAAAGTTCATTCTAGGAACATTGTATCTAAATGAGAAATACATTGCTTTGATTTTATCTTGGGGTTCATTTTCTTTTTCTTTAGCAATGTGGTATTGGGCATTTTTCAGAATCATGTTCCTTAACCCTGGCATTCCTTCTAAAGAAATGGATCAATATCATGGAAAGCGACTTCCTCGTTGCATTCATTGTAAACAATATAAACCATATAGAACACATCATTGCTCATCTTGCAAATGTTGTTATGCAAAGCTTGATCATCACTGTAATGCATTAGGAAGATGTATTGCACTCAGAAATCACAAGCCATTCTTAGTTTTCCTGATTCACAGCGTATCAATGCTTGTAATTTGGTTCTTAACTGTTTGTTATATGCTATTAGCCATTAAGTATGATGATTCACCTCGTTTTCTCCATTTTCATTTCTATGCATCAATTTCATTAACAATTTTGATAACATTTTTGTTGTATGAGCAGATTAGTAATGTTCTCACAGGTAAGACAACTCTAGAAATTATTTATAATATTCCTATCGAAATTAAAAAGACAAAGCTTGAGTGCTTTGAAGAAGTTATGGGCCCATTCAATATTGGGTGGTTGATTCCAACTGAAACCCCTTCTTCAACATCAGCTTTTCAATGGGAAGATCTTCGTCCTCCATCAGAACAAATTCCGCAGCCAACTGCTGATGAAAAGAATGCAGAATCGGCTACCAACTCAACTTCTGAAGGAAACAGTAAAACTGAAGGAAAAATAGAGCGCAAATAATATAATATTATTTATATATACTACAATTGTTGTTATTTTAAAAATATAGGTCAAACTAAAAGTAAATATTTATAAATTGTCTGTAAATTGAAGATTTGATTTTAAAATTTTTCTATTTTCGGTATTTTATCTACAAAATATATTAATAATGATGATGCCCTTTTAGACTTCATACATTTCAATTCATAATTTTTGACGTCGAAAAGTCTGAATCGAAACCAAACTTTTCGTTTCTGTTCAGCAACAAAAATTGATGATGCTTCGAATATAATAGCCAAAACTAATTCAGCATTATATATACATCGAACCGAAAACAACAAAGACCCACCAGAAATTCCAGAGGACCTTTTATATCAAAGTAACTCAGACAAACTTACTAAATGTGCATATAGCTTAGCAAAAGAACTTAATGATATCAAAAAAACCATGAATATTGATGAAAATTCTATGTTTTCTAAGATTTATCACTCAAATCCTACATTTCCAGAAGATTTCCAAGAATACATACCTCAATCTGATCAGTCAATGTCTATTTTTTCATATATTTCCAGAAATCATCCAGAGATTACTTGGGCGAATCCTAATGCATTAGCAAATAACGTTATTTATGTTTTATACGTTCTCAGTCCCAATAATCCATCATCTACAACTAAATCGAAGCTACAATTTTGCATCCTCGCTCTCGCAACAAATACAATTTCAGAATTTCTTTCAAAAGTTATATGTCCGATGTGTAAAATAAGTGAATCGATATCTATAGAGCACAACAAGCCTAGAAAAATACAATTTGAAGGCATGCCAATTTATGATTTTGCCTCAAATTTTGATCAGAAACTTGGAGACCTAATAACAGAATTAAATAGTCCAATAACATATACATCGCGTGGTGGTTGCATCCATCATATCCTTGCTGTTGCGGCCTATTCAGTCAAAGCAGAAAACACTGATTTTTTTCCATGTGTAATGAAAACAGTTGGATCATCACCTTCCCTTTGCAGCAAATGTGGTGTTTCCGCATGTAAATTCGCATTTAAACCTGAATCAGGAGACATTATTCAATTATTATGCCAAAAATGTTCTTCTGGCTATGACCAGAGTCGATTAATTAGCTTAGAAGGAACGTTCTTTTGATCATCAAGTAAGAACATAAATTTTATACATCTTTTATTGTAAAGAATTGAGAAATAAAAAAAATAGACTTGTTTTCTTTCATATTTTAAAAATATCAATGAGAAAAGTAATATTTGATATACTTCTCTTCATCTTGCAGTAAGTTGAAATAGAAAAGATATAATTGACTCTTTTCTTTCATATTGTAAAAATACTGCACCAGCAAAAAAAAAAAACTATGATACTCAAAATACTTCTATTCATATTATACAAAATATAAGAAGAATAGAAATATATATGTTTTATATTTTTAAAGATGATAATATATATAAACTTCCTTTTTGTTAGAGTTTCACTCAATATTGAGGCAGAAAAACGACAGGGAGACTTTACGAAGGAAAAGGAGTTTATATATATCCTGAAGAAACAGCTCTTCATATTGCAACATTTTATAGGAGGATAAAGAATTAACTTAGAGTCTTCTTTCGCATAATGCAAGTATCACTTCTTGAGCGATGTCCAATTCTCTTTTAGCACTGTAATTGTACTTGATTAATGTTCCTAGATAGATGTATATTAATTGTTGGATCAATTTGAATTTAAGCTTCTTAATTTTCCACAATAGTAATACAAATGATATTTTTCATTCAATAATATTATTTCTTCATAACGAAATAATTTAAAATTTATTTTAACATAAAATGAGCAGATAGTTGAATATCTTATTGCATTCAACTTTATAATGTGATTTCGTCATTTTATAACAGAAGGTTTCATCATAATTAATAAATTTAATCCGAAACCTTTGAGATAATTGTTTTTTGCATGTACAATTTTCTCTTAATTGATTATAATGATATTTTAACTAGTGAAATGCAAATAAATAACTTTTCAAATTTTTTTATGTCTGGTCAAGACATTCATCCAAATAAATACAGTGAATTACGAAGTAAGTATAAATACTACATTGATTCATATGTTGCATTGTATCAGCTGAAAACAGAAAAAGAAGAAGAAATAAACAAGATTTACAAAATGATCAAAACAAGCTTGATTGATTCAAATGGATATCCACCAAAACGGATTATGAAAGACATTTTAAATATCATTCCGTATAATAATCGCTATACTAAATCATATTTATTACTTGCTAAACTTGTATCAGATGATTATCATGTCAATGAGATCAACAAAGTTGAACTTATTTCAAACTTCATGTTTTACAAAGAATATGGAATTAAATTAAACAAATCAGACAATTTCGAAACAATTAACTCAAAAAATCTCTATATTCATACAGAAGATACAATTTACCGAGCAATTATGAATAATGACTTAGAGCGATTCATCACATTCACGGAAAGAGAAGAACTTGATGAAAATCAAAAACTTAAATGCGATTTATATCCATATTCTTATTATGGATATTCATTACTTGAATTATGTTGTTACCATGGAGCAGTTGATTGTTTCAAGTTATTGAGAACGAAATTTAAGTCAGAAATAACTCCAACATGTCTAAAGTTATCATTTTTAGGCAGAAATCCAGAGATCATGAGTGAATGTTTGAAATATCAAAAACCAAATGAATATTGCATGGGATATGCAATTATTTCACACAACATTGATTTTGTTACATTCTTGATGAATGAATACAATAGAGAGATAGATTTAGAAGATTGTGAAATTTACAATAATCTTGAATCCTTTTTAGTTTATTTCGATCAAACTAATGATATTAACGAATGCTTTCTTTATTCACCGATTTTTAATATTCCATCTCTCTGTGAATACTTCCTCTCACTTGGTGCGAATATCAAAGTAAAAGATAATAGTTTAAGAACCGCTCTTCATTATGCAGCAAGAGAAAATAGTACAAAATCTATAGAAGTTCTACTTTCACATGGCGCGAATATCAATGATCTTGATGGATTTTTTGAAACAGCTCTTCATTATGCAGCAAAATATAATAGTAAAGAAACAGTCGAATTTCTTATTTCACATGGTATAAATATCAATGAAAAAGATAAATATGGAGAAACCGCTCTTCATTATGCAGTATATAATAATAGTAAAGAAATAGCTGAACTTCTTATTTTACATGGTATAAATATCAATGAAAAAGATGAATTTGGACAAACCGCTCTTCATATTGCAGCAGAAAAAAATAGTAAAGAAATAGCCGAACTTCTTATTTCACATGGTGCAAATATCAATGAAAAAGATAAACATGGAAAAACTGCATTTCATATAGCAGCAGAAAAAAATAGTAAAGAAACAGCCGAATTTCTTATTTCACATGGTGCGAATATCAATGACAAAGATAAATATGGAGAAACCGCACTTTATATTGCAGCAGAAAATAATAGAAAAGAAACAGCCGAACTTCTTATTTCACATGGTGCAAATATCAATGAAAAAAATGAAGAATGAAAAACCGCTCTTCATATTGCAGCATGGAATAACAGTAAAGAAACAACCGAACTTCTTACTTCCCAGTAAGATATTTCCCTTTCTTTTACTGACATTTTCAAATGAATAAAAAAAATATTTTTTTCACAATTATCATTTACAATAGTAATATACAAAAGGTAAATATACTGTTAATTGAAGACATCAAATTCTACAAAGTTTGTATATATTTCGTTTTCACCTTCTTTCATGCGATTCATGAAAGCAACAGCAACTTTGGCGCTTTCTGATGATTCCATCAGAACATTAATTCTGTATTCTCCTTTATTCTTGATAGACATAATTTTGCCAAAACGTGTTGCTGTCTCTTTGATCCAATCAACATTGTTTGTTCCTTTGACACAGAAACCTCTTTCGGCAGCAAGTTTGTAGATTGATCGAACTAATAGTATAGAATCATTATATTTACAGCCGTCAATGATTTTACAAATAGTTTGCGCAGAATTTGCTGTTTTGTAAGTAGCAATAAAGTAATTTAATGATCCGAGTGATTTTGATTCGATCGTAGGCTCTTCTTCTATTGCTTTCATTAAAAATTCCTTTAATTCGTCTTCGTTTCCATTAAATCCTGCAATATATACGTACGGGGCGCCTGACCTTTGTGGTAAAAGAATAGATCGCTTCTTTTTGAGGGTTAATAAAGCTAAAAATCTCTGAAATTCTGTCGATGACTGGAAAAGAGTAGCTTTGCAAGGATATTCTTTGAAGGTCTTGCAGTGGATTAGTGATAATTGATTAACTGAGATTGGACTTTGAAATCTACCAAAAATATATCCAGTCATATTTCCTGAGTAGTCACGAGATATTGAAATATCGTCGACGTTTACATGTATTATATCTTCTATAAAATTACGTATTTCGTATGGTGAAAAATCTGTACAATTGCATTGAATCATAAAATATTGACCAAGTATATCATTCATTCCTGAAAAAACATCCACAGGGTAAGTCGATTCTGGTGGTGGGTTTTGAGGAATAGTAAAAAATGTCGACATTTAGTGAAATAACAAATAAGAATTCCTCAAAAAAAAAAATTAACTTCATCTGCTAAAAAGAATGTTGTGAATATATGTGGAATGATCGAACACTCCAAAATCTTTTTCAAACAATGTTGTCATAATTTTAATTCAAATGAATTCTTCTTTCAGAAATTTCGGGCTAATGCCAATATCACGGAGAAATAAATCAGGTAGTAATGTTGATGAGCTAACTCTTCGCGAGGCAGGGTTTCCGCCCGCAGATCAAAATTCTTCAACTTCAAATCCATCCAAAAATTTTAATAGTTCAATGCCAGGATATAACCCTCAGAGAGCTTCAGGAAATTACATGTCTGGTGGCGATAAAGGTAAAGATTTAGCAAATAAAATTTTCATCCAACCAATTTCAGGTCCTAACAAAACAAAAATTCAACAAAATGCAGAAGCATATCAAAATGATGCACAAACTGCTCGACAGTCTATTCAAATTGATCCAGATCCTATTATTAAAAGAATTGATGAGCCAATTAGAAACAGATTACAAGCACAGTTACCAATACAAGAACTCAATTTCGTTTCTGTACAGGCTGAAGCTACAATTGAATATATGCAGCAAGATATTGATCAAATCGACACAAGAGTTATTAGTACTAGCAAAAAAGTTGGTGAGATATCTCAAAAAATCCGTTTACTACAAGGTAAAGCAGTTTCTCTCACTCAAACTACTGAAGCGATCAATGCCAAGTTAACTGTTTTAGATGATTGGTTAGACGGTCTTGAAGGTGTTGGAGGTAACTATAAGATGAGACTAATCGAGTTTATTGTCAAAATGTTTACATTTATTTCTTCATTATTCCTTTTGTTATGGAACAGCCTCAAGGCAATGAATCCTATGAAATGGAGATTCAGAAAGGATACTAAGATTGAAACCAAACAAGAAAAAGACCAAGATTCAACAACAGATGATATGACTGAACCCGGTTCTTAACTTGTTTATTGTTTGTTATAAAATATTTATGTAATTTTGTTATAAATTTAATAAATTATTCATTGTTGATTTTAAATTTTTTACTTTTTTTTTTTCAATCTATCCATCTGAAATTGATTGAAACAACATCGTTTGAATTCAGTAAACTGTAGAATATTATAATCTTTAAAGAAATAGCCGAACTTCTTATTTCATGCTGTGTCAATATCAACTAACAAAACTTGTCTCTTCAAATATACACCTCTGGAGAAACTGCTTCTAAATATCAAATAAAAAAAAGCACTCATACATGTACTTTTCTTTGTGATATAGAAGATATATATGATTTTATGAATTAAACCATTCTAAAGATAAAGATGGATGTGCCGCTCTTAATATTGCAGTAAAAAAAACTAATAAAGAAATCTATGTACTTCTTCATTCATATGAAGCAAATATCAATGAAAAACATGTGTGCACATAATTCGTAAACATCAATGTAAATTAAACCAAAATGTGTGGCACAATTAATCTCTAAATAAACAGATTTGGAAACTGTCCATTTTTATCAAATTACAAATAATCAGAAAAAGGCCTAATTTATATTTCCGGAAAGATTGGATGATTATATGTGGTCAATGAGGAATGATTTCAAATTGAACTTTTTTTATGCAAATTGAATAGAAATAATATTATTTTTAAGTGATTTTGGACCTAAAATTTTTGTGGTATAAATATAATCTTTTCAAAAAAAAAAAATTATTTGTAAAGCAATAAATAACAAGATTTAAAGTAATATAACATTAATATTTCAAATTCTTGATGCAATTTTCGGTGGTGGCGGCGGTGGAGGTTTGAAATAATTCATTTCCATTGTCATCTTCGCCTTTGTATCAATTCCAGGTGTTGGAGCCATCATTGGTGAAGATACTCCGCGTGTCATTGTTCTTTTCCTCACAATTTTTTGTTTTGGAGCAGATTCTTCAGCGGATTGAGCTGCAGCTTGTTTTTGAGCTTCAACTTTCTCTCTGTGGCCTCTTCCAAGGATAAATCCTCCCTTTGAATCTTCTGTTGGTGTCTTGTCTTCTTCAACCTTTGCATTTGATTTCATTGCAAGTAATTCTTCGACTTGAACAACCTTTCTTGCTCTCTTTGTGCGGCGATATCCTGCTGTACCATTTTGCTTTGCTTCTGCTTGTTCAGATTCGACATTTGACCAGTCATAAATGTAATCTCTTTCAAATCCTTCAGAATCGAAGAGAGTTCTGAACATTTGTCTGTATTGATCGTATTCTGGCTCTTGGTGGAACTGTAGTGACTTAATCATTTCGAAATATCTTGTAAATTCGATTGGTAATCCTTTGCAAAGATCTTCTATTTTTGTTGACTGTTTCTTTTTAAGTACTTTCGCAAATTTGACATTAACATCCTCGGATTTCTCATCCATCCATGGTAATTCGCCTTTGAGAAGGTAAATCCAAACGTATCCAAGAGATTCCATGTCATCTCTTCTTGATTGCTTGCCACCAGCAAGAGCATTAATCGAGGCGTATCTGGGAGTGCCAGTTAGGCTATTTCCTTCTGTATATGGTATATGTTGATGGTTATATTGATTACGATACCTTTTGCATAATCCAAAGTCGATAATATATATCCTTTTGCTAAATTCTCCGCATCCGGTCATGAAATTTTCCGGTTTAATATCTCTATGAATAAAATCACAACTATGTATGTATTGAACGCAAGTTATCATTTGATCGATAAGCATTAGAACTGTTTTAAGCGACATTTTACGTTTACAGTCTGCTAAATGCTTTTCTAAAGATTTATCAAGTAAATCAATCGCTAATAGGTTTTTATCGCTATCTGAACCATAAAAATACATTTTAGGGACGTAATTATTGTTAGTGAATACACCATACATCTTAGACTCTATTTCAAGTGGTGAATTTTTGACATCATTCGGTTCAATTTTAAGAGCAACTTTAATATGCTGCCTTGTATCTTCGGCTTCATATATCTGGCCAAAGCCACCGGCTCCAATCTTTTCTCCAAGACTGAATCGCCCTGCCCATAAGTGATCTTTTGCTACTTTCATCCTGATTTTTAACGGAGAGAGTAAAAACGATTACTTTTCATTCAATTTGTTAGTGTAACAAACATGAGTTTGCCTTTTCCAATGGCAATCGATGTTGTATCGTGGGGGTGTTGCATTTCAGATGTCAATTATAAGTGAATGGCTTCTCATTTGTTGGTCAGAAACCTTTTTTGGTTTTTGAAATGGTATACGATCATGAAATGAATCTAAAATATATAAATCTAACAAATTTATGTATGGATGTCGATTTAATTTAAATTTTCAAAATTATATATCAAAATTAAACCATTATTGCTGAATTTCAAAATAGTTCTTAAAATTATTAGATTTTATCTATAATTCTATCCCATCATTTTTCTAAAAATTTTCTATTTTCAAGAAAATTAGATGAATTTCTTGAGAAATCTTGAATATTTTTTGATTTTCGAAATTTTTTTAGAATTCGATGATTCGATTTTAACAAACAAAAATCATGTTTTGCGGCACAAAGAATCATTACATATCAAATTTTAGAGTATGTGATGTTATAAAGCTAGTCAGATTTTTTTTCATGAGCTTACGTATTGTTAAAGGTATTTCAGCCTCAGACGACACAATCACAGCGTTGCATTGGGGTAGCCTAGGCTTAGTAGCTGGATCAGTAACAGGAGATCTCTTTGTTTGGCCAGTTGATATGACTCCAGATGGCGGCTTATGCCATTTAAATGATTACCAGTTCTATGATACTCATAAAATGGCTGTTTCATCTATTTCTTCTATTGAAGATCTTGTTATTTCAATTTCTCTCGATGAATCAATTTATGCAACAAAAATTGTTAACAATACATTAGTTGAAGAATCTGAAAAGAAACCTCAACACGTAGGACAAAGAATATTAACAGAAATTAAGGAACCATTTAGCGTGCAAACAGTTCCAAATCTTGGCTTAATATTTATCTCAACATTAGAGGGCTTTGTCTATGCAGTGGACAAAGAATTCAATATTAAAGCTAAAAAACAATTAATTAATTCAGAAATCGTCGCTTTATCTGTACACGGTCCTTCTAACCGTGGCGCAATTATTGGATCACGCGATCTTATATTATTCGACTTATCTACATTAGAAATTGTTAAAAAGCTTACAATTACAGCAGATAACCTGGATTCTCTTTGTTTCTCAACAGATGGCCTTTCAATTCTTATTACAACAACAGAAGGAACACTCAGAATCGTTGATACAATTGCCTTTAGAGAAGTTGGCTGCCAGAAAATTGATATTGGCGAACTAAACGATCTTGCACCAATTAACTATGGTAAGAGATACATAGTTGCTGGAAGTGAAGGAAAGGTTGGCGTTTTCAACCTTAACCATATGATAAAAGAGACAGGAATCAAAGTTACCAGCGGATTAGTGAAATGCGTTGCAGTTCAACAGGATGATATGAAGGTTGCTGTTGCTGGTGCTGATAATATGATTACTTTACTCGATTTTAACTAAAATTTATAAAATTTATTTTATTCCTTGGCTTTTTTAACAATTAACTTTTCTTTTTTGTTACATCACTACATAATTTAACGTTTTATTCATTCCTCATAAATCATACGATAAAACTGTCACAAATTAGCATTGTTGCTTCTTTGTCTGTACACCACACTTTGAACCTTTTACCAGAAAGGGGAAAAGTGTCAATCGGATCATAAATAGGTCTAATCCATCGTAATTGGTTTAGTTAAGGGTATGATCCTACAAATCCTTTTTTAATTCTTTTATTTTTTGATAGATATGGGATGCAATATCGAATTTTATCATTTATATCAACAATAAGATTGCTATTTTATCTTAATATTAGCCTAACTTGCATATTTAACTCAAAAAATTTCATTTAGTGAGATATATAAATGAGTAATTGCTACGAAAGTCATTATTCACTCACATAAGATCTCTTCCTATGAACTGGGAATTCCTAATTTCATAATTTGAGTTAACATTTCGCAATTTATGATAAACACAAATCAATAAGTTTGTGATAATTATTATTTTTAAATGTATCATGTTTTGGTGAGTTATGATTGTATAACTCTTGGAAATGGAAAATTTTATATCAAAAATCTTCTCGTTTCATGAATTTAATTCAGTTTTTCATAAGGATCATTTAAATAATTCATTTTTCTTGAAATGAAATATGCAATCTCCTTTTGACGATTGTCAAAAATTATTAACGATTTTATGACATTTTACATGTCATTTTTCCCGCACTTTTTGTACGTTTTGGAATCTAAAACAAATTTACATACGTCGATGACCGAAGAAGAAGGGGTGGAACAAGAACAGGTCGAGAATCCAAAAGCATATCTAACACCAGATTACTTTTACGATGATCAGAAACTGTTTGATGAATCCCCTGCAAAAACAGAATTCGACACAAATTTCAATTTGTACAATATATTCAGCTTTGATCTATCCCGAAGATATAATGCTATTCCAATCAACGAAACCACCGTCGTTATTACAGTAGGAAACTTCGCAATGATATACGATCTCGCTACAGGCGAAGAACAAAAAATCTACGGCCACAACAAAGGAGTTAATTGTTGTGCAGTACATCCTAACAAGGAATACATCGCATTCGGTGAAGCTGGTAAAGATCCAATGCTTCTAATATATCAATATCCATCAATGAAATTATTCAGAGTATTAAAAGGCGGTACAGAACAAGCATACACATGCATGAACTTTTCCCCAGATGGCACAATGCTTGCCGCTGTCGGTACTTTCCCTGACTACATGTTAACGGTCTGGGATTGGGAAAGGGAAACATTAATCTTGAGAGCAAAGGCTTTCTCACAAGATGTTTATCGCGTTGTATTCTCAGAGAACTTAAAGGGCCGCCTCTGCACTTCAGGCGTTGGCCACATCAGATTATGGGAAATGGCTAAAACGTTTACAGGCCTCAAACTACAAGGTGAAATTGGTAAATTCGGTAACATCGAAATTTCAGATACATCTGGCTTTGCAATGTTCCCTGATGGCAAAGTTTTGTCCGGTTCTGAATCCGGTTCTTTGCTTTTATGGGAAGATGCTTTCATCAAATGCGAATTTGTAAGAACAGGTGGCAAGAGATGCCATAAGGACATGATTGAACTCGTTTATCATCAAGGACAGAACGTTATTACAGCAGGCCGCGATGGAGCAATCAGAGTCTGGGATTTCCAAACAATCGATACAGCAGAAACAGAAGATACATCAGTAGCTATCGACTTAACTCAAAAGGCGAAGCTTCACATCTCAAATAATTCCTCAATCAAATGCATGTATCCAGTTGGAACAGAATGGCTTGTTGTCGATGAGAAACAAGGTATCTGGCGTGCAGATATTGAAGGAAGAAAAGCAGAACTCCTCCAGAAATCCCATTCAGGAGCAATCAGAGCACTTTCATTCTCTCCATCAGGAGCTCTCTTCATTACTGGTGGCGATGATGGCTTTGTTCGCCTTTGGGATATCACAGAAAAGAAGATGCTCAGCGAATTGCATTTCGAAGCGGCAGTTACAAAAATCCTTTGGATCAATGAGAACGAAAACGATGTAGTATTCGCTGGTTTCGCCGATGGCTGCTTAAGAATCATTCTTGCTACAGCAAATGGTCTTACTCTCAAACAGCCACTTAAACCACATACAGGTGCAATCCGTGATATCCAACAGAGCCCAACATCAAAGTTGGTCGCTACAACAGGTGACGATGGCGCTTTGTTCTTCATGAGATTTGATAATTTGACACTTGAACCTCTCGGATTCGTTTACGTTAACGGAAAGAAGCCAAAGACAAAAGAAGAGATCACACAGGAAGCTATCAGCGGCAAGAAGATCGAAGACGACAAAGAATATGCAAGAGGTCTTCGTATCAGATGGGGAAACATGATCTCCGTCGAATGCAGTGATGGCAAGATCGCTACAATCGCTTCTCCAACAACATTCCCTGAAGATTCAACAGAATCTTATTTCATAGACCTTCCAGTCGAAACAATTGACAAAGGTGCAGCCGATGAAAATATTACAGCTTCATTCACTGTTGACGAAATGACCGAAATCAAGGGCACAAAAGAAGGCCAGATAATTTTCGGAAATCTTACAAAGAACATTCACTCAGCACCAGTGACATCTATCGCTTTATCACCAGATAAAGTATGGCTTGCAACTGCTTCTGAGACTGGAGAACTCTTCCTGTTCAAGGAAAGCCAAGTTCAAGGCAGAAATCTTCCAAAGCAAGAACTCAAAGCTGTCGAAGTTGCTCCTGTTGAAGATATCCAGGGCACAGGATACTCCATTGAAGAAGAGAAACAGAAATCCGAACTCGATCGCAGAATTAAGGCTGCAGAGCAACAGAAATCTCTTATTCGTAAGGAGATTGAAACCCTCAGACAGAAATTCGCTGCTTTGGTCACTCAAAACTCCAAAGCTCCAAAGTATATGCAGTTAGATGACGCTGCCTTCAAGATTGATCCATTCCTCTTCGATTTAATGGAAGAGCAAGCAGTCAATCTCGAGAAGGAAGCATCTAGGAACACAATGTTCGCTGCAGAAAAGTCTAGAGTTCATTTCCGAAAAGTCAAATCTCGATTGGTCGGTGACATGACCGAAGAATCCTTCACAGTTACATCAACAGATGGCAAGAAGGAAGTTTCCTCGTTCAGAATCACAGAACTCGATCCAGTTGTCCTAGAAGTCATTCAGCAATCGACTCCAAACGAACAACCATCAGACGAAGAAGGCGAGACACAAGAAACAGAAGCTGTTGCACAAGCTGACACAGAAAGTACAATTTCTGAGTCTTCAAACAAAGAACAAGAAGTTCAACAGCAAAAGCCAACAAAAGCCAACAAATTCGGACGCCAACCACCTCTCAAGAAGGTTGTTCACACTCCAGATGAACACACAAGAAAGCGTGAGAAGAGAGACAGAAGAAGAAAGAAGATCATGGAACAAAAACCACCGGCCAATTATTCAGATCCACAAGATTTGAAGGAAATCGAAATTGCTAAGCGAACAATTGGTGATTACAAACTAAAGGATGATCCATCATACATTGCTCCTGAGAATGAACGTGTCAATGCCACAAAGAAGAGGAGACAGTTGATGATGCTTTTGAAGGCAATTCAAGATCTCAAACTCGGATTCAACCAGAAACTCAAAGATTTGGCCGAACTCAAGAAGAGCCTTCAGAAATCAGTTGACGAAACAAACAGACAATTATTGGAAATCAGAGGAACAATTGGTTACGATCCATTAAACCCTGAACTCATCAGAATCCATGAAAACAGATTCGAACCTCTTGTTCTCGATGAAAAAGTCAACATCACGATTCCTACTCCTGAAGCGATTTCTTTCGCCGAACAAGTTGCTGCAGCTGCAAGAAGAAGAAACGAAGCACAGGCAGGAAAGCAGAAACAAGCTGCACAACCAGCACATAGACAGAACGCAAAGAGGAAACAACAAGCACCGGCAAAGAAGAAGAAATCTCAAGATGAAGCTCCGAAATTCACGGAAATCGAACAAATCGAAATGAACGAACTCTCCGCAGAACTCGCTTTCAAACGCAAGATGCTTATTTCCAACATTTCCAAAGCTATTGCGAAATTCAACGCTAAGGTTGACGAGATCGCTGTTGAGAAAGTTCATGCACAAACAGAAGTTGTTCTTGCTGAATTGAGATTCATTTTGATGCTTAGAGAATTCAAGCTTCTTTCCAAACTCGAGTTGAAGGATGCAGAACTCAATGGAAAACTTCGTGCAAAGGCCAGCGAAATGAAGGCAATTTCAAACGAAGTTGCAGCTCACAACAAACAGATCGCTCAGAAGACACACGAAATTGAAGAAAACGAGAAAGAAGTCAAAGGATTCTTGAAGCAATTCCACGAAATTGTCAATCCAACACACAAATTCCATGATCCTCTTCTCAGAATCTTCAACTTCAACATGAGAAAGAACCAAGACAAAGCCAATGCCGACGAAGAAGAAGTCGATTTGACACAGCTCGATGTCGACGCCATCAAGAAGATGTTCGAGAAACAGAACGCAGAGAAGGAAGAAGACATTTGTCCACAGGGATGCGATCCAGCATTATTCGAACAAGTTTTGGATCTCAGAGAAAAGAGAATGGACTTCCAAGACAAAATCTCAGAGGCACAGAACGCGAAAGAGAAAATCCAGCGCCAGATCGATACAATCCAGTTCAAGACAAAGAACTTGCAGACTGTTTACCAACAGATCAAGCAAGAGTTCGAGGAATTCCAGCACGAAAAGCAGCGCCATCTCAACGAGCTCAACTTCTCTCTCTCAATCCAATTCCACCAGATAAAGAACCTCATCGCAAAGGAGATTCCTCAGGGAGAAGCAAGACCACCACTCATCGTCAAATCGATGCCAACAGATCTCTCCGACAGCTTGATCTTCACGGAAAGCGGATTGAAACAACTCGCAGACCAAGAAGTCAAACTCAGAACAGACAGAGAATCTGCTCACAAGCTTTTCGAAGCAGATGTTTCATCGTTCAAAGCTGATAAGGACACTTTGGACTCAAGCATGAAACAGCTCGAAGAAAGACAGGAGAAACTTGCTGGTATTCAACGTCTTAAGTTTGGAGAACCTGTTGATTTGGTCGAGTTGGAACAGATGAAGGTCAACAAAGATGCAGACGCTGTCAGAGCACAAACAAAGGAAATCGAAACAGAACAGAACGCTGAGATGGAAGAAATCAATAAACAGATCAAGGATATGACTGCTCAGCTCACACAGGAAATCCAGAGAAATACAGCTGTCTTGGGATCCCTTGTTCAATTAACAGAACAAAGAAGAGACATCGAAGCAGTTCTTCAGAATTCAAGAAAGACTGCAACAGCTGATGATTTGTCTCAGGATTTGGAGCTCACAGATCCAAACGAGCTCCTCCAGGAAGTCGAAAAGAACAATGATATCATAGAGCAACTTGAAGAGGAAATAGGCCTTCTTAAACGCCGTTAAAATCAATAACTGAGTTTTATTTTTATTTTAATGTAAATATTGATAAAAATACGAATACAACTTTTTTTTTCTCTTTCATTTATGAAAGTCTTTAAATCATTGGATATACCTCGATTGAGTCTACGTGGATGATTTAAATGAATCGTTTTTCTTGATATAGTCAAAAGGAAAGTGAAAGTATCAGTAAAATGAATGTTGAGGAAGATAAAATTGAGTTCGTGATCATCATGTACTGATTCCGCTCTTTGTTAACACAAATTTTGTTTAGCTCTCTATTTGGAACAAGATATCCAAATTATATACTAAATTGATCATCACTTATTTTCCATCACACGATACATGCTAAAAAAACTGATATTGAGGGTTCTTTCTGTGTGAAATAATCGAAATAAATTAATTTAGATTATTAAGTAAGAAATCTTATTCTTTGTCCATAAATCTAATGAAATGAGACGAAAAGCTGGTTATCCATGAATAATCAAATTAGGAGATACTTATGAATTCAAGATTAATAATAGATTTTTGTTAAAAAAGACAGACATATAACTACAAAACATTACTTTATTATTCAAACAAATAAATGATATATAATATACTTAAAGACCTAAATAATCTTGTATTTGTGGGGTCCAATCAATGATCGAATCACAAACAACCTTTCCATCAGCACTCAGAACGTGGTGTTTTGTATCAAATAAAAAGATTTTCTCTCTTGTAATTTTATTTGATTCGTAAGAGATTACGTCTGAGTTTTTGTTTCCTAGAGCCAAAACAACAGGGTTCTTATCATCGGGGAACAACTTAATGATCGTATCAATGGTCGGAATCTTAAATTTCTGAGGTTCCCTTTTCACAACTTCTCTTGTGAAAGCGTGTATGAAACCATCTGGAGCTAGAATGCACGGACCATCAGGAAGCTTTGTTCCTTCTTGGTCAATTCTCGATAAAAGGTGACGAGTAACAGATGCTTGACTTACAGGACGCGCTGTTAAGTAAATGAACTGGCATCCGTAAGAAGCAATCTTATCGTATAGTTTTGCAAGCCCTGGCTGTGTCCAATCAGCTCCGATCGCTCCGAAAACTTGGCCTATTGCATCGGATTTCGTAACTGTGCCGTCAATGTCGCTTACAACAATTTTATCGGATGCTTTTAAAAGAAAAAGCAAAGCTTTGACAACTTTCGGACCTTGTAAAAGTGACGAAACTGTAAATTCGATTTCGTTTCGACCAAAATGAATTAATGGCCTGACAATCTGTAAAAGCATTGATGAGGGAACGGGCGCACTCGATTCGATGCCTTTTATCATTTCTGTATCGTTCTCAAAAGTCGATGAACTTACTGATTGAACTAAATCAACTGAGGATGGGGCTGTTGATATTGGCTCTGGATCAGGATCGTCATAAATGAAGGCAGCATCGATATCTACTGCTGAGTTTCGTGTCAAATAAGTTGATATTTCGGAGTTTATTGGTTTTTTGTTAGATTTGGAACCAAGAATACCTCTAATATCTCCAGGAGAAACACTTAACTGGGATTTTGTGACTGAAGGATAAATCATGTTTTTGGCTGGTGCTTTTGCTTTCATTTTTTGAGATGCGAAGAATTGGCCGATTCCCCATTTGTTAACATACATCATGAATGGCGCTGGTGTATCGTTTATTGTTACTGATATGACTTTATTTAAGTGATGAATTAAACCAAGGTTTCCAATTCGCAAATGCCATGGTGAAGATTTCATGGAGCCGTCTTCATATTCTACTATGATGATGTCGGACGCACCAGATAACGAATTTGGGTTCAAACGCGACAAAATCTCCATCATTTTGTAAAAAAATGATTTGAATAGAAATTTGGTCAATTGTCTAAATATCGGCCCAAAAATACGAAAATTACGAATGTTTAGGCAAGATAACTGATATTGCATTTTGTGATGATCAGAAAATATATTGAAAGGAATTGTTAACCATTGATTTTCTTTTTATTCTTTCTGAATTTCAGTAACCCTCATTAATTTCTTAATCTTGGTTAATGATTATATTGTGAATCAAACTATCACAACAAATTTCTACAAAATGGCTAAATTTTTATTCCATTTTCATAACTTACTAACAAAAAGACGGCTTTTTAATAATAATTATTTAATACGAAACAGAACTTCAATGCAATACATTACTGGGAGCCCGAAAAACGTGCAATCAAAAATCTTTTGGCCATATATAAACAGATAGCATCTCTAATGCATTGGGCGCAGTCATAACTTCTATCATTTTTATCAAAAGTGTTTGCAAGCATGAAAGGAGTGAAACCCAAGTGAGTTTTCTTAAATGGGGAAGCACCGTATTCTAAGAAGAAAATAACATTGATTCTCTGGTGCTTGGAAGCAGAAACATGAAGAGCAGTCCATCCTGAGTACTGTTCACATGAATCAATGGGAACTCCAAGTCTCACGAGCTGAGATGGTATGAGCGAAGAATTCGAGGCTGCTCCATGAAGTATAAGCGGCCAATAATCGAAATTGCATCTGTTAATGTTAAGGTTATTGTCAATTAAAATCGGCAAAGCTTCGAAAAATCTCTTGTTAAGGCAAGCCAAACAAACTGTTGAACCATAATGAGGATCATATAATGATTTCCTGATTGTTTCATCTTTAACTAATTCTATTACGCAATTAATCTGATATCTTTCACACGCTTTACGTAATGGTATTCCGTATGTTTTACTTGCAGCTACGGGGGAAATATTATTCGCTATAGCCCATTTAATAACTTCTGGCTGATTATAATATACTGCAACGTTAACTATATTTCCGTCATTTGTAGTGTCAGATGCATCTCTCTTATGTGATTCTAAGTATCTAATATTTCCTGATGCGGCTGCGTAAAAAGCTAATGGAATTGGATAAGTTTCTGATGATAAATTATGATAAACTTCTTGAAACTTTGCTGCAAGATTATTTGCTTTCAAATAAACGCAAAATGGCATTAGAGAATTGATGTTCTGGAACAATTTTGGATGAATTTTTCTTAATGAGTTGAATAAAACATGATCAGAAATCATTAACGTCACGTACTCTATGAACATCTCAACATTATCTGACATAATTATCTCCTTGTAAGAATCTACAGAAAGAGACATGAAAAAAAGTAAAAAAAATGCAGAAAATTTATTTCTCTCAATTTCGATTTTGGAATATTTTGGAAAAACTGTTTTTAATAATATATATATTACTTCTGAATTTTGTTGCGATAAATTTTCTACAAAATTTTCCAGCAATTTTCCAGAATTTTTTTTTAATATAAGAATTGGTGGGAGTCTTTTATCTTTGTCAACAAATTATGTGATATGTATTTTTCGGGGTCGGTGTCACGACGTGGTGACCCTTAAATCAAACAATCTATAATTGTAAGAAGTTGCAGAATTTCTTGTTACTCATGACATTGATATCAACGTAATGGATAAACATGAAATTTGCGCTCCCTATCTTGCAAGTTGAGTAACACTATTGATTTTTGCGTACAATTAATTAGTCGAAAGCTCATGATAAGTCAATTTATCAAGTTTAAGGAATTCAATTTCTTATTATATCTAAAAAAAGTACATTTATACATGATTGCAGATTAAACGTGAAATATTTCTTAAATCTATAGAGTTATTTTTAAAGTCATATGCAACGTATCAGATGTAAAAAATATTTTGTATTTTTTGTTTATTATTCTTTAGTTGTTAAATTGCCTTTGTAATTTAAAAATCAAACATGTCTGGAACCCCATCTAGATACACAGGTGGTTCAATTAGTTCTATTTCACTGTCATCAACATGAGATCCATGGGATTCAAGTAATTCGATTAGAGATTCTGTACCAAATAATCTACGTTCTTTTGCAAGATATAGTGCTGTTTTGCCGGAATTATCCTTTGCTTCAATATCAATGCCATGTGATATAAGTAATTTTGGTACAGCTATGGAACCATTATATGCTGCTTCATGGAGAGCAGTTTGTCCGGATTTATCTTTTACATTGACATCTAATCCAAGAGAAATAAGATATTCAGCTATTTTTTCGTTATCGCTTCTTTCCGCGAGGTGAAGAAGCGTTTTGCCATCACTATCAATTTGGTGAATGTCAGAACCACGTGAAATAAGAAGTTTTGGAACTTCATAACCATGATGTTCTACTGCATATTGAAGAAATGTTTGATCATTATAAGTTATTGCATTGAAATCAACTCCATGGGAAATAAGAAGTTCTGCTATGCTGACGCTATCATTCTTTATTGCATAATGAAGAGGTATTTTACCCTTTTTATTTTCAGCGTTTATATTTACACCGTGTGAAATCAGAAGTTCTACTATTCTTGGGAGATTATTTTTCACTGCAAGGAAAAGAGGTTCGATCAATTTTGAGGGATCTTTATTTAGATCTAGACCATGTGATATGAAAATTTCTGCTTTCTCAACATTTTTAGTTTTTGCTGCATAATAGAGAACACCTCTTCCATCCTTATCGTATACATTGATATCAGCACCATGTAAATAAAGAAAATCAATCATTTCGTTATTATTACGCTCTACAGCCCTAAGAATGGGTGTATGCCCTGTAGAACTTCTCTCATTTATATTAGCGCCTTTTGCAAGGAGAAGTTCAGCCATTTCTTTACGATTAAATTGTACGGCATGAAAAAGTGCACAATGATAATTGATATCTAATCCATGTGAAATAAGAAGTTCGAGTATTTCTTTCCAATTAAACTTTGCTGCATAAAAAGCTGCTTTTCCACCATCCCTTTTAATATCTGCACCATGCAAAATGAAATATTCACAAAGAGATGGAATTCCAAATTCACTCATTTATGCTAATTTTTCTTTGAAAGTTTTTTTGATATCAAAATATATCAAGCTTGCATCAACATTATTGTATTTCGGACACTCACATTCACTAGGAGGTTCATTGTATTCAGTGATCAAAAAATGGGTAAAGTCATTGTTGTGTGCAACAACTGCATATTCTGCGCATTTGTAATCGGGTTTTTTATATTTAAGACATTCCATTATTATTTCTTGATTTTCTCCTAAAAATGAAAAACTAATGCAATTTCTGGTGATTTTTGAATTAAATTTCGTTCTCAAAAATTTAAAACAGTTTACAGAACCATAATAACAACACAACTCAAGCAAATAAAGCTCATGTAATGTAAATGGAAACAAAGAATTACCAATTGTTTGATTTGCATCAAATCCTTTTCTTCCTGTGAAGAATATAAATGATTTAATGTCATCATCCAATATTGATTTGTAAATTGTGTTTTCGTTGAGGAATTCAGAAAGATCTTCATGATACTTTGGATCTATATATGAAAATTTATATTTGTCGTAAATAAGTTTATCAAATCCACAACTAATATCATAATTATAATCTTTACCTGGATGATAATCTTCATATAATTTTTCGAAAATCCGAAAATATGATTTCAAATAACGATTGTTGTGTTGTATTGCATTTGAAATAGATTCGACAAATTTTGGTGGAGAAATTATTTTTGTTTCGATTATTTTACTTTTGATATTTTGGTAAATTTTGTCAATTTCACCTTCGTCGAAAGTGTAAAGCCTGTATAATGCTCTGAAAGACTCACTGTAATCTTTCGTTAATTCAAAAAGTTCTGAAATATTAAAGTCAGTCTCACTCATTGTGAATTGGATTTGTGAACTGAAAAAAATTTCAATAGTCACAATTTTAAACTCCAAAAATTTCAAACAAAAATTATAGTCGGATAAATTTAAAGTCCAAAAGCATCAACCAAGATGATATCCGTTAGACTCTACATGAGGAACACAATGATGAAATATGTAGTCCTAGAATTTTACATGTTATTGTTATCCGAATTAGGATCGAGACACCTTAATTTTGCTGAAATATGTATTTCATATGAATTTAATATTAAATAGAATGTGTTATTCACTCCAGCTGGCAATACCCATAATGCTCAATCACATAAGGTTGCAAAAAGAGGGGGAACAATAGAGAAATTGAGAGAACCAGGCCCCTCAAGCAATTGATGAGAATAAGTATTATATGAATACATGCATTTGTTGTTTCTTTTTATATGAAATGTTAAATAAAGTTTTATGATCTATTGTGTGAGTATATAAACTTACCGCGATTCTTTAGTCATAAAAAAATCAAATTTGCTATAATATAATTTCTGGCCTCAAGATGCTGCCCTTGCTCTTCGGCAAAATATACATATATTACATATATGAAATGAGAATAGAGTAAACAACGTGTATTTTTGCTAACAAAGCCAAAGTTCCTTTATTTAATTTTGAAAATTAAAAAAAAATATTTATAGCAAGTATCATTATAATATGCTTTAATATCAGTTATAGATAATTTACGTTAAGCTCTAATAAAATAAAAGAAAAATAAATAAATAAAAACGAACTTACTGCTGGAACTGGTTCTTGTACTTAGCAAGGATTGGTGATTCTGGTTGCTGCTTAATAGCTGCTTCAAATAGTTTCTTCTTGCTTGGATGATCGCATTCAACGATAATAGCAACAGCTCTTTCAACCAATTGCAAGTTATCGGCGTGGTCTTTGAGTGTAGAAACAACTGTTGGAACAGCGGATCTAACAGTCTTGATCTCTTCAAGTAATCCGTTGACGCAGCACATGTAGAGTAATGAAACGATGTTAACGACGCATGGTTCATCATCGAGATGCATTGTAAGAATGGCAGAAGCTGCCTGAATGACTCTCTTCTCTTTGATAAATTCGATATTGAATTCGGCACAAGCTGCGAGTGCTGAAAAGATTGGAGAAATAACGTCTGAATCCTTTGAGTACTTTGTGGCTAATGGGAAGAATAATTCGTAGACTTTTGTGGCCTTTTGCTTGAGTTCGTCCTTTGGAACAGCTGTTTCATCGACAGAAGCCAAAACAAACAACTGGCTGAGTATAACAGCGGCGGCAGCAACTACGTGCTTGTCTTCTTGGTTCTTTTCGGCTTCGGATAATGCCCATGATGAACCTTCTTCGCGTTCGATAACGCGCATGTTATCGACAAGCAAAGCAGCCTTTGAAAGGAAGAGTAATGATGCCTTTGTCTTGATACTGAGTGCTTTTTCAACAGCACCTTCGGCACCAATTTGGACAAGCTGCTCCTGGCCAAATGAAAGGTGGAAGAGAACGTAGAAGATATTATCGAAGTCGGAGTTTTCGAGGTCAAAGTCGAGTGCGTCGATGCAAACTGGAATGAAATCAGCTCTTGCAAGGTAAGGGAATAATTCTATTGGAGCTCCAGCAAGGAAACGGATGATATCGGAGACAACGTTCTTGGAGGCCTTCCAGTGGTCGGCAGCAACACGCATAACAAGGAAACCATTGAATGGATCTTGGGCTCCCTTCTCTGCGAGAACGCGGAGTGTTGTAATTGCTGTTGTAACAATAACTTCGTTATCCATGTAGAGCTGGATGACAGCGTAGAGAATGCGGCAGCAGCCAGTATCGTTGTACTTAACGATTTGCTCTTCTTTGACATCGCCTTCGAGGAGGAACTGGAGCATGTTGTTGAGGGCGATAAGAATGTTGACATCACTGAGAAGATGAACAAGAATCATGGAGAACTGTTGAAGCTGTGGATCTGCCTGGTTAATTTCTGGGACACCGAGGCGCTGTAAAACACTTTTCATTCCGATTTGACCGTCACCGTCCATCTTAAGGGATGATGCCGCGGCGTAATTATGAAGTGCATCAAGCATCTTTCCTTGTAACTCATCAGCTTGGCCCTTTCTTACATAGGCATTGGAAAGAGGAACTGTAAGTGGATCAGTCTCGATTGCTTTCTGGTCCATCTTTAATTGTGTTTCTTCTGGTCGAAGACGCTGGTACAATTTGATAACTTCATTAGCATCGTTAACGCCTTCTTCGAACTTGTTAAGCTGAATATAGCATGCAGAACGATTTAATAAGCAAACCATGTATAAAACAGCTTCTTCATTTGTCTTTGGATCTAATTTTTCGATTACATTGTTGAAGCTTAATATTGCCTGCTCGAAGTTGTTATCAGACATCTTCTGGATGCCTTCATCCTTAAAAGGAATCAATGACTCCATTAAAAAGTGACTTGCTAATTTGTAAAATTTTCTTTCTGAAATTTTCATAGATGTGATCGGAGTCTTCATCGCTCTATCAAATAATCGGTTAAATTTTGTTCGTGATAGGGCCTTCATATTTCACTTGGAAATATGATGATTGCATCATGAACAATAAGTGATTGAAAAAAAAAGGTAGTGGGGCTTCCAGGCGCGTTGCGCCCTCTAGCCCCGAAGATGTTTAGTATAAATGAAGTTTTTATTCGGAGGGCTTCCAGGCGCGTTGCGCCCTCTAGCCCCGAAGATGTTTAGTATAAATGAAGTTTTTATTCGGAGGGCTTCCAGGCGCGTTGCGCCCTCTAGCCCCGAAGATGTTTAGTATAAATGAAGTTTTTATTCGGAGGGCTTCCAGGCGCGTTGCGCCCTCTAGCCCCGAAGATGTTTAGTATAAATGAAGTTTTTATTCGGAGGGCTTCCAGGCGCGTTGCGCCCTCTAGCCCCGAAGATGTTTAGTATAAATGAAGTTTTTATTCGGAGGGCTTCCAGGCGCGTTGCGCCCTCTAGCCCATAAAAAATTTCTGAGGACGAGCCAGCCGGTGACTTTTTGGTAGAGCGCTCAAAATAGTATAACTTTGTCCGGACAAGTAAGGGTCTATCGTCGCTACAGGAAAAGTTACAGGCGTTCCAAGGAAGTATACTTTGAGAAGCCTTTTCTCCCTTATAGAATGAGATAAGACGGTTATTTTACAAAACTGACAACACTTTGACCGAGTAGTTTTTTGTGCTGAACAAAAAGTGTCATATAAACATCTGTCAAAAACCGCTTTTTAACTTCACTTAAAATGCCACGTAAGCTACGTAAGAATATACGTAAGAGGAAGGGAGCATTGAAACATCCAATAGTAAAACTGACACCACAACAACAGTTGCAACAACAAATGATGAATGACCCCACTATGTTGCAACAAATGTCAAGCAACCCTATGCTTTTAAACCAAGTTATTGGTGCACAGAGTGGGGGTTTAAAAGCGGCACTTTTAGCGAAAATGGCAGGCTATGGTGGAGCTGCAGACGGAACAGCTTATAACCCTCAAAGTCAAATGAATTTGAGTTCACTCAAAAATCAAATAACAGATGTCAAAAAGTCAAACATAGACATACAGAAACAAATAAGTGAAAACGAAAAGAAACTAGAATATGACAGACACACAAAGAAACTCAATGAGTTAAACGTAGAGAAAAAGAAGAAAGAAGAACAACTGAAAGAACTAAGTACAGAGGAATATGCGAAAAAAGTGTCAGAAAAAGCAGCAGAAGTAGCAAAAATGGAACAAGATGTTATAAATTTGAAAAAACCATACTACTCAATATAAGTACTGAAAGATGAAAGATAAAACAAAAAGCCATGAAGACATATATGGATAGCGATGAGTATAAAAAAGAAGTTGAAGCAAATGTAAAGGCAGAAAAACTTTTACAGTTGCAAAACCAAACCTACAGTATGAAAACTTAGCACAAGAAAGTAAAAATAACGACGCAGCCATGCAAAAGCAATGAAAAGCGCAGAATATATAAAAGCTAATAATGACTGGTTAGATGCCCAAAGCCAACGCTAAAAGCAGCCCAACTTATAGGGTCAATAAGGACAAAAATACAAAGCGGATGAAGACAGTTCAAATGAAGCTTTAATGAATGCTGACTTTAAGAATGCTTCGAAGCTCTTCATAGTAAGGTGAAACTAGTGAACGACTTCTCATCTGGAAAGAAACTGAAGTCTGAAGGTTTTCGACAACGAGTTAAGAGAAGTAGCACAAAATATGACGAAAATAACAGATGCAGCAACGAGACAGGCAGTTCAAAGTGGCCTATGACGCCGTTAGAGCAACTGTTGTGGAAAGTCAAGAAAAAGAGTTACAACAGACCAAAACAGACCTAGTAAATGCTTTCTTAAGAACGAAAAGTCAGGTGTAGGACATTATGCTGCAGAATGGAACATATGTGCCAGCTGGTGAACTTATATACCACCAAACCCTCCAAGAGAAGCACCTGCACCAGGACTACCTAAAACATTTACATCGTCACATGGACACAGACACAGGCATGCACCAAAACCAACACAACAACCAACAGTTCAAAACCCTGCACAACAACCAACAGTTCAAAATCCAGCACCACAACAACAACCAAAACCAACAGTTCAAAACCCTGCACAACAACCAACAGTTCAAAATCCAGCACAGCAACCAACAGTTCAAAACCCTGCACAGCAACCACAAACAGAGCAAAGACATAAAAGAAGTAGAGAAAAAGGAAACCAAGAATTCTTAAAAATGCTTAAGGAAGATTATGGTTACCCAGATACTCTTGACTTTAGTGACAGATATAAAGAAGCTATTAGAAAGTTCAAGGAAGGAAATACTGACCCGAACCTATTTAGCTTTATGGTTCAGCATAAAATCGGATATAATCTCAAACCTGGAAAATACAAGCTCGCAAAGGGATATTGATTTAATAGCATATCATCCAAATGACATGGATGAATTTACTCCGAGATATTTGATGTCAGAGCTAAATGATAATTCAACTCTCTTCATGAAACGCGTAAAAAATAGAGACGGAACGAAGAAGAAAGGTTTATGAGTCCGGATGACTTAGATAGGGAACTTGTTTAAAAACGGTCTCGGAATATATGAAATGCCAGCAGATGAGTACAAGAAACTCAACAGGAAGAAGTTCAGATACAACCAGACATGGAAGAAATAGTTCAGCAACAACAGCTAGAAGAGCCTGAAGGAAACGAACAAGTCCCTCCTTTGGAAACTAACTTCACAGAACTAGATGAAGATTTGGAACAGCCGAAAAATCTTGACCCTCAACAAGAGTATGAGGTGAATATGGAATCTTTCCAAGAGTCTAAGAAAAATTCGGCTGACATAGTAGAAGAATATCGAAAAATGTTCACCGACATACAAAAGACTCCAACATCAGATGAAAATATTCAGCATAGAATGGAAGTACTGAAAGAAAATGTACGCAAATACAATAATCCTTTTTACTTACGACCATTATAACGTTCAATCTTTGGCTGAACTCGGTGAAAATAAAAGGTTAAATTTCAACAAAACATATAGAAATGAAACATTGTTTAAAGTTCATTTCAGAACCTAACCAATATGGAAACAAACCTACTTTTGTTTCTGCAGACTATGGAACTACAATGAAATGGGGTCAAAGCTAATCCGGATAGGTGGTTCATAAACTTACAACCTCAATTCCAAGAAGTTGTAGACGCAATGGAAGTGAATGGTGAACCAGATATAACGGGTATTTTCAGCGCGGCTTTAATGCCATTGAAAGATATGAAAGATGCAGATATTTTGGACCAGTATGAAATGAACATGGCTGAGGGAAATATAACACCTGACGTTCTAGAACATTTATCTCAAAGAACTACACAGAAACCATAGAGATGGTATATTTGGTGAAGAGTTTAGAAAGAAAAGTTAGGGAGAGAGAAGGAAGAAACCTATTGTACATGACCTTGCAAACGAAAGTTTGCAAAATGTCATAAAAACTTACTTTGCAGACAATGAAATGAGAAGGGATGAATATTTAAGAAAACTCAAATGGACAGTACCAAATGAAATGTTAGTATTGAAAAACATGTTCCATGACAAAATAAAACCAACTACAGAAATAAATGACGCAAGACTGAAACGTTGGGTAAAAGCTTTCCCATTCACAAAAGATATTATTGGTTACATGGAAAGAAAACCAGAATGGCTACAAAAACATATATTTGGAAACGAGCTTATTCCATATGGACAAGCTCTGTTTGAAGAGCTTGAACCGGAAACTCAGGAAAAGTCATGCAAACAATAAGCGAAGACTCAAATACAAACTATGACAAAATCTTTCTAGGATATAGGTTACCTGAGATGGGCGACCAGAGCCCAAAGGCAAAAAGGACATGGGAAATTTACAACATACTAGGTGAACATGAGGCAAAGATGCTACAAACTTGAAGCAGAGGGCAAGTTACCAAAAGCGACACCAAAGAAGAAGAGAAGTAGAACAAAGTGAAAGTAGTGAAGAAGTAACTTCATCTAGTGAAAGTAGTGGCAATGAAGGAAAAAGAAGAGTTAAAGATTCAGTTTAAAAACTCAGTCAGGAAGAAAGTAAAGCTTGGTCCGAGTGGGTTCTATTATGACACATAAATCCAACTATTCTATATTTTTACCCATATGAAATGTACGCCGCTCAGAATAGAACGCCAACAGTTTTGGATGCCATGAACGGAAATGTTTCCGAATGGTATATAACGAATGCGACAATGCCATTAGAAGGTCAGAAATAGTTCCTGGAACTTACGAATATACAACTGCTGTTTCTTATGGAAACGTAGGTGAGTTTGGAGAAGGTTCTTCAACAACAGTAGATATTGCTTGCGACAGGTTTCATATTATTTCTATTGACAACTCATTCTTATACGTGGAACAAGACATTGAAATAAAACCTTCTGCCAAGTTGTCTGACAAGAAAGGTTGCAATGGAATTTTCTATGTCGGATACCAATATGCTCCAGAAGTTTTCATGGGATATAAGATATATTCTAACTCTGACTTAGTTCAAACAGTAACATGGGCAAACTATGAATGGTTCGCTTTGAGAAACTCAGTACAACCACAAGCTAGAGAACAAACAGACCAGTATGCAACTATTGAGAAAATAAGAAGACTTGACCCTAACGTTCCAGGAGTTTATGTTAACCTTTCTGGTTCAGATGGAACTGCTGCCACTAAAGTAAAACTGAAAACTTAGAGTTCCTTTGTCATCTTTCCTCATCTTCAGGTTTTTAAGATACTTGCCAAACTGGGCAGGAAAAATTTCTATCGAACTTACTCCAAGCAAAAATAACTTAGTCATTGCACCAACACAAGACCCATTCACTATTACAGGACGTAAAGGGAACAAATCAAACGTCATTCGCCGAATTTTGCAAAGACAAAGTTGACTTAGAC